CGTGCTATTGAGCCAATGATTGACGCCGCGTGATGTGACTTCACGTGTCGAAACAGTCATCTGTTACAGAGATATTAGAAAATCTCTGTGAAACAGATTGATTAAGCTCCATAAACAGTAAGAAGACAAATGGTCACAAAAATCAAGCTTTCAAAATTCACACCACTGTATATAAAGTCATCATTCTATCTGCTTGAAATTCACATTAGTAAAACTAAGAAAACCTATATCAAAAATTTATGTTTTTATCTTCAAATGTTATTGTTCTGCTTGGATTTCATATGCACCTGTGAAATGAAATAGTCTGCTAAATTTCAATACATATACTATTCAAAAAAAGTAGGGGATATTTGATTTTGGGGGCATAATACTAAAATATGCAAATGACTACGAAAAAAGTCACTATAGAACCTAACAGAAGAAACATTTCCAGTTACATGTGACGCCCAAACGCACCAATAGCTACCGCATGGAATGCAGGTGATGCTTGGGATCATCATGGGGGTCCAACCCAAGATTTGCACGACTCTGACTTTGAATGTTACAGTCATTGTGGCATTGAATTCCAGGGTGGAAACATCAGTTTAATTGTTTTAGTGACCAGAAAACAAATTTTGATATGCGTCGGCTTACCCAAAATGAAAGGTTACGTGCCCTTGGCATGCTACAGATCGGCACAACACAGGCAGTTGTGGCGCGGACGATGAATGTTTCTCAGTCTGTCATAAGCAGGCTATGGTCCAGATACAGGACAGACCACGCTCAGGTCGACCAAAGGCGACAACTCAAGCCCAGGATTGATTTATCCGTACCTTGGCCTTGAGAAATCGTGTCATCACAGCAAATCAGATCAGCGCTCGTCTTCAAACAGACACTGGTGTGAGAGTGAGTGGCCAGACGATTCGGAATCGACTGCATAGGGGTCACCTTCGCGCCCGACGTCCTCGCGTGATCCCTTGTTTGAGAGATCATCACATTCAGGCAAGACGTCGTTGGTGTAGGGATCGTCAACACTGGGATAATCGACGCTGGAGCAATGTGATGTTTTCAGATGAGTCAAGGTTCACTGTTGATTTTTTGGACAGACGTAGGAGGGTGTGGCGTCGTCGAAACGAGCGCTTCCAAGACGTTAACGTCATCAGACATGATCGATTTGGGGGTGGTTCTGTTATGGTGTGGGGAGGCATCACTGTTGCTGGAAGAACGACTTTACATGTTGTTGCAGGGCGTGTTACAGGCCAGTACTACCGGGACAACATCTTGGCAGTCCATGTTGTGCCGTTCGCACGACGTCATGGCTGCCGTTTCATCTTCCAGGATGACAACGCAAGATGTCACAGGGCCAGGATCGTTACAGGTTACCTCCAACAACAGAACATCACCACATTACCTTGGCCAGCACTGAGTACCGACCTCTCCCCCATCGAGCATGTCTGGGACATGCTTGGACAGAGGTTACGTCAACGTCAACAACGTCCTGCCAATGTCCAAGAACTTGCTGCTGCGTTGCAACAGGAATGGGACAATCTGGACCAAAATGACCTTAGACGTCTCATTGGGAGTATGCCACGTCGGATCAATGCTTGTTTGGCAAACAGAGGAGGATTTACCCGTTACTGACTTGGTTGTGATGCTGTGGTATCTTTGCTGTTTGACCCCGGGTATCATTTTACCCTTATAATGGTCAGTCTGTGCCTTACTTAGTCTAACGATCATTTGGAATAAATCGATGAATGTGAACTTCATTTCATTTTGTCATTTGTTTCTTCGTCAGTTTCATTAGGTGACTTTAATAACACTTAAAAATCAAATATCCCCTACTTTTTTTGAATAGTATATATGAATTGCTAATTTTGTACTTTGTTTTCATTATTATATTGAACAACTATCAAATAGATCGAATGAAGAAAGTAGGCTAAGCCTATGAATGGGACAAAAAAAAGAGAGTTCCACCCATGTAAATGTTAACATGCACTTAAATGAAGCCTTTACAATTAGAAATTGAAGAAGAGCATAATGCAGACATATCGCCATAATGATAAGAGTTACCATAATGCTTGTTGACGAGCTGTTAAATCCTAATACATTCATTTTGCTTAAGGGACAAAGTATGTAACAAAATTCTAATAAATGAAAGTTAGAACATTTTTCTTGATAATTATCCTAAACACTATGTAACTATGTTCATATTTCGTATAATTGAGTCTTTGTTTGCAAGGTTCCCATAGATAAAATTATGAAGGGAAAAAACTGTTGAATGAACATTTTTTAAACTATAGATGTTAATTGGTAATCAAATGAAAACTTGTCAATATCATACGTCAATCAATACTGACATATGACTTGTTAACAAGCTTGCTAATGAAGCTATTGTTTTATGTATCAAAGAGTGATTGATGGGTGTTCCAGATTTATTTTTGACATGATGTTTCCAAACAAGTCAAAATTTCGCGATAAAACCCCAGCATTCATCTACAAGTTTCTGTCTACCAAAATACAAATTTTAATTCAGGGATTGACTAGTGATTAAAAGAAAAATTTTAAAAAGCCCATCTGAAAAAAGTGCAGTTGGGTGGTTTTATCCCCCACTTGTACTTGACAAGGAGTAGGGTTGCCTGTCCATTCTTGTGGGTTTTTGTGTCAAATTCTAGGATACTGGCCTCTCGACTAGACTGTCCCAGGTTCGACCCCTTCCAGTGACAGAGAAGAACCATTAGGATTTGTCTAGCTTGGTTTTCATAAAGGTGGTGCCGGTGGGGCTGACGAGGAAAGTGTGCCTGGTCATTCATATGGTACAAAAAACCAAGGCCCACATTAGAGTGCACATAAAAGAACCCTTGGTAGTTGGAATTCGAAACTGGGTCGATTTCCTCCTCACGTATGGCACGAATAACCATTGAAATGAAAATGACCATATGTTAGTCTCAAAATGATGGAAATGTTGTTGACAAAAATATTCTTTGCATTACATACCAAACTGATTTAAATCCCACAACAGAATATGGATTCTATTGACTAATCTCGAGCCCCATACATTAAAACAAACAGAAGCTTGTTGTTGTTGAAACTAATTATAAAATAGCGGAGGAAAACGACAACAGCGAGGCTACAGCCATTTCTATAAGCCCGGTCGAAGAAGAAAACACAGGCGATGACTTCGAAGAATTTTGTAGAAAACTCAACAGCTCGGAAGACTCCGTAGCAGCATCCAGTCTCGAGACACCTCTAGAACCTAATCCGTCGGATCACCACGTAATACCCAATGACTACCACCAGTTGGATTTTAATAAAATTTTGGAAGAGTACAACATCACATTTTGAAGAATGCAAGAGAATCGTTCCGTTATAAATCAAGAACTTTTTTTATTTATTTTTTATGATACTTGTATATAATGTTAATTTGTTCAATCACCTTATACTCATATCATCCCACCATGTTACCGCGAATTGAGCGGTATATATAACTTTTTTCCAAAAAATTTCAAATTTTAGTATCTAAATTCATATTCACATGTGTTATCATGTAAACCTTCTTCAATAATCATGATCACTCCCAGATGATCACGATTAGTCTAATTTACTCAAAAAACATTCTTAAATAATCCAATTACGTCATAATCGACTAGTATAAATACCGCACGCTTCGCTCCATCCAACTCATTTACTGATGAAGGACACCCAAGTCCGAAACGTTTAAATAAATTCAACTTTAAAATCTACTAGTTCATCTATCTTCACTGGTTTGAGGGGCCACCATTCTACTTAATTATAAAATACATGTAAAAACCCCCTTAATTTGAAACTCTATTATTCAAAAAATAAGATATCATTTATGGAGTTCATGTTTATAATAGACTATATTTGATTAGGAGGGCTGTAAAAGTTTTGCCTAAATTTATCAATTAAAAATTAAAAAAGATCTGTTACATTTTTGCCTGACCATGCCTTTTTTGGTTCACTTGTCTAATCAAATTTTGATTGAGCTTATAAATATAGATATTCTTAATAATATAATAAGTGTTTAAGTCTATTACAGTATGCATATTTTTATATATAACAAACTGTGTTATTGTTTTTATTACATGAACTTTAAAACAGCTGTGTTACTTTCTATAATTACTGTAGTACAATTTATTGATTTAACACATCTGCTTTTGTTATTTAAACTCTTAAAATATGATATTTTCCCAACATGGATTTGTCTGCTCTATAATAATATAGCTTGATGATTTGAAATATTGATAGTAGCCTATTATTATTAGCTATATGTAGTACCATTGTTTATACATTTCTTTATGCAGCCTTGAATTAATTCTATCTGCCATAGAATTGATTAATTATTGGAACACACTTCTGCTCCGCCATTGTTGTTGAAGCACATTTTGAGGTGATGTCCAATTTTGTACTGTGGAATGGTTCCAGAGCTACAAAAGTATTGATTTTTTTTGTATGAAAGATGTCTAGCTTGTATTTATTGAGAAAATTTGTATTAGGTTGATATATTAGTGTTGTGAATTCTCGATTCAGGCTACCAAGCTTATCGGCAAGATATAACACCTAGCATTGTTATTGTTGTCTTTATTTCTCCATACATGTATGGTGCTATATTTAGATTGGTAAGGTGGAATTGGTCAATATTAAGGCAGCGGTCAGATAATCAGCTATATGGACTAGTGTGGGTTAGCCAATGGAATGACCAGGATTGAATTCTGTTTATTGATTTTAGTTGCCCTTGTCCTTGAGTGCAAATGTCAGTTTAATGTATGCACTAGAAACAATCTATAGTACATAGCTAGAGTAAGAGACAACTAGCTAACATCAGTTTAACTGTGATTAACATCACTAAGGTACCACTCTAACTACCATATTCTTCTTTAAAACGATAGTGATGCTAAGAATCTAGAGGGCACCAGCATCTCTGCACATGCTCAGTGGATATTTGAAGACTAAGCCATATTGTGATCTAAATTAGAGACATGATAATTATTGGTATTTTCCAGGTCCTTTGCTGCAGGTTCTCAATGAAAAAAACAAATCAAACCGGGGACGTTTAGGATCCTTCAGCTCTTCCTTCAAGGAATCCAAAAAGGAGGTGGTGCGACAAGTGTTCCTCTTCACCAATCATATGTTACTGACACACCGAGCATCCAATGGTCGCCTCCATCTTGCTAAGGTATGGTCATCTTCTCTTGTATTAGTGCTATTTTTCTCACAAAATGGTGTCTTCACTGTCAATTGCAGTATCAGGTTTCACCAGACAACAAAAATCATTATATTATGGAAGTTCATTTAGGTTGGTGGATGGAGGATAATTTACGGTGGAAGCCTGATATAAAACTGTATTAAGGTAAGGTAGTGTAGAATTATTATTACTATTATTAGAGTCATTAGAGGACCTTAAAGATATATATATCTATATATATATAAATGGTAGGTTTCTATGTGATATAATATTCATATGAATTGTCTTTGTTAATTGCTGACACAGTTCTATGACATTAATTATTTACTGCAATACAATAGATTGGATTAGTACTACTGGTATAGAACACTCTCACTCAGCACATAGGTAACATCAATAAATGTCCTTGCTTGTTTTAGAGTTTTCCAACAGAGCAGGTGTGGGGGTGGTTGATTAAGTAATTAGTTTCTGTATAAAAACATTTCTGGGTATTATATCAGGTCTATTACTATTAAAATATGACACTCGTCACAAACCCTAACCCTGGAACAGTTGTCTAACATATTTATCCAATAAACATGAACTTAAACATAAGCACATTGCCAACAATCTAATTTTAACATTACTGACTCAACTGATCTAGCTATTAAACAGTTAGACTTATAACACTGTCTAAATCTATTGGAACTGTTCTATCGAGGGGGTGGATGGTCAATTGTTTAATGTGTGCGCACTGCATCATAAGGTCTGTCATTGAGTCAACTGGCATGGTTTCGATTCCCCGGTTGTACGTGACAAGGAGTAGGGTCGCCTGTCCAATCTCGTGGGTTTTTTCCGGGTCCTCCGGTTTCCTCCCACTGCTAAAGACCCCTATGCGCAAACGAATTATTGAAATAAAATTTAACCATATTATGTTAGTCTCGAAATGACCTAGTTTGTGTCAAGTGGACATTAAACCTCATTGCTCTCTCTCTCTTACTGAAGAGGGTTTGGGTAACTGAATGGGTTAAAGTGTCCGCTTTAGATCATAAGGTCTGTCATTGAGTGTCATGGTTTCAATTCCCTGCTTGTACCTGACAGGGCATAGACTTGCCTGTCTAACCTCTTTGGTTGGGTTTCCCACTGCTAAAGATCCCTACGTGCAAACGAATTATTGAAATTATATTGAACCATATTGTTACTTCCGAAATGACCGGGTTTGAGTTAAGTGAAGTTTAAACCCAATTTCTCTTTCTGTTTTACCAATGCCTAGATTATATGATATTTTGAATTATGTTTTTAATCTCAAATCTGTATTTTAATATTATTACAATTAGTAGTTAAAATAATATTCTGTCCATAATAAATTAATTACTGGTAATCTGTCAGTTAATTATAACTTAATACAGGCAGGTAAGTTATTGATTGATCTGTTAATTCTTTATCAGACTTAATCCTTCAATAATTGTATGTTAATGTCAGCACTTTCTTAGTATGTTATTTGGATATAAAAAATACAGATGTATGCGATATTACCCTTGGTGGAAGTGGATCTTAGTCCCCACAAATGAATTAGATACATCATGAGTTGGAGAGAACAGCTTAGGAAACTGAAAAATGTGAAAGGTGTTAGATGTTCATTTACAATAATACCTTATCCATCCGTCCATCAAATATTTTATTTCGTCAAGAGACAAATACGCCTAGTACAATCACCTCAGAAACTTTGTGCAATGCGTCTTAGCTGTTTTACCTACTTTGAGGATAATCACCAAAACACTTTACGAAATGACCTAATATAATTGATTCAACAAATGTTTGAGAAGTAATTCAGATTCTTTGCCATTGTCAAAAATGTTTATCAAAGTAAGAATTATTAATGGGATGTTTTTATATTTTGATACATTGTTGCAGTGTTAGGCTATTTTTAGAGGTGGGTAACTTGCATAACAAAAATGTTCTGACAGATATATAACAGACAACGTTAGAGGATGTATTCTGGTTGGTAATTTCTTTTTTCAAGATTATACATATAGATAACAAAATAATATTATTATTAGCAAAACTTTAAAGGACTTATAACTCTAGTCTTAAAATAGATGAAAATGGGTCTAAAAAATATTAATGTAATCTGAGTATATATAAAGTGATTTACATTCAATTTTGTCATTCTTAACCAATTATGTTCGGTGAACAGTCCAAATTAAACGGCAGATGTTGCCGTCTGGTCAATCCATTCTTCATTCTACAGGTTTTTTTAATTGTTTCTTCTTTTTTTTTTCATTTGTGATTCAGCAATTTCTAATTACTTCCACAGTGTGTTCTGGGATAATTATTTCTTTGTTCATTACAAATGGCACTATAAACCATTATGACCATGGGGGTCTCTGAAGGAGTGTAAGCAAACCAAACTTAATAAGGCCACTTTAAGTTGGGGGGGGGGGGAAGTTCCGGGAAATTTTTGGTTCCGTGGCACATGCTAGAATCGATTTGACGTAAATCTGAGCCATGGCATACCATACATTGACATTTGATTTTTTTTTCATTTTCTTAAATTCATGAAATAAATAACACAAAGATGTATTATTTTATTAAGCTTTCATATGTATTACATATGAAAGCTTATTGTTTCCGTTAAGATTATTATTATTATTATTATTTTTTATGTGTGTTTTTCCTGCAAATCTTATATCTCAGAATCTAACTGTAGGATCTTTCTGAAACTTTGACCTACCCCCCCAAGAATGGGTGGTGGCTTTGGAATGAATATATTTTTAAACGTTTTACTCATCCGAAATCACCGAATTTTACGAACGAATGCATTTGACCTACATTGCTGTAACTTTGTAACTATTTGACCTATTTTACTATATTTTTTTTTCTTTGAGTACATTGAAACATTTACTTCAAATCTGCTATTTCGGATTTTCGAATTTCGAAAATTCGTCGCTGTGATTTCGAACCGGAAGTTGAAACCAACTTGACAACTTCTTTAATAGTTGCAAGATTTTCATGAAATTTAGTATGTAAGTAGATCTTACCGATGTGACTTGAAAGATGTCATTAGAAATTTTCTAAACTATCCCCCCTTGATGAAATTAAGGATCAAAGTTTTTAAAAAAATCGACGAAATATAGGTCAGATTGCCTTGAAATTTTTTTTCTGTACTAGCTAAGACAGTACTGATGTGTACACAAAATATGGAGTTTGTTGAGTGAACCGGAAGTGCCACCATCTCAAAACGTGAAAAATCCATAAGGCCTTTGCAATATTTTACTTACAGACATAAGAGTTAAATTTTCTGAATCCTTGAAGGATAGCCTAAAAATCTATCGGATTAGAATTTTGATTTAGGTCAACTGATGGACGCCATTTTGAATTGAAAATGAAAATTAGTGAAAAATCCACATTAATGGGCTTGAAAACATACACAATTGGTCGTGGCTTAGAGAATATGTCTCCTATTACCGAAATTAATACATTTCAGGATAGCCCGGATCATAGTCGAATGTTTGGTATTTGAATACGCTGGAACCAAAGGTACCATGAGTACCAAATTCCGGCGAGGAACTTTTCACGTTGGTACCTAGGTACCCTGAAAATTTCAAGGTGATACCTGCATTCGTTCAAGTCATTTGTTCTTGGCACGGTTTCAGGTCACCTGCCGTTCGTCTAAGTCAATTTACGGCTTCTATAAGGGGAAAAAAGTGGAATTTCGCCGCAACACCGGCACCGATTGTCTAAAAACCATGAAATTTGGACACAATACGCCCATTATCACCCCAGACTCTGTGCTTTACCCCCATTTTGATCCCATTAAAAAAAAGAGTTTTAGCAAAAAAACGATTTACGGAATTTAATATTGGTTTTAATTAATTTTGAAATTGCAAATGCGAAGGGATTTTATCACCTCTTCCATATGTGATAGGTATTAGTACTTTACATCCCACTTCTACTCGTTGCCACTGGTAACCTTTGATAAAACTGTCCTGTTTAAATCGCAATACATGCTTAAAAGTATCCATGTATCAGTAGTGTACAGAAAGAGTACTGTTCATTTCTGATACAAGGATACTTTTAAACCGTTTTAGATACCTATCAAGCAATCAGTAGCGGACGTTTAGTCCGATCCAGATCGCAAATGAAGACGATGGCTCTAACCAATGTACATGAAACAACTAGTCAAAATCATAGTAACAAAACAAAATGGGGGGAACTACATGGCAGTTCAAAAACATATACAATGACATTAAATTAACATAACAACATATTACAAAAATCAATTATTATACATATCAATTGGCATCTATTTTATAATTTGGTTTGATTTATATTAATATGCAAAATATATATATTAGAATATTGAATAATTATTTTAATTAATTGTGATGATAGAAGGCGCAGTTCTCTTGCTGGACACTTCACAGGCATTGATAATAAGCAGGATGAAAAAAATGCCTAGAAAGTCATAAACTTTATTACAAATAAATTTCAACGGAAGAACCATCCGCCGATGCATACTTTCACCAGGAATGACCCACATTTCGCATTTCCTTTACACTACATTTAATAATATCGCAGTCCTCTACGCCATAGATAAGATGTTTTGACGGTGTGGTCTAAACAAACACGTGATTGTTTTACGCTCAGAGTATCATAGCAAGACGCACGTGTAAATACTACTCAGGTCGTCTCTCCACAGCGAAATCATTCTACCATGAAATGTAACGTGAGGCTCAGAAAGGGATAAATAATGAAAGAGCAGAAAGTATTTGTCACTTTTCGGTTGAAACGACTCGATGATAAATACTATTTTTCACATGTTGGTTCACAATACTCGATAGAAATGTGATGTAAGTAACTTATTAGCACCTTTCCTCGGTGTATCGGTGAATATCAGGACAGTTTTGGTCGGGGGCCCCGATTGTCTGAAAACCATGAAGTTTGGACGCAATACGCCAATTACCACCCCCGACTCTGTGCCTTACTCGCATTTTGATCCGATTAAAAAAAAGAGTTTTAGCACAAAAAAAAAAAAAAAAGATTTTCAGAATTTAAATTTGGTTTTAATTAATTTTGAAATTGCAAATGCAAAGGGATCTTATCGTCTTTAAAAGACTTATGAGTGCAAGTGAATTACAAAGATTTATCATATATTATGATTGAGTGCAGTTAAATACCATAAATAGACAAGAATGTAATTTATTTTTCAGTACATCTTCATCATTGAATTTATTTTTATTTAGAACCTGGTTTTGAAATTTTTTACCTAGCCAATGTCTAGTAGGTGTGATTAACATGTCAAAATGAAGTTTCCTTGAAATCCCATTGTGATTAGATTTACTTAATTTCATATAAATATAATTGATATAATACTAGTACTAAAATGGATTTCATTTTTTATTTTTCAGCATTACGGGAAAATATCATTAATTGACTGTACACTTGTTGAAGATCCTAACTCAGATATTTTCTTTTTTGATGAAGAGAGTAAGTACATGTATGTTATATATTGGTTTAAAGTTGGAATTTTGAATATGAATCGCCTTATTGCCTGAAAAATAAATATGTCCCAGTTGGACATTTGTCAATCCATGTATGACATGTCCAGCATATACGTCTGAATCAGTGATGGGATTTCGCCTGTATATTCCGGACATGTCCGATGCTATTTTCCAAACGTCCTAAATTGTCAGACCAGGAATATGCCCAATCAGACATCAATCTACCACTCAAACTGATTATTGTCGATAATAGGATGGATTGATTAGGTAATTAAGTGATCAACACGTACTTATCGTGTTATACCACCTATACACCTACCTTGATTAACTAGTTAATCTGCCTTGACTTAATCCTTTATCGGACAATTCATCAATCCAATTCTGAACAGAAGTCATTACATCTCCTTTGTCGGACTATGTATCAGTACAATAAGAGTGATTATAAACTTAATCTATGTGATTTCTCCATTGACAGAAGTTTTAATCTCCTTGATGTCGGCCGACAACACGTAGAAATTAGTCATCTGAATACACATACAATGCTAATATAAAGGATTTGAAAACACGCCGAAGCTTGCCGGGATATGATTCATATCCAATATATGTATGTTATAGGTTGTTAATAGTGTTCATTAGTGCTCTTATTTAGTTCATATTAGTTTTTGCTTACTGACTGGCACTATGGAAGAACATGCCCAAAATGTCATCATATTTATAAATTCATTTGTTGTCATTGTGGGATAACCATTGTCCATGACATAACATTACTACCGTATCATACTAAGCAGCGAAAGAAACGTCAGGTTGGTATGTTACTCTGAATAGACGTATTGCATAAAACTTGCCAAATGTTTTTATTGTATATTTGTGACCACATCTCTAACTTTACCTGAGCTATAAGTCTCCTTCCCAAATACAGAATTGAACCCAGGAAATGTTCTCAAAAACGCAACCTGACTTCTAAGGGTAATGTGTTCTCCATGATTTTCATGTAACTCATGCTGCACGTGCTGTTGTCCGGGACCAGCCCTATAAAACGCACCCTCATACCTGGTTGAATCATTCACACGACAACGTCTGCAGCATGCCACGACTCATGACAGCTGAGAGGAACCAGGCGCTTGGAAGACTCAACGCTAGCCACACTGTCCAAGCCGTTACCAATCACTGCCAGGTCATTGTTCGGACCATCTACAGGCTTCAGCAATGCTTTCAGGCCACCAACACCACACTGACCACAGATGATCGCCCCCGAACTGGTAGACCAAGGGTTACCACAAGGCGACAAGATTGCCATGTTGTGCGAGAGCACGTGCAGAATCCCTTCACACAGGCATTTGAGACAGCACATCAGACAGTGGGAACACACGAAAGACTCATCAGTACAGTGCGCCGATGTCTCACCAGAGAGAACATCCATTGCCGTAGACCTTACCGTGGACTGATCCTCACCCCTGGCACTCGACATGAACGTCTACAGTTTGCCCAACAACACCAGGGAGAGGAGGTGGCATCACAGCAGTGCGCTACAACGATCAAGCTCTCAGACCCCACGTCATTCCACATTTCGCACGTCATCCAAACAACATTTTCCAGCATGACAATGCTCATGCCCACACCGCCAGACTTACTCGGGACTTTCTACAGCAGAACGATGTCAATGTTATGCACTGGCCAGCTCTTAGTCCAGGCTTAAACCCGATTGAACATCTTTGTGATCAAATTCTGAGGATACTTAATAATGTCATACCAACATCAAACATATCCGATGGATTGTGCCAGGCTTTTCTGAGAGTGTGGTTCCAGGTGCCAATGGCTTTCATCAATCGTCTGGTCCACTCCATGTACAGACGCTGCGCTACTGTTATTGACACTCGTGGTGGACACACCAGATACTGATGTATAGACTGTGTACAGACTCTAAACCTTCTCGTAATGTCTTGTAATTGTGATGAATTAATCACTAATGTATCCACATACTGTTTACAAAAAATTGCTTTGATCCATTTAGTAATTCGTTTTCTAGAATGATTTGATTAAAGTGCCCCACTGATTTTGAAATCGTACTGACGTTTTTTTTGCGGTTTAGTATATATGGTGTTGAGTGTATTGGTGATTGCATTGTGATTCAGTTGATATAAGGTCTGCTTCAGACAGGTGACATCTCAGACAAAAGATAATCATGTTGACTATGATGTTATATTCTATTTGATATCAAGGTAAATTGTTTCAATAGCATTTAGGGATCCACAGTGGCCCAGTGAAAAAAGCACCGGCTCTCTTACCTAGAGGTCCTGTGTTCATCAGGATTTTCCGGCAAGGTTCCACCTTGTCAGTGTTGCAGGTTGGAGGGCCTAGCAAGAACAATGTCTAGCCATTTGGATGGTATGAAAACTGAGGTCCTGTGTATACATAAAAGAACCCTTGACAGTTGGAATTCAATTGCTGTCCAGTCAAAATTGACCTCATAGCATCCTGTATGGCATATGCACATCTTCATTAGCTGGGTTGGTTCAGAACAGTGACATTTTGACTAAAGATTTTCGACTCTTTACTATTATACAAATGGTTGGACGTTATTTACATTTAAACAACACTAACAACTTAATTAATGATGACCATTGAATTTTATAGACTAGAAAATTCTATTCATAATATTTGCTTAGTTACGTTACCAGTCAACGTTCACAAAATAGAAATGGATAAAAATTAAATTAAATTTTGTGGGTTTTATTTTTCCAGCATCATCTTTAGATTCAAATCTTAGTATTGGCAGCCAGACATCTGCAGCAAATCTACTTCAAGCACCTCCCTCTGAAAAGGATGCTAAAGCAGATTACAATGGTTTAGATTTTCGTATAATTATTGATTCTAAAAGTGGTCCACCTATCACCATAACATTGGTTGCCTCCACACTCCATGAAAAAGCTGCTTGGTGCAGTGATATCAGTCAGGTAATAAATTTATTTCTAAAAAACTAATTTTTCTCTCTCAAATGTCATTAGTGGCTATATTAGGAAACTATTTTTCCTGAAATTTAACAATAATTAAATAGCCAATTGTTGTGATGTTGTCATGTATTGCCGTCCAGGCTTTGGTTGATCTCTAGTGGATCCTGTCTGCTGGAAACAATCGACAAGTTTGGAACACATGACCTCATGCACACATGTTATTATTATGATTTGATGCTGTTACATTCAGAATTGCCAGTCTTTAGTGTTTCTCTTTCTCTAAAGAGATTTACCATCATCCTTTTATAAAAGTGCTGTGTTTCAGTCACTGTGCCTCAGTATAATATAATAGAAATATCACATTTTTATAATATGACTGTGCTCTTTTCAGTGTATAGAAAATTTACAGTATAGTGATCTCCTGAACAGCTCCATGAGTGAATCTTCTTCCGTCACCATGCCACAGTCTGTCAGGTTAGTTATCAATGGTTACTTCTGCTTCCTTTTTTCTACTACTACATATTGGAGTTTAGAGACAGTACTTAATAAGTAATGTATTGATAATGGTAGATAAATGTTTTAGTTTACTTTAAAATTCTAGCAAATAGGCTGCAAATTTTCTTTTGCTAAAGTGAAGTTCAATATGATTATTTTGAGTCCCGCAGGAAATTTATTTGTCATGTTGATATTTTGATACCATATTACAGATACATACACAGTACTGAGATATGGTGAGTCTTAATAGAAGACGGCTCTGTGTCTTAATATTGCTTGCATATATAACATTATTATTATTATATGTACTATATATAATATATTGCTTGTCTGTATATATAGATATATTAAACCAGTGTACATGTATCACTGCACCAACCCATTACTAACAAACCTACTTCATTTTTTTATTTAAACTTTTATTGAATAAGCCTGAAGTATGTTTTAAAGGGGAAGTCTCAGATTATTTTAGGTAATAAAACAGTTTGATTCTGTATAAAACTCTCTTTGAAACATTTCTCTTTGTCCTTTGAAAACACATAAAGCACTGTGTCACTTTTTGAAAAAATACCAATTTTCAGTTACTATGTGGGGTTGACCATAAATTCTCAAAATTCTAGCCCCATCTATATACTTGCCAAGGTTATAGTGATAAGTAATTGTCATAACTATCAAGTCACTCGTGCAATTGGACTATAAAATTCCTTAAATTGGTTACATAAGCCAGTTAAGCATATCCGACAAGGTAAATAGGCTATTACTTCACATTTTGGTCTTTGATTTGTATACTTAAACCCACTTTTATATATGCCTAAGAAATCTGGGACTGCTCATTTATTACCCTTACAATTAGCCAAAAAATATAGTCTTTAATTTGGCTCTGTTATATTGTGACGATACACCATTTGAAGATGTGAACATCAGTTAAACGTTGACCTACTCTTAATTCCAACAGGAATGTCAGTTTGGATAATTATTACACATCACATAAAAAAACAACATGGATGAATTACTTGCTATCTTACCTTTAATGAATCGTGTATTGTAAATTATTATTCAACACCTTGTATATAGTTTCAGTTATAGTGTTAAGTAAGAACAGCAGACTGTTTTAATGACTTTACTATATATATATATAACAGGTGGTGTGATTAAATCATTTGTTGCTAATTACTAATTGATATTTGACATCTTTGAAACAAATTTATGTTGCATTATAAAATAGCCTTTGTGACTTTTAGTATAAGTATAAAATGTGTCAAAAAATGTTGTACCTTTTAAAACATTTTGGATGGTATTATGCCTCCCTAACCCCAAACGGACAATGTCATACTATCACAAGAGCCATATTAGGTCTATGTTTACCTATACAGCTATTGTATTTCATACTATTATTGTCTTGTGTAGGAGTAACAAGAGTTCAATCTACCTCTATAAGCTCTCACGTCTCTTTATAGTCATAATGTTTATTTTATGCGCCCCAATCCTCAAAATATTGTGATCTTGCATTGTCATCATCCATGTCAGACATCTGCAATTATTTGTCCACACTCTAAAATACCAGATTTTAAAACTTACTGATAGTGACAAGTAGGATCCTTTCTATTTTATTAGAGATGAAGGTCCTGTACGCCACTTTTAATCGTACTAAAGTATATGGATTGTTAAAGCTCTGTTGTGAATTTCCAACCCCGTCTAGAATGTACGCCATGTTGCATCACCTATTGGTAAATACCTCCGAAAAAATAAGATAAGAATAAACTGTTGTGGCAAAAGTTATCAGAATGATCAAGATTAGTATCTGATTATGCTTGAGGTGGGGCAGGTTCAATTAAGTAGAGAGAAAAAAGTGCCATGTTAAAGGTGTTAGCTCCCAGTGTAGATTGAAGTTAAATTAAGGTGTTGATTAAGCTAATATATTTTAAAATAGGAAACTATTGGTTTGAAAGTTCAGGAAGTGGTACTTGATGGTTTTCAATTTCTCAGTTTGAAGGAATGTGTTTTAAAAAGGTTGCTCAGATGATGGGGAGATTGGGAGCTAAAAGCTACTTCCCCCCAACCCCCACCTCCCACCTCTTTATCATAAGTGAGAACCATAAGAATCTTTTAGAAATATGAGGGAGCAGCTATTATTTTTGTGATTAGGCTAGCACTACCTCAGTTGAAGGCAGTTGAAGTAAAAGGGATTGTAACATTTCTCATATTAAAAAAAAATCATTACATTAGAGAATTATCAGTTTGGATTAACTTGAAATTGTGAGGTAACGACATTCCCCTTCCCGAACAAAGTTAGGGAAGGCTGTTCTCTAGCATTCTCACAGTACTACATCATTGAATACATGTTAGACTGCCTAGGACTATTATCCTTCATCCTCTTCTGTAGACAACCAGTTAAATATGCAATATCTAGCACATACGCAGATAGGACCACTTATGAAAAAACCCAAAGTGCCTAGCCCCCAAATCTCCTCATAGTTATATTAGTGCTGCACTAAGGACTGTTTTGTGTTTAATCTACTAACTAGTCTTTTTCCCGTGCTGTAGTTTCATTACAGAGAGAAGCTAATTTATATGGTTCCAGTCAATACCCCTCGTACTGCAACTAATAGTATTAGTAATAATGCAGTGGCTGAAACTCGTATGAGTGCAGACGTTAAAGATCATCATTATCAACCTGTGACAACAGTAAAACAAAATATGTCCTTTACTTTGACTGAAGACCAGCATTTCAAGGCCTATCATAATTCAGAGGCAGGTAATCTTGGACATCCAGTGCATCCATTAGCTTAAGGTTTGCCTATTCGATGGCTTCGTTCTAGCAAACCAACGAGTACCGTCACTTCAGCCTCCATGGAATCGAGGCCCAAGATGGCATTCCCCAGTTTTTTGTCGGAAGAAAACAAATAAGCTCTTGATAAACGGATTGGAAACAATAGTTTTATTGATGATTTGGCACCGAAGGGCAAATGAAGAAAACTTAACCCTCAAAACAATGGTGTTTACAATGACAGCCACAACGTCAACAGGGGTACTTGTGATTATGATGGTGAACGCAATTATGTTGATACCCGTGACAAGGAGGAAATCAAATCTTCAGATCTAGATATTCCGAAAAATCACAGATTCTCTGAGGCTTTTCAAAAGACTAAAACCAGTAAACCAGTTTATGACACAGTGGCCTCTATGCTTACTAGGACAAGCACGTCCCAGGCTGACCCTGATTTCCTTAAATCTGTCAAAGATAAGTACCTCCGACCGAATAATACTCCGTATGTCACTGTCGCTACCATTAACAGTGGAGTTTATAAGAAAATGTCTCGAGGTCAGAAAGAAAGAGACCACACTTTCCAGCGGTGGAATTTATGCAGTAGCAGGTTTGGCAGATTGTTTAAATTCACTGAAGTTAGAAAATCCTGCTAGTGACGAGTTGGCCATCTTAACTAACATGGCAGAAGATGCAAGTATTCTAATTGGACATTCATCTTTTCTTTTATTATCGTTAGCCAGAAGAGAGAATCTCAAACATTTGTTTTCTAGAGATTATAAAGATCTGTGTAAGAAATTGCAAGATATCACTGCTGAACTATTTGGCAGTGATCTTGTAAACTTGTAAAGATATCAGAGAAACCTCAAAAGTGCCATTCACAGGATCAAGTTTTCCATCTTTTTCCTCCACTAATTCCTTTCGCAACAAATCAACAGGTTATCAGAGATCAACTTACTCTACACCAGCTTTGCCAGAGAACAAATACCAAGCCAGATGGAAATCAGCTAAATCATTATCAACATCAAAAAACTTCCAGTGGAAAAAAAACAACAGGAACAAGAAATGATAAATGCTGGGTCCCTACGAAACAGTTTAAAATTTTGTAGAAAGCTGACATACGACAAACAAGTTCTCAATTTAATTCAGGGTTAACACATAGAATTTGACACAATTCCTTGGCAGTCACAACCAAAGGTCACCCCTGTACCGAAGAACTTGATAAAAGCAAATATTTTCCAATTAGAAGTAGAAGCCCTTTTGAATAAAAGAGTAATCATACCTGTTCAGCCAATAACAGGGGAATATCTGTCGAACCTGGTTCCTTGTTCCCAAGAAAACTGGCGGAATACGTCCAATTATAAACCTAAAGCCACTGAATCAATATGTAATTTCAGCACACTTCAAAATGGAGACTTTTCAGACTGTTTTGAGTTTAATTCAACAGGGAGATTACCTGACAAGCATAGATCTAAAAGATGCTTACTTCAGTATTCCAGTATCTGTGGAAGATCGAAAATTCCTGTGTTTCATGTGGAAAGATCAGCGATACGAATTCCATTACCTTCCATTTGGACTAAAATCAGCACACAGAATCTCACCAAGGTCACCAAACCTCTATTAGCTTATCTACGAACACGAGATTTTTCAGAAGGCAGGCTTCGTTATAAACGTAGAGAAATCTTCCCTGTACCCAAAACAGGAAATCATGTTCCTAGGTTTTCACATCGACACGATATCTATGATTATATCCATAACTCACGACAAAGAAACAATGATTCAAAAGGAGATTCACAACCTACTGAGCTGTATAAGTTTAACAATAAAACAAGTTACAAGAGTAATAGGATTATTGGTGTCAATTTTTCTGGCAATCTACCAAGGCCCCCTTCATTACCATCATTTAGAAAGAGACAAATCCAGGGCACTTCTTCAAAAGTCTCTTATCAGGCCACAATGTCGCTATCAGCCCCAGCAGTTTTGGAATTCAGTTGGTGGACTCTGAATTTCTCTCTAGTGAATGGCAAATCAATACATTGGGGAGCAGTGATGAACCAAACATGAGTATCGGGCTGATGGACAATAGAAGAGGCCAAGTCTCACATAAACCTACTAGAACTGAAAGCAGTTCACTTTGCCTTGCTAACCCTTGCACCTTCGATGTTCAATCTTCACACATACATGTACAAGTACAGATGGACAACAAGTCGACAGTTGCCTATATCAATCACATAGGAAGGACGCACTCTGTAGACCTAGATTAGTACCTTGGAAACTGATGACAGCCTATGCCTTTCAACCCCTTCAGTCTAATCCTAGGTGTAGTAAACAAGGTACATCTGGAAAATCCAAAAGTGATGTTGATAACTCCATACTGGACAGCTAAACCGTGATACGCCCAATCTCTACAACTGTCATGCTATGAACCAATTTTGATACTAAAACAAAAGAACCTGCTCTTACTTCCGCATGATCAATCTCAAATCCATCCATCTGAGGACACCCTGCAATTAATTACGGGCACAGTTTGCGGAGACAGTATGGTAATAAAGAATTTTTGGAACAAGCTAAACACTTACGAATCAGCTTGGAAAGCTTGGTTATGCTGGAATAGTAGAAAACAGTTGGATCCCTTTCCTTCATCTATAGTTCAAGTCATTGAATTCCTAACCTATCAGTTTAATGAAGAGAACAAATCCTATAGTGCTCTTAATCCATACTGCTCTGCATTATCATCAGTGCTTCAACCAATTGATGATATTCCAGTTGGAAAACATCCAACTGTTATCCAGTTGGAAAACATCCAACTGTTATCCAGTGTATGAAAGGTGTGTTCAATGTCAAGCCATTTGTGCTTAAATATTGTGTGACATGGGATGTGTCTATTGTGTTAAACATTATCAAAACCTTGCCATGTGATTCTAAGCTAACTTTAAGAGAATTATCTCATTAATTAGCTATCCTTATTGCTCTGCTTTCTACTGATAGTGGTCAATCCATAACGTTAGTAGACCTAGAATATTTATCAGTCCTTCCGGACAAAGCTGTCTTTGTTATTATGGGTGCAACCAAAACTTCTGTGTTAAATCCACTTAACTACATTACAGTGAACAAACACTCAATTTACAAAAGTGTAGTACTTTGTTTATTTCCTTTGTAAAAGCACACAATTACTGTTGCACGTTGGATTAAAAGTGTGTTAATTAAATCAGGAATACAGGGCTTTAATGTGCATTCCACTTGCTCAGCTTCAATCTCTGCAGCCCTTGAAAGTGGACTATCCATTACAGATATTTTAAAACCAGCAGACTGGTCTAGAGAATCAACCTTTAGTAAATTTTATATCCGGAAAACTGTAAATGTTAATTTTGGAAAGTTTTGAATTTCACAAACAATTAATGATTTATTGTTCCAATTAATGCTTTATGTTATTATTCCAATTAGATAAATTCTGAAGATTATATTAATATACAGCAATTTTCTTTGAAATCTGCATATTTAACTGGTCATTTACAAAAGAGGATGAAGGATAATTCTTAATTAGATTAGGGTATACTTACCTGAAGGATAATTGGAATTATCTGAATCCCCTTGGTAGCCGAACAGTTAAATCCCCCACCCCCCTTATTTTCCCTTCCCATGTTTTATGCCTACTTAGCTTGCAATTTAATAACTATGAGGGGATTTGGGGGCTACACTTTGTTTTTTTTAATAAGTGGTCCTTCTGGCATGTGCTAGATACTGCATATTTAACTGTTCGTCTACGAAAAGGATTTGGATAATTCCAATTATCCTTCAGGTAATTAAGTATACCCTAGTTTAATTAAGAATTCTCTGCAATATTGCACATGTTACAAAAAAGGCAAAAACTGTGAATGTCATTATTCTAATTAAAGCAGAATTTACAAGTGTAAAATAAAATAGGTTTAAATTACGCGGTCAGTATAAAACTGATAATATTTATAATTGAACTTTATAGAAACAAGTTAAATATTGATAGAAAATGTCCACATTAAATATTCACATATCTAGAATATGCACTTTAAACTAGTTGTCCTTACAATAGCAAATGAATATATAACATTTGAAAAACAACAGGTTAACATACATTAAAAATGCAAGAGCTAAATCTGCCTATTGCAGGTCTTTCTTTGGGCCTGAAATATTATATAAACTATTAGTTAGACATTTATTAACATGAAAAGACCTTAATCAACTCTCGATGCCATCTTATATGTTGGATTTTCACTGGATTTGAATCCGATTTGCTATTCAACGCCCATTGATGATTTAATCCAAAAATGAATAATCGAGACTATGTTTTTTATAGTACTGACTTTAATAATGATTATCGAGACTAGGTTATATCTGGGTTCAATTTGACTGAAATTTTCAGCATATTCCCTTTACATTATCTAGTTTTTAACTATTATAATGAGAACTGCCAGCTCTTTATCTGATCTTCCATAACACCCCTTTAACCTCCTCAAAAGAGTTGTGGTATCAGATGTTCTAGAAAGGGAAAGCATAACCTTGCCACATGCATGACACCTGCCACTACTCACAGTACCTTATCAGTAGAAAAGGAAAGCGATTCTTCTGTTTATCATTATATATCTCATTTTAAATACCAGTTACTGGTAATCTCGTAATGACGATTAATATACTTCATTTGAGTGAAATGATGTAGCCTTAGAAGTGTGCCTGCTTTTGGCTACCCCAAACAGATGTACCTCCTCAATAAACAAGGAAGGAAGTTTATCCCAGCATCAGCTAAAACCCTGGCTACACCGCTGAGACACCTAAAGCAAATGGTGATTGGGATCTCAGAAAGTCAAATTATTTTCAGCATTATTTATGATCATGCTGAACCTATATTTATGAGTAACATTTTGCATGAATATTTAATAGTAGACTAGACTTGGATTAGATAATAAGTTGTGCTAGATTTAATTGTCTTAGATTTAAGCATGCCGTTAAAACAAATTTATTCTAATATTTATGTTAGATCATTTCATTTGTAATATAAATTATTATCATTTCTGATTTGAACACAAGGTATCACTGCCCGAGGCTTCCTGAACCATACCAAGTTCATTTTAATTTGAGCATTTTCAGAAATATGGAATTAAAGGCCATTCATCATGTTAATGCATGTCAAAGTAAAAATAACACATCATGTTCACCGTGTAGATGATTGGAAGTAATACCACAAACCCATCATATAACCCAGGATATATGATAGTATGATGTTATAGCCTTGGTGGCTGGTTGTTGTTGATTTCCTTGTGTCAGTACATGTCCAGCCTGCAATCATGCCAAAAATCACATATAAGCTGCATTATGTCTAGTCAGCACTTCCAGTCAAATTAATGGTGCATTTTCATTACTTCTCAGTTAATCTACATACTGGGTTTCTGGAACAAATTTCACCAACTAGCTAAGAATTTGTTTTTCAATTTTAAACCAAACCCTTTCCAGCCTGGTCATATAGGTTGACTAAGTTGGCTTAGACGTAATTATTCTTAGAGAGTTAATAAGTTGTGCAAAATATATAACTGTATAATAGAAAACAGATAAAAAATTTGTTTCTGTTTAGTTTCTGCAGTCTTGTTTACCCTTTTCCTCTCCGTCAGACATTTCACAGTAAAAGTATTTCTTCTTTATTTCTTCAATATATAACTCATTCCTTTTTCCTCTGAAACTAACTATTAGATCAGACTGCCATAATTATCTATATATGAATCATGAAGTATACTTTAGCCTATGAACTTACGTTAGTATATTCGATTTGACAAGTTACAATAATGAACCAGATAGTTTAATAGCAAATCCTTTTATTGTTGAAGGAATATTATAGTATGTGTCTAGGTATATAGATATAATGAAAAAATGTCCCCTGTTAAATAATCGTTTGCTCTTGTTACAATATTTCTGAGGCATTATGATTATGACAGTGGTCTGGGAATGGTAATGTCCTATAGGCGCTGTGTAAGGTGTGTTTCTCTTTGTATAGGATAAAAACAAATCCAGTGTACTGGATATTTAATATTTAAAATAAACACAGCTGTCAAAGCAAAATCATCGGTTTTCACACATAACCTTTGTATTAAATGATTTAAAAAAATGTATGTCTCAAAATAACCTAGATCATTATTATTATTTGGGGAGCCACGGTGGTTATGTGAGTAAGGCACTGGCTCACTTACCACCAGAGGGTCGGGGGTCCGTTCCTGGTGTTTGTGAGAAAGTTCCCTAGGATTTTCCAGCTGGTTTCCCCTTATCAGTGGTGCAAGATGGAGGGCCTGACAAGGAACAATGTCGATTCATTCTAAAATTGTGGTTGTGCCAGTTGATTGTTTTTGACATCAACCAACCAATCTAATCTGTTGAAAATTATTTTCTTGGTGATTAGCATGATTAATAATTTATGTGTCCAATTGTAGGTCAGATCCAAAACTGTTTCGTGATGATGTGGATATTAAATTCAGTCGAACGCTTAACTCCTGCAAAGTTCCACAGGTAAGCAATTTATGTCAAGTATGTAATGGGGGTATCAGTTCTATCCTGCCAGTGCAGCCCTTTTGAATCCATTTTACTAAAATTAGAAATAATATAATGTTTCTGTGTTTTATCCATGAGTTATTGGGCTGTTAGGGAACTGAATTCACAATTTTTCAAATCATGCACTCATTGATGATGGAGATACCACTGTCCTGACAAGCGAATAAAGTAAGTGTTAGTCTAAGAAAGACTGAAGTATTGTGTTGATGAGACATTAATGGTGATTTCCTTGGTATTACAGCAATAAACAAATTATTGGTCCTTCATGACCCAAATATGGTATTTATGATGGATACATATGGCCATGGATATACAGAATGCTTTTTGTTTTAGGAAAATTAGTTTACATTTCAAAATGGCATGATTCTTTTTTTCAGATTCGTCATGCGAGTGTGGATCGATTACTGGATAGACTGACAGACTTGCGGTTTCTAAGCATCGACTTTCTTAACACATTCCTGCTGACATACCGTGTCTTCACTACTGGTCAAACATTACTAGAAGCTTTAAAACGAGTTTATAAAAATCCTGAAGCTAGTAATTTAGACTCTAGCATGTGTTCTATATCTGCTCAGTAAGTCTATTAGGGTACAAATTAATACAAATGTGCAACAAGGGCAGGGCAAAACAATTTACCCAATATTACTCAACACAATACTAACACAATACTAGCACAGTACTACCAAATACCACCACAAACTACTTCATTGGGGTCAAATATTTACAGAATACTTCAATTTTATCTATAAACAATGAGTTAATTTGCGGAAAACTTGCAAGTGTGAAGGATTATTTCTCATCATTTTATTTGTCTGCCTTGGTCACACAGATAATAACCCCATACTACTAAAATAAACCCCAATGATATAAAATAATGATCCATTACTGATACAATTAATAGACATTCCAGTTTACCCAACAATTTTTGCTACTTTTCCTGAACTGAACTCATTGATATTTAGAAACTACTGGACAACATGGCCTTTTCATTAGCCTAGTGCTCTCAATTTTTCTACCACAGCTTAAAGATGCATTGTGTAAGATTTAAAGACAGAGCTAGCCGTTCTTGCTATATAGATAATGCAAAATGAATATATTGAAAATTTAATTCAAATTACTTTATTCTGAGCAAAGTTATTGCTGTTTGAAGTTTTAACAAGATGTGGCATAGGTTGTTTATTATCGCAACAACCTACTTGTTATTCGAGGCTTGGCCTTGCTTCGCTATTTTTAAATTGAATCATTAAATGGTGACTGCCACTATTAAATCCTTAAATTGCGATCCTATTTTAATCCATGTAAATTTCCACCATCCAATGATCTAGAGAGTTGATTATAGGCTTGGCATGTGAATAAATATCTTAATATTATTTTATATGTATATAACTTTTGAATACCTGCAATATGCATCTTTTAAAATCCCTGCTCACAAGTGAATTGTTGTAGGCCCACTTAGGACTAAAAGTGATTAAATTTTAGATTAACAAAGACCCAGATGTCCTAATTGAAAGCTTTCCAAAATCATTTGTATTAAGTGCGCTAGATCTTGTGATTTCCTACAGTACATTTGATTTTGACGATCAATCAAACGTGTGGTTATGGGTATTAAAGTCGGCCCAACTTACGTTAAGCTCACACTTGGATATTTAGAAGAGATTTGGTATCATCATATAAATATTAGATTTGGCACAATTTAGTTTTTATATCCAGCAAATATGGAAGAGATTTTTGGACGATTGTCCTTCATAAAATGTTGAACTCTTTAGATCCCAGTATCCAATTAACTATTGAAAAAAGTGAATAGTCTTTAAATTGTTAGATGATGGTCAGATTAAAACTGACCTGTATTACTCATAAATATTTTGATTTCTCATCCTGTCATCCTTCACATACAAAACGAAATATCCCATATGGTCTGGTGTGAAGAGTATGCACAATATAGTTTCCAATGCTAACACAAAACTTAAAAGACTAGCTGTACTTAAAGCATTTCTATGCAAGCAAAATTACTCTGAGAAAATTATTGATGAAGCTTATGATCAATCTCTTAATTTAGAGCAACCCAAATTAAGAGAGCCTAAAGTCAAAATTCCTAAGAATAATTTTGAATTACCACTAGTCACATACACATAATCCTATACTCAAGAGGGTGGAAAATTTATTGTGCAAAAACATCTTCCCATATTACTAAAAAGTGACAAGATGAGAAATATTATGAAAAATTCAGGAATCATAAACAGTCTCATACAACCATCAAATCTATGAACTGCAAATCCAAATATATCATTTATTACATGATTTGTACTGGGTGTCGTGAAAAATATATCGGAAAATCTATAAAACAATTAAACCATCAAATGAACCTCCACAGATCCCAAATAGCCATTCCACAAAACAGAATGATACCAGTGAGTAAGCATTTATTTGGACTAATGTGGTGGGGGTAAATTTGAAGTTTTTCCGATGTATTAACTCCCCTATTAATTAAGTGGTTTCCATCAAGGTATACATTACGATTAGACATTTATATTAATGCATATGGTTTCATTATTATAATCAAAGGGTCACTGTCCTAATTAAATGGTTTCATTGAATGTTCAGATTGTACATAGTATATATATTTCGTTCCTTCTGTCTGTATCAATATTGTGCTTGATATCGACAAGATAATCATTGTTGAAATGTAGCTTTAATAGAAATACAGTAATGCCATTCAAACAATATATTAATTAAATATTTTTAATAATGAAATGAACTCTTAGAACAAAAAAGAGTCACATTTTATTAAAAGGTACAAACCCAAACTAAATGTTAAAAAATAATTTATTGTGTAATTATATGTATTAATATCATTCATTTAGTATCAATAACAACATGCTTGAAGAGTTATTCCCCTTTATGACTTTCTAGTATTGAAACCATGATGTTATTCTTATTGTTATATAATTATTAATGGAGAATTTGTATTAAATGCCTGAAGATGTTCTGATTGAACTGAAAGCTCTAGCCGCATAATACTGTTTCTTTTATTCAGGTTTATTATATGGTTTATTTCTTTATGTTTTTGATATCTTAAAGGTCTCTATCTGATGCAGAAGAAGGTAGTCCACCACATACAGATTTTACTGGTGAACCACCTGAAGTTGATTCCAAATATGTAATTAAACCACAGGCCGAGAAATTTAGACGCATTAGTACGGGCTGTATGAATGATGCTCAGACAGTAGACAGACTTCCACTTGGGGGCTTCCATGGTACAAAAAGTAAGATAAAAATCAAATCATTTTGTGATGGCTTTCAGCAGTTAAAGTATCTGCCATTGTTGAAATCTCATTGGCAGTTAATTGGCTTGTAATGTCATTTTTCCACATAAACAATAAGTGGTGTCGAGTGTTCTAGAAGAAGTAAGTATAATCTAATGCATGTACAACGTTCATATCTACTTATATCATGTTTACCCGGCTTCAAGTTGAAGGCCCACGCTTTTATACAAGATCTATGATTTAGAATTCGAATGATAGAGCCAGATATATTCTTAACTAGAGCTTGTCCAATATGTGATTGTAAGGTTTAGATATGGTAGTAATTGTGATTGTATTTTGTTTCAGTTGAACGAGGTGAATCAGTAGATAGTGATGACAGTAGATCAGAGTTATCTACCTATCTTATTCCTCCAAAACCTAAACTAGCACCTATCGCTTCTTGTGAAACACTGTATGACCACGATATTCCTGATGTGCCCTCAATTACTATGGAGGATTCTTCAACTTCAGGTATAACTCTGTCTGATTTTGAAATTGGTGAATCATCAGTTGATACCTGTGATAGTGACAATGAGGGGCGACTCGCACCTCCACTGGTTATTTCAGGGGCACCACAAGACTTCTCAGAGACGTTAATGCGCACTAGCCACTACACTTTAAGTTCAGCTGCTAGCTCGGATACTTTAACACCAGGAACACCTCAAGCCAGTCCCATTCCGTCACCACTGGGAAGTCCAAAGAGAATCAAGTTCAACCTGAAACAAAATGGAAATAAAGGTCGACCTCAAAGTCCATCAGCTCCGTGCAAAATGCCTGATGCACCAGCAGTGAGCCTAGAAGCTCTAACTCTATCACCTGCAAGTAGTCCAATACGTGTGATAAAACCCCTCCCAACATCATCACCAATACGAGTACCTTCACCAAAATTTCGTTCCACATCACCAAAGCAGACATCTTCTCCATCGCGAACACCTAGATCTCGATCACCTTCAGTTAGTCCAAAATTGAGACGAGCGCCTTCACCAATAAGCTACAGTTATTCATCACCTAATATTATAGCCCCACAGATTAAGATCAAGCCATGTGAGTTTAACTGTTGTTGTCATTGGATGACGTTATTTGTGGTTGTGTGGTCATCTTTCTATTCCCCTTCTGTTTTTGTGATTCCTGTAGTTTTTTCAGCATTGTGTGTATATTTTGATACTGTTAACATCCATGTATAACACACACTTCTTTCCCCTGGGCAGTCCCCTCCCTGAAACTAGGGGTGTGTGTTAATTAGTAGAATGCACAAAAGATCAAAGCCCTTTTTATTACACAGCCATATAGCTGATTTAAAAATTTCATGTTACTGCTAGTTTGACATATATACAGCTCATAGTAATCCAAACTATGAGATTATGCTATTTTATATAGTTGCCATGATTCAAAAAGATTATTACTTATGCAGTCATAAATCCCAATTCTATGATCCACAATGATAAATAATAATCATTTTGAACATATGTGAGAAAAGTCTGTTGGCATTGTCAACAGGGATACTAACACTGCAATAGTTAGTTACTTTGAAACTTTTGAACAAGGAAAAATAGCTGTTCAAGCTAACCATGAAAATATGTCTTAAAGGATAGATAATATTGACAGAAGTGGATCATAAACATTGTATAAGAGCCTTTGTTTCTGCCCTACCTTTAATTACAAAAATTTATTTTGTCCTGTCGCCAACAAGAAATTTCATGGGATCTTCCAGCTGATGATTATAATTGTGTGATGTTTTGAATCAGTCAGTTTTATTCATTTTGTTTTTCAAGATAACTGTTATGTATTTCATGTTAGTAGATCATGGCAATTAAGGCCATATAAAGAAATATATTCTGGTTCTCAGATACACCTGCAAAAAATAGAAATGAAACGGTCTCATTACTTACCACATGTAAATGATTTCCCTCATGGGTTAATAATAATAATGATAATAATAATAATTGTTTTCTATAGTGCTGAACATTCAGTCAGTCTGACTGCTCTGTAGCACTTTACAATGTAGATATGATTATAAAAAACATACATATATATACAAATAAACAAAAGAATACAAAGGAATAGTCAAGTTACAATATACAAATGGAAAGTGAAGCATTTAAATTATAGTTCAAATGTTTGGGTAAAAAACAGGGTTTTTAGACGTTGTTTAAATATAGCCAAGTTTGGACTCCTTTATTCTGGATTTTCTGTAGCTGACTTACAAGCGTTTTAGGAAGAGAATACAATAATGAATAACAATAATCTAAAGATGACATAACAAAAGCATTTATTAACATATTAGTGGCATCAAGGTCAATATAGGGTTGAATTTTGCCAATGTTATACAGGTTAGGAAGTAACTTGATAAGAAAATTTGAATGAATCTGGAAATTTTAAAACATGCAACCCTGATAAATATTATGATAATTGTTATTGACAATCATACATTAAACTGGATAATCATACATTCAACATCGGGATGTTTATGAGAAGTCATTTAACCCAGTAGTGAACCTTTGACATCAAATTTTTAGAAAGGATAGTCTGTGAACCAGAATATTTTTTTCTGTATAGCCTAAATGAGATTTGAAATATTTTAAAAGGTTATTCGAGCAACTGTCATTGTTATCGGCAATAAAATCATGGACAAACTGTTTAAAATTTTGTCTAATGAAGCAGCATATAGTATTTATTGAAGTTAACTGAGAAATTTTGTTTTCATCTTATTGGAAATGTGCATATTGTAAATTTATAATGATGTGATATTTTTTGTTTAATCTTTGATTGGTTGCTATTACTTTCTTGTGTTGAATGTACATAGGGTGTTGGGTAGTTGAGTTGTTAGCACTTGCATTTTAGATCATAAGGTCTGTCATTGAGTCTAGAGGCATATTTTCGAAATTTGGCCTGTATGTGACACGGAATATGTAGGCTATTCTGTCTACCATTAAAATAAACCCTCATTTCTCTCTATAATATGTCATATCAATGTGTCTTAAATTATCTCCCTTGATTGGAGTTATTTGCAGCATTTACAGAGAAGAAATCATAAAGGAATGACTCAGCAATTAGTAGGCCTAACTGGTATAGTCATTTATTTAGAGTACTCTCTAGTATATATACACTGGGGATTCACCTTATCATGTGTTCATTATATATAATACTGATGGGCTTCACTAGAACGCAGTAGGAAAACATGCTTAACCCTGTCTTACACAGAAACAAGGTTGTCACAAACACACTGCTACTGGTCTTTTTGAAAAATGAGAGAACAATGTTTATTAAAAAGGACCAGTCATTAGAATGTAACACTTTAAATCAAATTTTACATTTTATTGTTGTTATCGGTTCTGAAAGGTTATAGAATATGACATATTTTAATATCTATGATTTATAGTTTCAGGGAAGAGGGGTAGCGCTGAGGCTGAATCAATTAATATATCCAGTCCTCGGGGTAGTTTTGCACAAATCGAAGGCTCACCCCCTCATGCTAAGGCAGGTGCAGTAGTAACATCTTCACGAGCGTCTAAAAGAAGGTATGGGTAAGATATCAATGTTGTGACTATCTTCGTAGTTTGTACTAGTGAGCATCTGTCTTTATGGTTTGTTGGTTTTTATTTTCTTTTCCTTCTTTTCTTTTGATTTATTACTTGTTAAGCTTGAATGAAGAGATTTTTAATTTAATGCAAGAACCTGACGTCTGGTTTTTGGAATAGTCTGTATTCTGTGCATTAAAAACCGGAGATTTTTGGGATGAACATTTTAATATTTTTATCGTAGTATGGTAATATTCTACGTAAATTTATGCATGTTTTGTTAGTACCTTGGACATTTGTGTTTTCTTGATATTTTTATACAGAAAAACTATGAAATGTCATTTGAATAATGGAGTATATCTAATATGTGACTGTAATATGTTATAAGTGATTAGTTGATATGATAGAGGGAATCAATTAAATTCATGAGTAGGCTGTACTTGATCCTTAAACAGTTTTATCATAGTCTGATCCTTAAACATTTTTATCCAATTTCTATGGAAAGGGGGCGAGATCAAAAGGGGGCTATTGAAGATCCCTCCGTAGTTACTATGTGAATAGTTTTAAGGGAAGCACATATGTGTGAACAATATTCTCCTACATCGAATAACCATGGAAAATTGTCATCAGGTTTCAAATTGTCTGAGTATTGCATTGAGGAGACATTGAACTCTTTTTATATGCTATCCTATTTAATCCTATAATTATTGTACAATCTAATTGTAATATTTTTATTTATTTTAGATCAAGTTCATCTGCAGCAACTACTGCATTTGCTGCAGCCACTGCTGGTTTGGCTAACTACTCTTCAACAGAAAATCCCAAAAATGTGGGTCGCTTTCTTAGTGTTGGTCCAGGTAAGGTTATTTCATTTCTTTTTACTTTTAACAGATCTCATGTTAAATTATAAATACCAAATAGTAATCTCATGTTAAATTATTAATACCTAATACTAATCTCATATGTTAAATTATAAATACCAGTACAAAGATCTGATCTCATGTTAAATTATAAATACCAAATATTGATCTCATGTTAAACTATACTCAGCCAAATTAAAAACTTGACACTGATGAATTTCAACAAATTTTTTTTCTAGTAAGTCAAATAAATTTTAAAGTGTTTCTAACGATAGTAAGTAGTAAGAAGCCTTTAATTTCATAAATTTGTAAAGTCACGTGGATCACGTGACTTTTGAGCATATAAAGATGAAAAACCTGAAAAACACGTGCAAACACAAACTCGTGAGGTCAATCGATGCAAGTTTGCTTAAACTGAACACGCACACGTAACTTGAACTGGAAAAACAAATTAAAATTGTTATTTTCATCTTTGTTAGAAAATGCTGTGCCTTTCAAATGTAGAACGTCTACGTGCTATAGGTAGGCTCTCTGCTGGTCAGTCTGTGGTCACTGTTGCAAGAGCCTTTAATTGTTCACGCCAGACAATAATTAATCTTAGAATGAGAATGCTTCAAACTGGAACTATTGCCGACCGCCCAAGGGCGGGAGTGCCACGTGTGACGTCACTCCAGGAAGATCAAGCAATACGATTACGTCATCTTAGAAACAGATTTGTCACTGCAACCTCCACAAGTAGAGAGATGTTTGGTGGAAGGGTAACTGCACAAACTGTTCGAAATCGCTTGCAGGCTGCTGGTCTTCGAGCTCGGAGAATGGACCAATATTGACACCTCTTCATCGCCGTAACCGACTTGTGTGGGCCACAAGACACATAAGATTTACTCAAAGACAGTGGAATTCGGTTGTCTTTTGTGATGAATCTCGATTCACTTTGAGATTTGCCGATGGCAGGGCCCGAGTGTACCGCAGACGAGGTGAATGTTACGCTCAAGTATGCGTCAGAGAAGTTGAACGATTTGGTGGTGGCAGTGTCATGGTTTGGGGTTCTTTTTGTGCACATGGACGTTCTCCTCTTGTTGTTGTCCAAGGGAATACCCAGAATTTTTTAAGAAATGCCGGTGTCCAAGTCCCGGATTGGCCGTCGCTTAGCCCCGACCTTAATCCTATTGGACACATCTGGGACGAACTGGGTCGACGTGTTCGTCAGCAAGTGAATCCACCACTGACGTTGCAGGACCTTCAACATGCTCTTGCTGAGCAGTGGCGATGTCTTCCTCGGGTAGTGTTTACTAATGTTCTGAGATCCATGAGAAGACGTTGTGTGGCAGTACGAGACGCTAGAGGAGGCCACAACCGTTACTAAACACTTTATTCCGATTGCTCTCCAAGTCTGTGAATTTCATTTTGGGGGGTACTGTGACATCACGAACGTTATCAATGTCAAGGACTTTCGGCGAGACGTATTCTTGCTTTCTGTTGATGTCAAGGTAGTCTGTGCACAACATAACACTAAAATAGTTGCCTTAAACCAAATATTAAAAATCTAGTCCCAAAAATCCTGAGTGTCAAGTTTTTAATTTGGCTGAGTATATAAATACCAAGTACTAATCTCATGTTAAATTATAAATACCAAATACTCGTCTCCTGTTAAATTATAAATACCAAATACTGATTTCATGTTAAACTATGAATACCAAGTACTATCTCATGTTAAATTATAAATACCAAATACTCATTTCTTGTTGAATTATAAATACAAAATACTGATCTTATGTTACAAGATTATAACTACCAAGTACTGATGATCTCTAAATATTAAGTACTAAGCTCACGCTGTATTAATTGTAATACCAGCACCAAGTACTGATCTCATGTTAAATTATAAATACTAAGGATTCAACTCCTGTTAATTATGGATATTAATGTACATGTATCTATCTCATGGTAAACTTTGAATATTAAGGTATTTCACTCATTAACTAGGTACCTACCTCATGTTAAACTATGAATACCATGATACCGACCTCATGTTAAACTATAAATCTTATGGTTCTGATGTCCTATTAAACTTTAAATATTAAGATACTGATATTAATCTGTAAATACAAAAAGGTACTGATGTTATCTTGAACTATGAATGTGATAAATTATGAATGCCAAGGTACTAATCCCATGTTAAACTGTCAATATAAAGGGAAGTGTGAAGTTAGCTCGATTTTTGTTTTTCGTTTTTCGATATTGGTGAATAACGAAAAACATCTAGCTCATTTTTCTACATCAGCAAAAGTTTTCTAAAACGAAGTAAAGATATCATAAATGAGATGGCCTGAGCAGTGGATTCATATAAAAACTTCTCTTTCTTCCTGATTTTTGTTATTGGCGAATTTTGAAAAACAAGCTACTCATTTTTCGATATTCAAACTTGAATCTCAAAAAAGCAGATTTGATGGAAGTATATCTACAGAATGAGATGGCCTGAGCAGTGGATTCATATAAAAACTTCTCTTTCTTCCTGATTTTTGTTATTGGCGAATTTTGAAAAACAAGCTACTCATTTTTCGATATTCAAACTTGAATCTCAAAAAAGCAGATTTGATGGAAGTATATCTACAGAATGCCTCCAAAATACATTTGATTAAATAAGTTTTTTGACATTGGCAAATGTTATTTATGATATATTTAGTTTGTTTTAGAAAACGTATTTAATCAAATGTGTTTTGTGGGCATTTTCTAGCTGTACATCCATCAAATCTGCTTTGATGATATGTTTACTTCATTTTAGATAACTTATTTAATCAAATGTGTTTTGGGGGCATTCATCAAATCTGCTTTTTTGAGATTCAAGTTTGAATATTGAAAAACAAGCTAGTTGTTTTTCACTATTCGCCAATATCGAAAAACGAAAATCAAGCTTACTTCACACCGCCAATATAAAGGTAGCGATGGTCGAATGTTTAAAAGTGAATACCATGGTACTGTTAAGGTATAAATAATAATGTGCAATACTTACTTTGAATACTTAGGTCATAATCTCATGTTAAACTATTAAGGTATCAACTATCATAATTAGATTATGAAAAATTAATCACTGACCATGTTAAAATATAAATAGTGATGTACAGTAGGCCTACTTATCTCATGTTGAACTATGAATATTAAGGTACTTTGCACATGTTAAACTATGAATATTAAGGTACTTTGCCCATGTTAGACCATGAATATTAAGGTACTGATCTCATTTCAAACTTTGAATATATAGGAACTGATCTCATGTTAAAATTATGAATATTAAGGTACTGATCTCATGTTAAACTATGAATATCAAGGTACTGATGATCTCATGTTAAACTATGAATATTAAGGTACTGATCGACCAGCTAAGAAACGGGAATCTGTGATAAGTACAGCAGCAACAATGCGGGTACTAAATATATTAAAGCACTGGGTATCGAAACATCAACAGGTGAAGTATTTAGGATTAATAGTTTTCTGTTGCTTCCATATATATATTGTAACACTGTGTCTATAATATAGACTCTATTAAATGTACATCTAACATAATAAAAATGATCTTAAATTGTTTGCATGAAACTAATTACATGATGCACTACATTTAATAATAGAGATTCAAAAAATAATTCTTTGTCTTTGTTTCCTGATTAGATGAGAATCGATTTTTTATCATGGATTTAGTTCACCTAATGCTTCTATGTTATTGCATGTTCTTCCACATATAAATATATATCTTTTACCAAAAATATGATGGGATAATTTTACTTTCATTTGCTTCTGTACAGCATAGTTTAAAATTAAGTTAGTAAAATTTGATTACATATTATATGTACATTACATATTCAGAGATTTTTTATACAGTAATTTGTAAATATTCCTCATATTCCATCTATCCAAATGTGTTATATTATTTGTAATCTGAAAATTGATGATATTCAAAAGACTTAAAATTCTGAAAAAGATTTGCCATGAACGAGGTTTGACTGTTCTGACATGTTCGAAGCTCAATAACACAGTTAGTACAGGCAGTATTCCAGTGTATGGAAATCCTTTAAGATTAATGGTTTTTATACGCCCACATTTTTATGTGGACGTATATTGTCGTCTCACCTGCCCGTCCGCCCTTCTGTCACAATTCTTATCCGATTTTGACGAAACTTGAAAATACATGTATAGGTTTATCTCCAAAAGGTCTTGGTTCATTTTGATATTGGCATGTATTGGATCGAAACTTGATGGATTATGGCCCCTGATTGTACGAAAAATCACGTTTTTAACTTGTGGACACTCTAGAGGTCACAATTTTTATCTGATTTTGATGAAACTTGAAATGAAGATCTTGGTTCCTTTCGGTATTTGCGCATATCAGATCGTAACTTGCCGAATTATGGCCCTTGATTGTATGAAAAATCGCGATTTTAGCTTGTGGTCCCTCTAGAGGTAACAATTTGAATATATCACCTTTACACTGTAATGATGGCCGAGTTCGAATTTCGTGAAAATTGGCCCAAAACTGCTGGACAAAAAGCCCCCCCCCCCCCCATTGGCAAATAATATACATATATGGTATATCAAGGTTGTGGATCCTCTAGAGGCCACAATTTTGATCCGATTTTGATGAAACTTGAAATACATGTTTATAACCCAGAGATCTTGGTTCCTTTCGATATTCGGATTGTAAATTCTTGAATTATGGCCTTTGATTGTACGAAAAATCGTGTTTTTAGCTTGTGGTCCCTCTAGAGGTCACAATTTTTATTTGATTAAAAAAAACATTTGAATACATCACCGTTACGCCTTTATGATTGCTGAGTTGAATATATCACCTTTACACCGTAATGATGGCTGAGTTTGAATTTCGTGAAAATCTGACCAAAACTGCTGGACAAAAAGCCCCCCCCCCCCATTCGCAAATAATATAAATATATGGTATATCAAGGTTGTGGACCCTCTAGAGGCCACAATTTTGATCCGATTTTGATGAAACTTGAAATACATGTTTATAACCCAGAGATCTAGGTTCCTTTCAATATTCGGATTGTAACTTCTTGAATTATGGCCTTTGATTGTACGAAAAATCGTGTTTTTAGCTTGTGGTCCCTCTAGAGGTCACAATTTTTATTTGATTTAAAAAAAACATTTGAATACATCACCGTTACGCCTTTATGATTGCTAAGTTGAATATATCACCTTTACACCGTAATGATGGCTGAGTTTGAATTTCGTGAAAATCTGACCAAAACTGCTGGACAAAAAGCCCCCCCCCCCCATTCGCAAATAATATAAATGTATGGTATATCAAGGTTGTGGACCCTCTAGAGGCCACAATTTTGATCCGATTTTGATGAAACTTGAAATACATGTTTATAACCCAGAGATCTAGGTTCCTTTCAATATTCGGATTGTAACTTCTTGAATTATGGCCTTTGATTGTACGAAAAATCGTGTTTTTAGCTTGTGGTCCCTCTAGAGGTCACAATTTTTATTTGATTTAAAAAAAACGTTTGAATACATCACCGTTACGCCTTTATGATTGCTGAGTTCAAATTTTGGGATAATCTGACCAAAAATGACAGAATGGCCACCCCTCGTATGCAAATATTGTAAATATATGGTATATCAAGGTTGTGGACCCTCTAGAAGACACAATTTTGATTCGATTTTGATGAAACTTGAAATAATGTTTATGTCACAAATATCTCAGTCCATTTCGATATTCGCACATTTCAGACTATAACTTTCCGGATTATAGCCCCTGATTGTACGAAAAAATCGCTTTTTTTTTTAGCTTGTTCTCAATCTATCTCTTAGTTGCAAAATATAGGGATATCTTGCCTTGCATATCGGACTGTAACTTCCTGGATTATGGCCTCTGATTGTACGAAAAATCACTTCCTTTTTTAGTTTGTTCTCTGTCCATCTCTTGCAAAATGTGAGCATATCTTGCATGGCAACCACTTATTTATTTTACTGGGATCAAAGTAAAATTATAACTGAGATATAACTTTGGCAGGAAAACCAGCTTTTGACAATCATCCATTTTTAAATCGGTCTTTTTAATGTACAAAGGAAAATTGTTAATATTTGTTGCTAGTGTTTGGTTATTGCCTAATGAAAATATCCTGCATGAGGATCATTGTCTTGTCTTCAGAACTTAACATACATGTAGCTAACAATTTTAATAAATTTTCCTTTGAACATATATTATTGTGTCGTCTGTTGTAAATGTAGTTACGTCTGCTTTACTTGGTGTTTTTAGCCGCTGTAAAAAACGGTAAAATATGTAGATCTACTAATGGCTGTAGTAAACAATATCATATTGGTTTCGCCATCACTCTGCGAATTATTAATATTCTCAAAAACTGGATTGTTAAATTACCTGAGGTGAATACTCATTCTTTAGTTTTGGGGATGACATCAGGGCCTGGTTCCTAGAAAATTCTAAAAGTAAGCACAAAGTCATTCTTTACTTTTTTCTTACGTAAGAAACTTTATAAAAATACCGTCTCTAGAAAATTCTAAGCACATTGTGACTGGTAAACTTTGACTACGATGCTCTGTAATGTCATAAAAACAATCTTGGTATGCGAATTACGTCATAAATTGGTTGGCTGCTTCCTGGCAAATGGTCGATTTAGATTCATTTGATATGACCCCTATGGCTATACACATATAAAATGTGCCACAAGCTAAAAAAATGCAAGCACATGCAAACAGACTGAATAATTGTGAGAGCGCCTGATCTTAAAGTAGCCCATGTGATTGTGTTGTTTACTAATTGGTAAATAAGTAAAACGGTTTCAGGGTAGAAGCAAAATTTTCTATAGCATTCTTCTCGAGAATATGTAACATGTTTCTAAAGGATTTTCTCTGTCTTTCAATTGTCTCTTTGGCATCAAAAGGTGTAGGAAATGCTGTTGAATAACTCTACGGTCAGCTATCTTTGTTTGAAGCAGAAACAGGCTTACGGTTGGTAAGCAAGGCGTATACCTTGCTTCAGAATTGTGCTTAGTTTAACAATGTTTAAGAATGAAGTTGTGCTTAAGTTTTTTCTTGAAACACATAATAACGTGCTTGTGCTTACACTGAAGTCTACTTAAAATCTAAGCACAAAAACGTTCTTAAGAAATTTCTGGGAACACAAAATAAGATAAGTTTACTTAAATGCAAAGTCTACTTAAACTCTAAGCACAAGAACGTTCTTCAGAATTTTCTAGGAATCGGGTCCTGCAATCTATTCCAGATTTTAAAATGATGGGAAGACTGTGTGGTACAGCAGTAAAAGATTTTATTACCAAAACATCCGTGTTCAGATTTATTTTAGTGTGAAAGTAGATTTGTCTTTTAATTTTATCATTTATACCACAAGGTTTCTCCACAAATCATTTTTACCACCAGATGTGGGAATAATTATTACATATCTTGGTTCTTTATTATTTATATCTCTTACTGTAATATGTAATTGTTTGTAAACTATTGTTTAATTCATTTTGAGGGAATTCTGTTAATTAAAAATCCTTTTTCATGTTACAATTTCAATCCTATCACTAAGAGTTTGTTTACAATGAATTAAAAAAATTTTGAAGTAAAATATTGACTGAGAATAGAGAAAACTCAATATATAAAAGATGCCTTTTCTCTATTAGGATTTTGATTTAAATCTGGTGCTGAAGTCTGCTGTTATTGATCTCCTAGAGGAAATGGTTTGTAATTCTAATTTATTACCAGCTGAACATAAAGCAGCAGCCTCAATATTACGCACCATTACTAAAGATACCTCAGATAGCAAGAAGGTGGACTTAGAGAAGCTCTTACTACAACCAACAGTAAGTCCATTACTCAGTTATATGAAGAGATGAAAAGCACACCGACCAGCTACACATACTCTTCATGGCTTTTGACTCTGAAGGTGACCTTTAGCCCCAAGGTATTACTTACCTCAATTGCCTTTAGCTTCTGAAATTCAGGTCCAAATCATTGCATCATATTGGCACCAGTACAGTTGTCTGACACCATGAATCCTAACCTGACCTAGCTAGCTCAGCGATATCACATACTGTTATAATCCAATGGTGGTTGTTGGGCTCTTACTGCCATACTGTATTTTGTGTTGTCTTAAAGACTATTCTGAATAGTTGTTTACAAGTTTGTTCCCTGTGTTGTACTCCCCTTAACTTACTCTTAGTTGTAAGTAGTAATGTGTGTCATACACAAGGCAGGTTATGTTTACTCTGTCATTTGACATATGAGAAATTCACATGGTTAACAAATCTGTGTAGTTATATTGTATGGTTATGTTTATTTAACCATTCATACAGTATGTGGGGAAAATGATTTAGTAATTGGAGCCAATTGCAACAACTCTGGAGAATTGATAAAATCCTTTGTTTATTTTGATCCAATTTGGCAGCTCAGCTCATCACTGAAACCAGAAAACATCAACTCCCTGTATTGCCAGACACTGGCTCCCAATTCTTAAGGAGGGGGGACATGGCCAAATGGTTAGCATGTGCGTGCTGTATCATAAGGTCTGTCATTGAGTCAACTGGCATGTTTTCGAATCCCCGGTTGTACGTGACAAGGAGTAGGGTCGCCTGTCCAACCCTGTAGGTTTTCTCCGGGTCCTCCGGTTTCCTCCCACTGCTAAAGACCCCTACGCGCAAGCGAATTATTGAAATAAAACTAAACCATACTTAGTACTACCCATTTCTCTCTCTGTCTCTGTCTCTCTCTCTCCCAATTCTTTAACGGAATAAAGTTCAAGATAATCCTTGTCCTTTTCAAAATATTAAAAGACCAAGCTAATCTTACATATAGAGTCTTGTTGAACCCCATCCAGAAGAAATCTATCATCATTGTCATCATCATCATCGCGTATTGTCTTGTTATTTGTTCATTCTAAATACAATATACATATTTTTAAAGCTGGTTCTTCTGTTATTGATTTTGATTATAAACTTATATCATGTTCATTATAAAATTTAATTATTGTCGCCCGCCTTTCGAAGAAAGCAAGGGACTATTGCAATGGGTTCGTCCGCCTGCCTGTCTGTCCATCACATTTTTGGGGACACAATAACTTTCCTTCTAATTGAGCTAGAATGTTCAAACTTGGTGTAGGTGTTTATTAGGTTAATGCCTTGGTGGAGCATTTTCTGCTTATGGTAAGCAGAGATAAGCAATTTGATTGGTTGATGCTTTGGGACACAATAACTTTATTTCTGATTGAGTGAGGGTGATCAAACTTGGTGTATAGTTTCATTACATCAATACCTTGACTAAGTTCGATAATGAACATTTTTTGCTCATACACTTATTCTCAATAAATGAGTGCATTTGACAAATGTGAATATTGAAAAATAAATGTTATATATAAGAATATTTTTTTGTTTTTCCTTAAATGGATACATTTGGTGAGTGACTTCCGGAAAACCATCTGTTTGTGACCCTTTTAGCCCCGGAAAATACCCTTTGTAATGTACGTAACAGTCAAATAAAGAGATGCTACTTGGGAATAAAAACATTCTTCATATGTTTCTTAGATGACGTTTGTGTGAAGATGGATTGGACACGAGAAATACAAAACAAATCGAGCATACCCGGTATCTCAGAAAGGTTTTTTTTTGCTGAGGTGTTTATTTAATGGGTTAGATATCACACTAATTGCTCAAGAAACAATACAAAATGACTATAGTTACTGATTTAATGAATACAATGTTAAACAGTATTAAACACATCTTATTCAATTTACAGAGAACATAAATGACTAAATATTCAATAACAAATTTAGTTTTTGATTTGAGTCGACCGATTTTGAATTAAACTCAATGACAAATTATAACCCATTGATAAGGTAACGTACATTGCATAACATATAAGAACATTTTTTATTGTCAAAAACAGTCAGTGGAGATGAAATGCAGGTAAATAATGTAATACTTATTCATTAATTGGAATTAAACTTTCAAATTTAAAATGTGTCAACAGTTTAACAAGTAACATACATTAGGACAAAAAAATTTTGAACTTAATCAATTCTGTAAGGTTACTAAATCAGTTATTGTAGATGAAATAACATAATATTAATACCTTTAGTGAAATTAAACTTTCAAATTTTAAACGTGTGAACAATAATATAATAAGTAACGTACAAAATGACTGATGGCCCAAAAGAATGCAGATTATGACCTTCAATTGTGACCTAATTCAAATTCCTTTCGGTTACTAAATTTAAAATTTTATCTTTCTCATCGTCAGAAATCTTAAACATTCTGATTGACTTGGCAGTGGCTACTGGTTTTTCCACTTTACATATATCTTGTGGTTTTACCCATATGTCTTCTCGTATAGGCTACTGGTAACACTGTTTCTTTTTTTGCATGAGTTTAACCTCTATTTCTTCATCAACCTGATCCACCTGTACGACTTGTCCAATAAACCATTTGTTAGCATGTACAGCAGCTACAAAATCACCATCTTGAACCTTTACTATCTGTTACTTTACGATCATTGATTTCTTTTCTGGAATTGACTCATCAATTACAGTTATCTCTTTACTTGATTTCTTTGCAGTCATGTCCTGTATTATCCACAACGGATTGGTCAACATAACAACTCTGCTTTTAATTGATGTTGATGTTCATTGGGTGAATGTCTTGACTGAGTTCAATCATTAACATTTCCCGCTAAAGCTAAGCAGAGCTAAGCAATTTTTTGACTTTGATTTTATCTGATAGAGAGTGATGAAACTTAGTGTATAGTTGATGATCAGTTTGATTGCTCGATATTTTTGAATAAGATAAACGTGCAATTAATGATAAACGTGCAATTAATTAATATGTGTCATCTATTTATTTCTGGATTTCGGTGGGGGACATCAACCTCACTTTTGACTTGTTATTTTTCTTTGTAGATACCTTCAAAAGATACTTTTGATACACTGTCAGCACTGGATATAGCAGAACAACTGACGTACTTAGATCATCAAATATTCATGTCCATTAGAAGCGAGTAAGTCTCATGGAATTATAATTTATTGGAACTTCGTTTTTATTTTTACAGAGCAATTCGATCTTTCACAGAGTATCATTTGATACATGTGAGTATAAGTATGGTATGCACAGAAAATCTCATTGAAAATGATGATGTAAAGTTCAGATGTGACTATTACTAGCAAAATTATAAGAAATTTTAAAACCTTTATGAAAGACATTGTATCAATGGTTATGTTTATTTATTTTAGAGAATTATTAAGTCAAGCATGGATGAAAGGAGATAAATCAACAAGAGCACCCCATGTTTTACTTGTTAGTAAAAGATTTAATGAAGTAAGTTACTGGTTTATTGTATGAAAACATTTTTTTATTGTGTGCCTTCATGAAGTATACAAACATAGGTATGGATCATATTGAAGTAAGATATTTGATTTGGAAGAAAAAACATTCCAGAGCCTATTGAAAGTTTGAATGTGGTTCATGGTGGGACTCAGATGGCAGATAAAGGGACAAACAGTAAATATTGCTTTAAGCAAATTAAAAAGCGACATTTGACATGTAAGGGTGGCAGTTTAGATTCTTCTCTCAACCAGAAAACTTGTAAATATGACAATATGTAGGCTCAGTACAGAAAGATCTAAAATTAAGAAAAGATTGAAATGAAATAAGAATTAAACATACATTATGCAAGAGCTAAATCTGCCTATTGCAGGTCTTTCTTTAGGCCTGAAATGTTATCTAAATTATTAATTAGACATTAATTAACTTGTCCAGACCATAATCAACTCTCGATGTCATCGCTAGCCTGTGATGTTTATTGGATTAGGTTTCGATTTGCTGTTCCATTCATGATTTAATGATGAAATGGATAATCAAGACTATGTTTATTATAGTATCGACTTAAGTAATGGTGATCGCGACTAGGTCGAAAATTAAATCGCTAAAATCTCGGTTCAGAGTGGAACAATTTGACTGAAATTTTCAGCAAATTCCCTTTACATTATAACTATTATAGTCAGAACTGTCAGCTCTTTATCTAATCTCCCATAATGTATCTTTAAGGAAGTAAAACAACATAAATCTTAAATAATTTCCATCTCACTATTATTATCACACATTATTTTGAATTGGTTACATTTATTATATATAATGTATAATATATTTACAGGTGAGCCGATTAGTGGTATCAGAAATAGTTGGACGATCTAGTCAACATGATCGTGTATCTTGTATAGAGAAATGGGCTGCTATAGCTGATATATGTCGATGCATGCACAATTATAATGGGGTCTTGCAGATCTGTGCTGCCTTTGTTAATAGTTCAGTTTATAGGTTAAAGAAAACATGGGAGAAAATATCAAAACAGGTAAAATAACTTTTAATAAAAGATATTAATTTAAGCACCAGTTATTCCACAATAAACAGCAAATATAGACTTCATCAGATGGCACACAATAAAAGGTAGTCTACTATTGTTAAGCATATCAGTCGAAAAAATGAAATGAAATGGAGTTTAACGTCCTACTGTTCTGCTCCTAACCTGGGCTAATGAAGACGGGCATACGCCATACAGTGTGCAATGAGGGAAATTTTGCCCGGTCATATCAGTCAATCCTAACAGAAGTTATGCCATCTAAAGATCACATATTGTTTTATCCATTTCATGCTGCCATCTTTATTCCTCTTATAATCATCTGTTGATTATTTGTACCCTAGATAGTATTTAACCTGTATATTTTGTTTTCAGTGCATCTCTTTGTTACATTTAAACATACATTATGCAAGAGCTAAATCTGTCTATTGCAGGTCTTTCTTTAGGTCTGAAATGTTATCTGAATTATCAATTAGACATTAATTAACCTATCCAGACCAAAATCAACTCTAGATGGCATCACTAGCCTGCGATCTTTAGTGGATTATGAGCCGATTTACTGCATAACTTTCCTTCACGATTTAACGTTTAAGTGGATAATTGAGACTATGCTGTTTATCAGACTGACTTTAGTAATGATGATCGAGGCTAGGCAGAAATTTCAATCGCTTAGTTCTCGTTTCATAGTGGATCAATTTGAATGAAATTTTCAGTAAATTGCATTTACATTATCTGGTTTTTAACTATTATATTGAGAACTGCCAACTCGTAATCGAATCTCCCATAATGTATCTGTAAATAATGCAAACATTTGTTGGCCTCCTGTTCCATATTTGAATACATAAAACCCAACTCAATGTGTAGCCCATAAGCAAAATTATGTTTTGTTTAACAGGCACTGAATCTATTAGATACACAAATAAATTTAGAACTGGTGGTTGCTCATGTGGTTGATGAAATACCCAGGATACCAACTTCAAATGACTTATGTCTTTATTTTAGATTCAATTTTAAACGAGCAGTTTAACAAGGTTAAATGATTTTATTAAGCAATAATTAAAAAGGTTAGATCTTAACTCATATAGACATTGGATTTAACCTTTACAAAAATTTAATTTCAGCTTTACAAGTAATGATTGTGAAATTCTGTTAGTGCTAAATGTATTTATTTTTTCAATTTTTCAGGCCAAACAAATGATAGAAAGATTACAAACATTGGTGTCTTCTGAAGGAAGGTTTAAAAATATGCGGGATGCTCTTCACAGGTATGGTTCAAACTGTCCTATAACTTCTGTTCTTATTTTGATATACCTTTATACAAAATTCCCCACAAAAGATTCAAGAGTTGTGGGATTTGGACACTTTACTCAAAACCAGAAGATTTCTGGCTTGACTGCAGCAGGTTTGGCCACAGAAGACTTTCAAGATTATTGAAGCAGGGTTCATGTTTTGGAAGGCTAGGGTTACCATACTTCTAGAACTAACAAAATTCCTGGTTTCTTATTTGAATAATTTGGTAACCCTAGGGAAGGATAATGGATTCAAATCTGAAAGGGATATGTATCAAAGTTATTGTGTATTGATGGCAGCACAGGCAAAAATACTAAACAGTTACAATTTGAAGATTAGTATGAGAAAATTCTCCTCTACCTGCACCTAAAAAATAAATCAGCAATTGTTCTATATCTTTTTGTAAGAGATAATATATCTATGATCCATTGAGATTGGTATTTTGATCTGTAGTCCATAATCTGTATGCTCTACACAGATGAAAAGGTGAACATTTAAAATATTAAAAAATATTATTTTTACTTATAGATGTGATCCACCATGTATACCATATCTAGGAATGTATCTGACTGATTTGTCTTTCATAGAAGAAGGAACTCCTAATTTTACAGAGGAGGGGCTTGTTAATTTTTCAAAAATGAGAATGGTAAGCATCCCTTAAAATATGATTATAACTTATGAATGGGAAAAATGAAAGTTATTAATAAGTAGTAAAAGCTCCTTTTAGCAAGCTCTGGAAGGGCCAGGCAGAGGTATGATATGACAATAGTACGTGTAGTAGTAGTAGGAAATAGTTCCTTCCTAAAACCTACTGATCCATTCCAGTGACTGTAACTGACATAATGACTGTAACAGGAAATACTTCCCAAAAACCATGTAAGTACTGTAGTGATTATAAAAAAGGTTGTTCTATTGACAGATTGCTCATGTTATTCGAGAGATTCGATTGTTTCAACAAACTTCATATCGCATCGAACATCATCCAAGGGTATGTACACTTCAATGTTTTTTTGACAAGCATTACCAGATTTAACATTACTTGTCAAGTTATATTTTATGGGTATGAAATCTAAGTAAGATCATCTGGAAATGCTTGATCTAAACATTACTCTTCTTATTATTATTATTTTTATTAAGAATTTTTTGATAGCGTTACTTCCACAAAGAGTGCTCAATAATGCTTTACAATAAGCAAATGGTAAATAAATACATACTTGGAATGTGTGAAGTAAAAAGATCATAAATGTTAAAAGTAAAATATAAATTCACACGGAAAATGTTGTTCAGAAATAGGATAATACAGTTATAAAATGACGTAGATAATTCATCATAAACAGATGAGTTTTAAAGGCTCAATACCACTCTTGTTGTAACTGAATAATATGTCCCAATCTTTATTCTGGTCAACAAATTGTACTATTTTAGAATATTTCAATTAATTGATGATACAAATTTCATCTTAACACACCTTATTTAAAAAATTTGAAAAATTCAACATAATGGTTTGAAACGTCTAACGTAAACCTTTTCAAATGAAACTTTGATTTAAAAATATTTTCGAACCCTCTGGACAAGTAAAATAGGATGTAATGGATCATTTACACAACAGGTAGGACACTTAAACATCTAGTACTTAGATAGAGATATTATTTATTTTCTGGAGCTTTCAAGCCAGCAAGAGTGTTATTGTCCCTTTAAGACTTGTTTTAAAATTTAATAATGCATCACTACTGCAAATAGAATATGGAAGTCTGTTCAATAGTTTTGGAACTATAATCTAAAATACTCTTTCGCCCCAAGAGGCCACTAAAACTGTATTGAATAATAGCTTTCTATTTGAAATTGTTAACTCATTTTCACAAGTATTGCCTTCATGCAAATACTGTCACAAGATGATTGACAGAAGTGTGAGCCATACCACAGTGCTGCAATGTCTGGTAGTCAAACTATTTGAAACACTGGTTATCACAAGGACAACCAAGACAATAATAATAGTGAGAACCATAGCATCAAAACCAATAAATTTAGTAGACAATTGTTATTATTTATTTATTATTTTTTTTCAGGTAACAAGTTATTTATTAGACCCAAGTCGTCTGCTTGACGAAGAGCAGACATATAAACATTCACTTGAAATTGAACCAAAGCAATCCCGTCTTTCTGTAGTCTCTGCTCCATCTTGAAAGTTTTTCTAAATTTTAGTTGTAGAACCATCTTGCCATCATAAAGTGTGCTAGATTAATTTGTACTGATCAGTTAACAAGGGTAGTGCTAGAGAGATTTCAGTTCTGGTTTTCATACGTAGTCTGCTTCAAAAAAAAAGTTCAGACGACAAGAGAGGTGATCGACCAACATTTGTTGATAAAATAATCAATGGAAAAACCAACATGACACAATACTCCACAAATTGTACATCATGTATCACAGGAAACAATGTACATCTTATGTTTCAACAGGATTGATTTCATTTTGATGTGTGTATGGGTATCATATTATAGACAAAATGATGCGCACCAGATGTCAAAACAGCTTTTAAAGTAGTGTGAAAAAAAGGAAAGCATCATCAAAGCCAACTAATGATAAAAAAAAGGGGGATTACAATGAAGAGGGATACAAAGATTTGCCGGTCATTTTTTTTTTATATATAGTTAAACTGATTGTTGATTGGGACTGTTTTACTGTTTTTTGTGTTGGGTATAAAATATACAAAAATATTAGGTTTAGAAGATACATTGATGTGAATTTCATCAAAATTTAGAGGAGAAAGAAAGGTTTTCAAGATAAAAAATACTTTTGTGCCGTAGTGATATTACATTTTAATATTTTATTGAATTCATTGCCATTAATAATAACTATGATAGGACCAAAGTCAGATTTATGAATCATTATATCATAAAGTGGTCCAAATTAAAAACAAACACAAATATGTGCAATATTATTATTATTATTATTTTTTTTACTAGAATGTTCCAATAAATCAATAATTATTTGTTTGATTAACATTTTATCATCTATTATTATTATTAATAATATCAGTTAATGTATTTGCCATTGTTTACCTTTTAAACTTGAAATCATGTACAACCATGCTTTACAATATAGCTAATACCACCTACACCATTTAATGTTATTTGGTTACTATAGGTTTTATAGTGTATATAGCAAGGCTCTTCTTGGTGTCTTTCAAAATGGGCGTCTGCTCATATTTTTGGAATTTTCATTTTTGGAAATTATCGATACTCTTTTGGAAATTGATTCCCAGGACCATTCAGTTATATGATAAATACCATTTCATAATCAGCCAGTTTCTGTTAGTATTTTGTTCTCAGGATGTGGCCTATCTGTTGTGTCTAATCACTGCCATGTTAAAAACATACTAGTCAAATTTATATAAAACATGCCACTGCACAATTAATAGTCAACAAATTATTTTTTTCTCTCAGTCTCCTGAATTAATCAAAATATCAAAATTTATTGATATTGGATAAATATTTTATGTTCTCAGTAAAAATTATAAATTCTAATCAATTTATCATGTTGTTTTTAAGGTTGAAGATGAATTTATCAAACTTTAATTATATAAAATACACAATTATTAAAATAACCCATCCTCCTTCACATTTTGTCAAATTCACCATCAGAGATTCCCCTTCCCCCACTCATCCAACAACATGTTTCCAATAGGTTAGTGTATTTTTTCCAATTCTACATTTATGTATATTCCTATTTCCTTGTTATTAATTAAATGTAATACGAATTGATTGGAGAAACCGGTTTTATTCTTAAAAGTCGTGATATATGTATAGATATAGAGACTAGATTTGAAATAAAGACATATTATTATTGTATATGAATTATTAAATAAAATCAACAAAAGACAAATCATGATAAGTAAGCTTATATTATGAATATTTCTATTAAATTATATTATTATTATTATAATTATTATTATTACTATCCTATTAAAATGTAAATAATTTGTATATAGATATTGTTTGGTAATTCCAGACTATTGTTATCTTAATTATTTGTTGTTATTAATTAGAATACTTTTTATTATAAATATATATATATAAAAAACATGTACATATATATATTTGTATATTATACAATACTTTAATAGCTGAAAGGCATACCAACTTGCTTCGATTATCATTGGATTAGGACAGAGTGTTTTTGTTTCTGTGAGTGTTCGGATTTGTACAATGTAGTTAAATGTATCGTCTTTTTTTTCAATCTGTTGCATCATTTGCATTGCTCATCAATAACAATTATCCTGATTTATATAAATAAAAAAAACGACAAATAGTTTGAAAGAACTGATCAATTATTTTATTGTCAATAATAACAGCAGGCACTTTATAGTGAATAATTTGTTTGGAATTAAACTTCCAGCATATTTATATTGTTGTTTCTTGAAAACAAATTATTACTGTAATTGATCATTTTAACCCAGAACAGGTAAATTTGATATTTCTTTTGTACTAATTTTATGAATTGGAGATTCCTTATATTTTGCGAAATCAAAATTTTGGGTGTCATTCATATGCAATGCATTTTAAAATCAGTATCGGTAGTACATGTACATACTTACTTTGAAATTTTTAGAAATATTCAGCAGAATTTCGCTGTAAATTTGCAACAATGTTTAAATAATATCAACCAAGAATTTCGACAACAAAATATATATGTGAAAGCAACACAGGAAGATGTGGTTCATATACATATAGCTGTATTATTGCTACTATCAGGCTAACTTACTCTATCATACAGTATTGTAATTTTACCCTCGACAGGCTTTAATATATCTCTATGAATATGGACCTGTGAATTTAATGCAATGAAATATATATGCCAATTCCACAATTTAACTTTTTATACTCCCATGTTAAATTTTAAAAAAAATTGATGTTTGGAATTTTGTAATATTAGTACTCCTGTACAGGTACTGTTCATTTTTATGGTATGTATTTTTGCTTTATGTTTTATTAAATTAAGTTATTGTACTTTAAAATTCTGAAAAATTCTCATTGAATGTTCATGATACATGTAAAATTATTTTATTTAATATTTTGTAATTGATTTATCTGTATTTTTACATTTATTTAGATTTTTTCAATGCATATGTGCATGAATTTTTCTGAACCTAAATGTGCGAAAAAAAACTAATTTGACTAAGAAACATGCATATGGCTTTTCTAAACATGGAACAGTAACAAACACTCTTTGTCGGCTGACTCATAAGGGACCATTAATTGAACTATTTTAATGAATTGCCTAATTGTCAATTTTGATAATAAATGTATAAATCATCTAGTTGTAATGAGTACAGGATTTAATAGTTAGATTGAACAATGTATACTTAGATTTCAGATATCATATCTAACTTCTATTCCAATTATTAATTGAAATACAATTTTCAAACCTGATGAATTACCAAAGAATTATTAAAGAGCAAATACAATGAAAATAAATTGATTTTTTTAGTCTATATGCTATATTGAAATAGTGAAAGTATATTAAAAAGATAATAAGATTAATACTTTTAAAATACTTTTCTTGGAATATCTCCTCTTCGTTTCTCTTTTGCCATCACATCTTTTTTAAGTTATACCAGTAGGATGTCGGGAGTGAGAATGATTTACTTGTATCAGAAATATTTCCAATTTGAATACTATCTTGTATAGACAGAAGCAAACTTTTACTAGCTTGTTTGAAACTCTATATAGATATAAGAAAAGACTGGTTCAAATCATTCATGTACTGCTGCCGATTTTATCAAAGCATGTGATCATCTGTGGCTCAACAAGACACACATCAAATGCCCATTATTGGAGATATAGCACAAAACATATAAAAAAAATCTTTGAAGTTTCCAGAATTAATTTTAATTTCCACAAAGATTTGCTAGGTAGGTTTTTTTTTTGTTGAGAATGTATGTTAAGGTCATACCATCTTCAGATCTAGATATTTCATCCAAATGAGATAAATACAGAAGTCATACACAAATTTAAAGGTCCCTGAATACAAAAGTTAATTGGTGCCTGCTTTTAATTTTTTGACTCCTGTCTTATTTAACCAGGGTCGATAACAAATGTCAATAGGTAGGTTGATCTCTTTCTACTAAATGAAATTCCATTGCATTTGCTCTTTAATAACGTTTCAAATTTAATATTATTATGTGTATGAAAATCAAAAACTTGTTTTTTTATGGGGTTGTATGAATGATCTGTGCAGACAATTGTTATGATGATTTTTTAGATAGTGAAAAGGCCTATCAAAATTGGGTGCCAAACAAATGTTTTATCAGATATTGACTTTACATTGAAATCCTGTAATTCCTTCAACTTACTGGGGTTGTGTATTGATTTTTCAAGGTGTCATTGCTCCATCATCAAAGACAGTTCAAACTGGTGGGGATTGTTCCATAGTAATGAAAAGGAAACAGTTAACATCATCACATCATTGTGTTGTTGGAATGACCCCTATAGCTGCTGATAAGATATTCATTTCTAGGCAAATGAACTTTTAATTCTGCTATTTTCATGTTTTACATTTTTTAGTTAGTTAAGAATTTAAAGATACATTATGTAAGATTTAGATAAAGAGCTGACCATTCTTGCTATCTAAAAAAATAGATAATGTAAAATGAAAATATTGAAAATTTCATTCAAATTACTTCATTCTGAGCCACGTTAGCACTGTTTGTGTTTTGACAAGATGTGTGCATAGTGGTATCCAGGGTACTGGTATATTCGAGACTTAGCCTTGTTTTCCCATTTTTAAATAAAATTTTTAAATGGGAACCGTTCTAATCTAGTTAAAATCTTGAGTATACGATGCCATCGAGAGTTGATTATGGTCTTGTTTTGTTAATAAATGTCTTATTAATAGTTTATATAACATTTTAGGCCTTAAGAAATACCTGCAATGTATGTTTAATGTGAGCAAAAATATAATTCTTCAATGTCACCCAATGGCAGACACATTAAATTTGGATAATCAAAGCTGTTTATTATAAGTAATCAGAAAACTAATAACCTTTTTCTACAGCTTAGAAAATATTACTCTGTCTTTTTAGCAAAGAGTAGGATACCACGACTCAAATCAATTTCAAATTAATTTCTGTATCCATTGATTTAATATTATGACCATTAATATAGCATTGGGCAATGTTTCTCTGTTTTGAAATAGTTTGATATTAAATAGAGAATGGACAAATCTGTTTAGTAAACTGTATTTTCCGTTATATAAAATAATTGAGCCAAATATTGAACTCAAAATATCATTGTGACTTACTGTTTATCTTGTTTTAAATCATTTCAACACTATATTATTATTTGTATTTTAGATACCTACATGTATAGGTAATTATCTTTTATTATCAAATGTAGATGACATTCCATTTCATTCCAATCTGCAACTGTTTTTTTTTTCTGTGATTTTAGCAGGCTTTGACATGTTTGTTCTGTTCTAAGTAAAATGGTGCTGCCATGATCTTCATGTTACAAAAAATAAATTGTGTATATGGTTATAATTGTTTTTGTATTATTATTTAGTCAAATGGATTAGATCTTGTTATTAAAGGTGTATGGGGACACTTTAAGCTTTACTGTGGAAAACTGCAATCTTTGGGAGGAATTTAGGAGTATGGCAGAATATTAAAGTCCTAACATGCCAGAAAAAAAAAAAAATGCACAGTGGTAAAAAACTTGGGTATGCTCATGAGCAATAACATAGGCGTACGATGTCCACAAGAAAAATGTAAACGGACGGACAGACAGGGGTGATAACAATATAGGTCCACAGGAAAATGTGGGCGTATTAAAAATTAAAAAAGATATTAGTTAAATTTCATTTACATTTTTATCTCCATATTTTATGATTCAAGAATAAAATATTGTCGATGGGGAGTCAAAAGGTGGGGAGTCAAAAGGTCATATCTGGCATATTTTGCGAAATTCAATTTTTTGCTTCTTCAGAATGAGAATTTTCTTGCTCATCTTTTCATCTGGTTGTCGTATTTCTAAGCCAATAAAAAGAGGTTTATAGATACTGTTTCAAAATGTCGTATATGAGGTGTTCCCCAAAAAATTTTTTATTAAGGGCGAAAATGTTGTATTTTCTTGAAAAAATCAACTTTGCTTCTAACCAAAGCATTGCAATCAAACGAAATATAGCTAGTATAGTTTTATGTTTAAATACCTATTATTGAAATTATTGTTGAGCCTCTACTGTGTGAAATCTATGAAACTGATGCAGGTAATGGTGAATTCCCCCCCCCCCCCCCAGATACGTCTTTGCTGTATAAAATTGCAAATAACTAGCTTTTACTCCTTATTTCTGTACCAAATGTTGATCATTATATGTGCGAATAGTTACATACTGTTTAAATGGCTACACATACATTTTGTACATAAATATTTGAGAAAAGCTTTAGAAATACGACATTTTACATACACCATTCTGACGTGATGGTTTTATAAGACATTTTGATTCCTAACCTCTGTGCTATTTTTGGCTCTCATGGACAATTTCGCAAAACCCAGATAGGACATTTTGACACCTACCCACGATATACATTATTGACTACAATTTACGATGAAATGTATATAGAAGCACATTATGTCATGAATTACAACAATTATAGATATTCTAAGCAATTCTAAATCTTCCAAGTATGTATACAATAAAACAAATTTACAAGTAATTACAAAATAAACATATATTATAGAACATTACGTTCTTAAGGTGCTAAACCTCTTTGATTCTGGTCAAAATAAAGTATTGATTTGGGCTAATCTGGTGTCTTATTTTGTTAGTGGTTGGGCTAGCTGTATACGATTAGATGTTTGTTTTGAAAGGTTAGCATGTTTACTAAATTTGGTTACATTTTTCACTTACTGTGTCCACAGTGAAACACAAAATCGATTATATTAAAATATGTAAAATTTTTAACAAAGATAGATTGTCATCCCACAAAATAAATCGTCACTGATACTAAAAAATAAAATTAACATTTTTATTTTTGACCCAAATAAAAGAGGTCTAGTCATCTGAACATAGCAATTTTAAAGAATTTGACTAGTCATAACCAACATTTAAAACAGTACGAAATAAATTATTGAGTGCATGTACATGCAGCATAATAATTTAAATGAAAAAGAGTGAGTTTAATTACAATATTTCTTCTTAGTATATGTATTTATGGAATGGTGTGGTCTATAGCTATACAGTATGACTATAGATAAATATAATATATATTTACAATGAATTAGTATAATAAGACATAAATATAACAAGATTCATAATATGTACTGAAGATATAGGGTTATAATGTGTAGATAATGCACGGTTTCCAAAATAAACCTAGTAAATGTTCATCTTAATAACTTTAATATAAATAAAGTACTGTATGTACGATGTTATAACTGCCTAAGTAACAGTAATATTAGCATGGTACATGTATGTGTAAACCTTAAACGATATTTTCCACTTGAAGTATATAGCATATTCAACAACTTAGAAATATCATTGTTCAATAATTGCAACAGCTGATTTTAATTGGCACTAATGCAGAGACTTGGGAGTGAACGAAAAAAGATAGGGGGTACTTAAACTTAATATAATACAGTTGTTAAGTTGACAATGGTATAGAACATTTGTTCAGTGTCTGCCAGTTCTAGCTGGGTATTTTGTTGCTTGTCCCTTCACTGCTGTTGATAATTCACTTAAAAAGCTGCAAAATAAATATGATGTATGTGGTCTAAGGGGAAATAATATGGCTTGGACGACATTTTGACAGAGTTAATTCCGTTTAACTAAGACAAAGGAACAAATAACTTGGGGGGGGGGGGGCCTAATTTTTAGCTTTATTAAAATATAATCAGGAGATAAACACCTCCTGTTTAGAATTGTCCATGTTATTGTCCATTTGATACCGCTTAAATATAATTATGTATCATCAACCCCAAACAGTAAAATTATATTTTGATCAATTTTATTTAGGTATCAATAAATATTTTTATCTGTACAGTACAGAATTGTACTGAAGCTTTAGATTTACATATACATTTCAAAAGTTTTTAAATTCAGTCAGCTTTCAAATATCACTTACCTTTCAAAATTATGAATTGTTGTTCCTCCAAGTATTATTTTAACACCGTGAGTAGTACGATTAAGAGTATGCACCAACTTCGACTCTGCGTAGGTACAACCACCAATTATAAACACTATTACATCTTGTGGTCTGCAATAAAACATCACACTTACATGAAAGCTCAATCAGTAAGTTTAACTCAAATGATGATAGAACTCAAGGAATAAAAAACAATTTAAAAGTTTTGATATTAACCATAGCCTACTCTTTTAATACCTCTATAAATTTCATCACCCATGATAGTGTATTTGGGTATGAATGAGAATTATAGTATCAACCACCAAGATAGGTTACCAGGAAGTGAAACATGTGTCCACAGCAACTAAGTCGTTTGAGCAGTCCATAATGGTTGTCAAAATTTTTATGAATCTTGAGGAAAATAAAAATAAAAATATTTGCACTGTAAAATATCAATGGTGCACTGACAAGAAATTGCAACATAACCAAAGGCAATAACTATGGAAATAATTATAGGAAATTCTTGTTATTAAGCACCATCACAATAATGAATGCCTGATTAAACAAGTGTACTGTATGCATATAATATACCTGTCTTTAAGTTGATTTGCACCCATGTATGGGTAACTGGCTTCTTTTAACTTTCCTTTGATCAGCTGATCTAATGTAGATGCTAACAATGGTTGATGCTGTGTATAAACATTTTCTACACCCTAAATTAAATATCATATACATAACCATTAATCATTGACGCTTAAAGGTGCAATATTCCAGACTAAAAGGTGAATATATAGACCTTCAGACTATAAACAATTAATCATATTGTAGTCTTACCAGTCTAAAAGTTAAAAATATATATGACTCTTAAAAGTTATGGTTGTCAAAAGTTCACATTACTATTTATTTCACACTACTATTATGTTGTTTTAGACAGTACTGACAGAAAACTCACTTCTATCTAAGAACATAGAACTCATATATATATCTAACCTAGGATTTTGTGTTTTGTATAAATTATTCTCTAAGGAGATTTTTTCAAGTCTTATTTTTGTTAAACTGAAATGAGGAAATGATCCTTTCTTTTGCATTAGGGCTTTAACATTACATGGGTCATAACACAAGATGACACTATTATTTAATAAAAGATGAGAAGGATAATAGTGGAATTTGAACCTCCATCAGATACATTAGGGAGTGTTCGACATATCATATGGCCATTGTACGATTTGACCAAGACTGGGTCATGACGAAAACATACAATTTCACTTTACTTGAAATGTATGGTATATCATGAAAATACATATACGGTATATATTATAACTGCATTGTAATTTGAAATTATATTGCAAAAGGTTCCATGCATAGGTCTGGATAGAATTTTTTGTCTGAGAATATCTGTTGCATTTCATTCAGTATATTTCTGTTCTTAATGGTATTTTTTTATAACCAAAGAAGACTTTTGTAAGAAATTGTGATTATTTTTTTACCTTAAGATTTTGTAGAATACGTCTGGTAATATTAACAGGATCTCCACTACGGAACAGATCACTTCCTCTAGCTTTCCTACCTCCATATTCTAAAACAGCATGTACCATCTGCAATATCAAATTTATCATAAATCGGTTTGACATGAGTTTTAATTTGATTCAGACATTGATTTAAATAAAACCATGTTTCATGCATAGAAAGCGACAACATGACAAACACAAAATTTGTAAAAAGGCAACTACCATAAGCTAAATTTCTTGGTTTACGCTAAACTGCCTTACTAAACACAGTAGCACTTGCCAAAAAATTATGGAACATTCTTAAAATAGAAGATGCAAATCTCTTATACAGTGATTCTCAACCAGTGAGCCATGGCACACCTGTGTGCCACGAGACCTTACTAAGTGTGCCGCAAAATTTTGAACGGCACACTAAGAAAATGTGATAAAAAGCACCTGATCCAAATTGAGTATCCACTGATTAGTTCATAGCTGTGTTTTTCTTCATTTAGTTTGAGTCATTCTAAGTGTCTATGACTAGTCTCTGTCTACGGTTGTATTCCGTCTGACTTACCATGTTTTTATTTTGCATAATTCAAATAGTTTTCATATATATTTGGCCAACTGTGCCACTAATATTTCATGTGTTCCAAGGTGTGCTCTAATATGTAGATATAGAATACTGGTTTATAAGAAGAGATTCATTATTTTACATCAATAATTATTTTGATCAACATCTAGCTATTAAAAGTTGTGTGTTTTAACCAAATAATTTTAAATGTTAATAAAAATTGTGGTCCTGCCTATATTAATATCAGATGACTGTATCCTTTAATCTATAACTTTACAATTAACTTGGTTTTATCGTGGCTCACATCAGTCAACAAGGCTGATAAAATGGAGAAAGGTCCTGAACACTAAATAAAATTGAAAAATGTTGTTTTGATTTTTAAAAACAAAATATGACACGTTACTTACAGCTCTTTTGTCTTCTGATATTCCTTTTCGTTTTAACAAATCAATTAAACCAACCATATCATTATTAGTATGAGCCTCGTATCTTAGAGCATATAACATAACCAAACGTAATAAATCCATTGGTCGTACTTTATCATTGTCCATTAATACTTTAATTTGCTGAAAGAAGAAAACACACATGCCTTACTTGTGTAATACAGTGCTCACTCTGGGTTCCATTTATTTATTTTTTGTGCCAGTGAGTAAAGGTGCTGGTTCACTAACCAGGAGGTCAGGAGTTTGATCCCAGTGTTGACCGAGAATGTTCCCCGGAGTTTTACGACATGGTTTCCCCTTACCAGTGGTGCAGGATGGAGAGCCTGAAAAGGGCAGCATCTAAGGGACGTAAAACCGGGGTTCCTTGGTATTTTCCAGCATGATTTTAATACGTTTCTACATAGATTGGTGGACAATATCTTGACACAACTGGAACAGTTGGTTTTATGAAGTTACGGTCAGATATATGCCAATATCGAAAGGAACTAAGATCTTTCGGATATAAACCTATATTTCAAGTTTGGACAAAATCTGATAAAAATTGTAACCTGTAGAGTGTCCACAAACAAAATGTAAACGGGTATTCTATTTATTATTGTCAAAATTGATCCCATCAAAGTTACCTGTTTCTATTTATTGGAGGTTTCTCAAATAAAAGGGGGTCGTAAAAAAATTGTCTATGGATAACACAAATAAAAGCTGTGTGCGTTAGTCCTAAATTCACTGCCTAGTAGCTATAACACAACAAACCTGTAATTGGTTAGAGTGATCTGATTGACAGGCTATTTCTTGTTCTGTTTCCGACACATTTAATAGATTATATAACCCAACAAGACGAGATAACTCTGATACTACTGTTACATGTTTAGACACAGTTCCTGACATCTTTCGGAACTGTGGATAATTCTCTATAAAATTCTGTAAAAATAATATAATTTGAGTCAGTATATATTAGATATTAATAGCAATGGATGTTGTGCTAATATGGATTTAAAGATATATTTCTCTGATATTTGTGAGCCGAAATACATAACCATTGATTGGAAACTATATTCAAACTACACAGAAAAATATATTTCTTGCCAAGAACATGATGTCCTGCAAACTATAAATAGAAAATCTATTCAGTTAACTAATAATACCATCATTACGAGTACAACAAATTTATTTAGTAAGGAAATGTACACATATTATGAGTATTTTCATTGTATTGTAAAGCTGGAATTTGGCAATGCCTCTCTAGGATTTCAACATAAATGATATACAAAAAGTAAAATGTTAAATTCCTTGTCTTTACAAGTTTTTATTCATCAACTGATAAGATTTACCTTCATATCCTGAATAGATTCAACTTTTGTATGATTTTTTGATTGCTTCTGAAATTCATCCATCAAATTTTTTATATTTGTTCCAATTTCTCCAAAGCTTTGGTACATATTCTGAATAAAAAACCAAAAAAAAACATTACAATGGATCAATAAAGCTAACTATATTCTGGTAGATAACTTACAGCAAAACAACAATATACAATATTTCCAGTCATACAACAGGTTGTTTTAAACTTTGACCTATGATGTTCCACAAGGAACGTACATCACTTCATCTCATATAGAATCTTAAAGGAGAACTCAGGGCGTTTGTTTATACTTTATTCATTATCTAATACTAAAATAGATTCAAAAATGTACAACCCAGAATACAGTTTATTTCAACTTACATTATCAGAGTACCAGAAATTGTCAGTGACTATTTATAAACAAAACCCTGGGCTATGCTATAATAACTAATCTCTGCACTCTGTAAACATGTAGCTGTGTGAATACAAGAATGTCACTGAATCAAATAGAATGTGCTGCCCTTTGTTTAGAAATACTGACTGAAAGTTTCCCTTATCTATCACCCAGTGGATAATAAATAAAATCTATGTAACCGCTAGAGGTCATATGGTCATAAAGAGCATCCATTTAATTCAGTTGATTCTTTTTTTTTTCAAAATTTACCTCAGAATAAAATTCATCTGTTTCTGCAGACAGTAAAACCTCTTTCAAATCTTTTGAAATACCGGGAACCTTTGATAAATTTATTTTAGAGTTTTCTATTCCTAATACTTCATGCACCATAGCTTCATACGTCCACTGAAACATAATACGTGAAAGTTAAACTTTACATTATATGAAACCCGTGGCTGCCAGGCAGGATACGCCCACATTTTGCAAGAGATGGATAGAGAACAAGCTAAAAACAAAAAGAATTTTTTGTACAATCAGGGGCCATAATCCACAAAGTTATGGTCTTAAATGCGCAAATATCAAAAGGGACTGAGATTTTTGGAATATAAAGACATGTTTTAAGTATCATCAAAATTGGATAAAATTGTGACCTCTAGAGGGTCCATAACCTTTATATTACATACTTATACACAATTTGCGTAAAAAGAGCGTCCATTTAATTTGTCGGGCAGTTTCATTTCGATTTTCCCGAAATTACTATTCAACCTTCATTATGGTGGAATGGTGATATATCTTATAGGTTTTGAAAATCGGAAAAAGAATTGTGACCACTAGGGAATCCACACGCTAAAAATGTGATTTTTCGACCAATCAGGGGCCATAATCCAGAAAGTTACAGTCGGATATGTGTGATTATCAACAGGAACCAAGATCTTTATGATAAGAGCATATATTTAAAGTTTTATCCAAATCGGATAAAAACTGTGGCCTCTAGAGGGTCCACAACATTGATATACCATATCACGAAAATCGAACTCAACCATCATTAGTGTATAACTGTGATATATTCACACATTCATTTTTTTTTAAATCGGATAAAAATTGTGTTGTCTATAGGGACCACAAGCTCAAAATGTGATTTTCCGTACAATCACGAGCCATAATTCAGGAAGTTACGATCCGATATTCGCGAATATCGAAAGGAACCAAGATCTTTGGGGAATAAACATGCATTTCAAGTTTCATCAAAATCAAATCAAAATTGTGACCTCTAGAAGGTCCACAACCTTGATATACCAGATGTTAACACTATTTGCGTACAAGGGGCGGCCATTTTGTCGCACATTTTTGGTCCAATTTTCATGAAATTCGAACTTAACCATCAGATCAGGATATGCGCAAATATCGAAAGGAACCAAAATCTTTGGGATATAAATATGCATTCCATGTTTCATCAAAATCGGATGAAAATTCTGACCTCTAGAGGGTCCATAACCTTGATATACCATATTTTACACTAATTGGGTACAAGGGGCGGCGGCCACTTTATCCGGCAGTTTTGGTACAATTTTCACAAAATTCGAACTCAACCATCATTAGGGTGTAACGGTGATATACATTGTACTAAAACGTTTTTTTAAATCGGATAAAAATTGTGACCTCTAGAGTGACCACAAGCTAAAAATGTAATTTTTCGTGCAATCAGGGGCCATAATTCAGGAAGTTACGATCTGATATGCGCAAATATCGAAAGGAAACAAGATATTTGGGTTATAAACATGCATATCAAGTTTCATCAAAATCGGATCAAAATTGTGACCTCTAGAGTGTCCACAGGCTAAAAACTTGATTTTTCGTACCATCAGGGGCCATAATCCATGAAGTTATGGTCCGATGATGCGAATATCGAAAGGAACCGAGATCTTTCGGAGATAGACCTATATTTCAAGTTTCGTCAAAATCAGATAAAAATTGTGACCTCTAGAGTGTCCACAAACAATTTGTGGATGGACAGACTCCCGGACGGACAGAGGCAACGACAATATACGTCAACATGAAAATGTGGGCGTATAAAAACTGAGTCAAATTGGGTACTGAGTCAAACTGTTCATCCAGGTAATCTTATGTTTACTGTGTTTGACAGATCGTCTCCTAAAAAACAACATGGCTGCCATTGTTAATAAAATAAATTTTTTGTAAGTTGTGATGTTTTTCAATATAAAACCATAATATTACTGAATTAAAATTAAAGTCATTTGTAAAATCTATTTGATGGTTTAATGCCTTTTTCTATATCATTATATGTAATTCAGTATATTGAGATTTCTACATTAGTCGAATTATCCAACACTACAGGGAGGAAAGGAAATCAGGTTTGTTTGAAACACTTGTGTATAATAGTTTTATAGGAAGAAGAAGAACATTACAAGTCAACATGTTACCTGGTTAAGTAAAGGTGTAACAGCATCATCTCTTCTATCTAATATCAATAATACAGGTGCTACATCAGTACGACGAAACTCAAATAATGCAGCATTATTCGTTATTATACGCTATTAAAAAAGTAATCAAAATAATTTCATTTAAGAACATTTTGTTAACTATATCAATTGCAATCATTTTAATGAATATTACTTCTGTTATAAAATCTAATCAACACCAGCAAAAACTGGCTTTAAAGTTTGCTGTATATAATTTGTTCTATAAATATAAATTACCTTAACATTATCAGCTAATTCTCTAGCCATTTCTGAAGAATTCTGATATCTGATCATGGGACATTTTTTTACTGAGAGTAAAAGAGCTGTTAAACCTTGTGCAGTTCTGGATAACATTGGTTGAGCCCATCTTAATGACTGAAATTAAGAAAACAGAGAGTAATAGAGAGAGAGAGAGAGACTAGGTCATTTCGGGACTAACATATGGTTCAATTTTATTTTAGCAGTTGGAGGAAACGGGGAGACCCGGAGAAAACCCATTCATGAGGTTGGACAGGCAACCCTACACTTGTCACGTACAAACGGGGAATTGAAACCATGCCACTTTATTCAATGACAGACCTTCTGACCAAAGCACACGTGTTAATCATTCGGTCACCCAAACCCCCACAGCAATACATTCTAAAGGGAAATCAAAGTTATCCCAATATATTCCTTAAAATCCTGTGTGTAACAATCAAAAGATGGTTAGCTGCATCTTGTCTTTCAGTTGTTAATTACATAACAATAAAGTTTGACTGTTTGAGGCTATCAATATAAAAGAAAATAAACAACCATAATGTCCCTTTCATAACTAACAATGAAAGTGAAATAATATACCAGTACCTGACAACAGTTGCTGATATTTAAAGAGAAGAGATGAGGATTAACTGCTATATAATCTCCATAGAATTCCTGAAAAAAAATTATTTATTCCATTTACTTCATCTGAATCAGTACTGGTATTTCTTACAAAATTGTAGAGTAATAATTAGATCCTGCAATAACTAAATATGAGAGAATACGGTTTATCACCTATGTCATTTTGTGACTAACGTATGTTATTTCTTTATTTTAAAAAGTCACAGTTGTTTTTAACAGTAGGTGGAAAATGGAATGAACCAGCCTGGACAATCACTCCAACCCCCAATTAGAGAAAGTTATAGGTACCTGTACTTCTCTTACTACTTCTTGATCGTCTGCTTCTGCTAAAATCTTCACATCTTGTTTACTGATGACATTACTAAAATCTGAATTCAAAGAAGTTGGAGTTGACATTCTTTGAATCAACATAAGTAAAAATCTAAATGAAATTGAGATAAATAAGGATTAGGCCATGAAAAACAAATATTCTTGTTCTCAGATACCCAGTACTCCTGCATCACTGAAAAAGAGCAGCACAACCTGTTTTTATTTCAAAAACAGTCTCATTAGTTGCTGCACCGTGACGTTCATATTTCCTCAGGTTAAAGGAAGTAAGACTATAAGTCACGTAGGCTCCATTATCACGTATGTAGCACTGATAAATGTTACTGACAATCATAAATGATAATATAAGAGATAAGGTGGCTATGTAGACCTGGTTATCCCGAGTGTCAGTGACTAGTTTCGTTCGTATTGAACTCTTCAGACTGATTGGAGTCAATCTGATTAAAACACAGATCCTATTTCGTTTCATTTTTATAGTTCAAAATTTCGTTTTACTTGTCTTTACTACACTAAGCTCTGGAAAAGTTGTTATCATTGACGTGTTCTGAATAGTGTGAGGTATAAGCCAATGAAACGGTCTGTTACGGTGAGCTTTAGGTGTGTTTTGCTAGGAACTGTGAGTAATCCACTAGTAACACTAATGCTGATTGGTTAATCAAATGTCTTAAGTCATAGGCTCACTTGCCGCTCGTATGACCTCTGACGTGACCTATCGCAACAACCGGTCAGATCTTCATGCAGTGGAGGCCATCGAAAGTATAAAAAACGAAAAGAAATATAGATCTGTATTTTAATCAGATTGGATTGGACTCACGTGGCGGGCTTTTTTATTTATACTATTCCGAAACCCTGGTCGGGGTTCCATGGTTACTAATTGGCGGGATTACCGGGGTTGGTCCCTTGACAGGGTTTGCGAATGTGTTACCGGGGTCGGTAGCTCGCTTACCCGGGTTGTACAGAGGTTTGACAACTTGGCGGGGTTCCGAATTTGTTACTGGGGTCACTAGCCCATTTACCTGGGTTGTACAGTGTTGTACTAATCGTTTAGATTGAAGTGCTAGTATCCAAAATTTTGCTAACTAGCATGCCTTTAGTTGGTTTGTAACATTGTTACAAAAATGTACTTGTCATAGTATATGGACAAGTGTGTTGATGTAACACCCGTGAGAGGGGTATAAGGCTAAATATAAATCCAAAGTTGGAACACTCAGGGGTAGAGCAGTGTAAAACAAAAATAAAAATGTTTGGAGTGCCTAAGTTTAGATTTGTCGTTGATTCCATAAAGTAGTTAGGTTTTAGAATGTTAAATACTGTGTAATTCAACATGGTGCCCGAGGGGTTTAATATGATATAGGTATAAATAAACCATTTGGTACTATTTCGTACCTTTATCATATTAAACCCCTCGGGCGCCATGTTGAATTACACAGTATTTAACGTTCTAAAACCCAATTACATTATGGAATCAATGACAAATCTAAACTTGCGCACTCCAACCATTTTTATTTTTGTTTTACAAATCATAAATGATATATAAGCCTGGCCACACTATGCGACAACTTAATCGCCGAGTTTGGCGACAAATATCGACTCAATGCAAGTGGAGTGAGCACACTACACTACGACTTTGGCGAGCACGAAAAAAAAACTGTCACGTGACACCTCTTAATGCATTTTAGTCGTCATCGCGTTGAATACTTTAATTTATATTGTTTTGTACATGATGACCAGACGGCGGCTTAGCCATCTTAGTACAACGCCGGTAGAGCGCAGTGCGTTTGTAGTATTCTAAGTAACAAGCTCAAATTGGGCGACTCTTGTATGTATAGAAAACAGGCTACGTGAGGATGAGTTCAGAAATATTCCAGAGTATCCTAAATATAATTAGCCCTCTCATTACCAAACAAATGAAATGAAATGGGGTTTAACGTCCTACTGTTCTGCTCCGAACTGGGCTAATGAAAACGGCATACGCCATACAGTGGGCTATGAGGGAAAATTTGCCCGGACAGCGGCACTACGGCCTACTCTTATATCGAATTCCAACTGTCAAGGGATCTTTTACGTGCACGCCAATGTGTACACGGGACCTCGGTTTTTCGTCCCATCTGAACGACTAGACAGCTGTCCTTGTCAGGCCTTCCGTCCTGCATCACTGACAAGGGGGAACCATACCGGAAAATCTGGATGAACTTTCTCGGCCAATGCAGGGATCGAACACCCGACCTCCAGGCTAGCGAGCCAGCATCTTACCCACTTAGCCATGTGATCCCCTCATTACCAAACAAACAACCAAGATGTGACAACCAATAAGCCCAAGAGGGCGATTGACTGTCACTCTCTGTTTTCTCACTACAGACAGGTACTGGAAGAAAAAAACGCCCATTCTAATTACCATCTATGAATCCTAGGACTATATTATTATTGAGTATATTGCAATATAGACGGAACAGTCCACTCGGCCTACCATATGTATTCGACAGTTCACACATTTAATAAGTGCCAGAATTGCAAACTTAAATTCAATTAATCAATTAGGCCTAAATTAGATTACTCGAGCCACTTATATATGCAACAGAGAAGAATAACCAAAAATGACTGGTTTAATAGGTGAATTTATTTCCTTCCTTGTCGCTTAACTTGTCTCAGAGGTGAGCATAATTATTACACGATTTGTCGCCAATAAAGCGACGACTTGGGCGATCATATCAAACATGTTGCGATGGTTGTCGAGGACGAAAAATCGCTAGCGACCGAGTGCGCACACTAGGCGATTTTTTTGATTTTTCATCGTTGCCGACCGAAATCGTCTATGTCGTTGCATAGTGTGCATCTGGCTTAAATACGGTAATAATATATTCCTATAAACAACATGAAGAGATAAATGCAGTGCCTTGAACTGTGATGTTTCCCACAAAAATAAAAAACTTCCCTCCCGCATTTGAGAAACAAATACAAATAAACACCAATTTCCTTAGATCAGCATTATACAAGCGAATTAATGATAAAATTGTTATCTACATGCCATGTTTATATGCATTTCTCAAATAAATTAGAAATAATACAGTGTGGCCATACAACCCAATTTTATACTGTTACTGTAAGGTAAATTGTAATAAGGCTGTCCTATTAGCACCGATACAGTAGGTTATAGAGACCAGGATAATCAATAGATCATTGTAGTCTGTTCAATGTTTTGGGGATAGTGTCGATACCTCCCTTATCTAGCTGAGCAATGGTAGTAACAGTTTACATACAGTTTCACTTACAAATGTAGTAGAGTCCATACTTCGGAGCTTTTAACTCACTAGCAAGAAGGGCAACATTTTCTTTTGTAGGTCTTAAAAAAGTTATGCATTTCAAGTGTTTCATAGATTCTCGACTTGCTCCTGAATCAATCTTTTCAAATAAGTAGACTTCTTTCTGTAAGATTTCTGACTTGGCATACACCATACTTACAAATACAGTCTGTAAAAGAGATTTAAAATAAACAAACAACAGTTGTTTCACAGCCTGAAAAAAAAACCAGCATATATTTTAAAGATTAGGAATGGACTTCGTATGTTTTGAAAAAACAATAACCATTATAAACAGCAATTTATTTTTTTTATTATCTGAAACGAAATCTTGGATGTTGACCTAATTTGATTGGATCCATTATGAATATTATAGCCTAAAAATGATTATGCATTATCCATTGTCTTCAATTCAAGAAATCTATTCACAAATCATTTTACATGATTTTACTGCTGCATGCCCTCAAACACTTGAAAAAAAGGGAACCTTTGTCCCATCTGCCACACTGATATTCACCCAGAACAACCCCTACCGGTACCCAAAGTAAAACTGTAGCCTACGGTGTTTAAAACATATCTTAAAGCGCTAAGTCTCTAACTCAGTATCATCTAAAGTCTTCGACATTAAAAACATGAATTATTTGTCAATTTAAATCAACATTGATGTTGTGATCTTACCGGGAAAAGATGAGCTTCTGATATCCAATATTTAAGACAAAATAAACATATTACCATTGGTACACGAATCGTGTACCATAATGCGTTTCAGCGCCATTTGTAACAACGGACTCGAAGAACAAGGCTAGACAAGTCATGTCAAATGGTGATGCCCTATTCGTATCTGGAGAACATGCATAATAAATACTATCGGTGTAGACTGGAATAACCAGATGCTAGAGATTGCCATTCGATTGATATTTCTGGCGTATTTCGCCGAACACAACTGATTAGAAATTACAATAAAAACAGAAACGGTTGAATCTAAACCAGTCTATGTACATTCATATTACATTACTATATGCGTTGTGATCCATTTGTGTCAATTTCTAGGTCCCAAATATTAGCGATTTAGCTCCTTTAATCTTACCGTATCTGCATCCATTAGTAAGACTTTCATTCCTGGACCACTTTCCTCTATCATTTTACTCACATATTGTTTCACGGCTAATATAACATTCATTTTGATTCTTATCGGTATCTAGTGAAAAGCAAAAAAAAAGAAATCTCAGATTACAAATACTTCTTCTTCTCTTAAAATCATACAAAGCGAATTCTCTACTTTCGTGAAATTATACTCTCCGGAAATTAGTCCAATACTATTTTTAGTATCATGGGAAAACCCCCTTTACCGTTCAAAATTTCGAAGAGATCCACTCTTCTTTGACTAGTAAAGAATATCTATGATTGCAAAAAGTTTGGTTCATTTTTTACATTTTTGCATCACATAAATTCAATATTTACCACATTAAATCAATTATTCGTGAGATTTCAAAATTGTACTTAGGTTGTATGTAAGAGTTCCAAAGAAAGCCCAGTATCAAGTACACGTCCGTCGTTTAGTAAAAATAATTATATCACGTGATTTCTACAAAATAGCGGGAAATCCCTCAGCCAACTCGGAGTTAACAGAAATTTAACGTTCCTTGAAGAAAAAGAATTAAAAGCCAGACCCGTTGAAGGAAACGCAAACTGGAAACACCAACATGCCTAAAGCAAACGCTACATCAAGTAGTCAAAAGGGAAAAAACTACGTTGAAGGTTCTATTGTGAGAATAAAACTAGAAAATATTCTGTAAGTCTTGTCTATCTGATCTCACTCACTGACAGATTCTCAGATTCACAATCCCGAATTAACAGAATTTGCAATCCAGTCACAGTTTGGTCAGTCTCGAAACTGATTTTGCGTAAGAAGAATCGTGATATATACACCATACCGAACTAGACAATAATATATAATAAAAAAGAACAGGAATGCAATGCCTGTTGAAGCCTCAATTTTACCTGCTCTTGCTTCGGCTCGTTTTTTTCAACAATTCGTAATGTCAGGCAATCAAACGTACAAAATGGTATTATTGCCACTTGTTACCATTATTTACATTATTTTCGTTCGTTGACATTTGTCATTGAAGCCATGCGCTGACATCACACAAAAACCTAACCAAACTCTGAAGTCTCATATACTTCATACAGCATACTCGTATACTTCATGCAAAAGGGGGAAATGGAAAGGGAGAAAAAAACTAAAAATATCTTTGGCCCTTGTTTCAATGGTCTAATCACTGCGGATTGATTTTGTGTGACGTCCGCGCATGGCTTCAATGACAAACGTCAACAAATAAAAATAATGGAACAAGTGGCTATGATACCGTTTTGTGGGGAGTTTATGCAAATCAAACGGCTAGATTGAAGAAAAAACATATCTGAGTGAATCGACAGAGGTTTGATTGCCTGACATTCCGAATTGTTGAAAAAAAACTTTTTTTATCTCCGATAAATACAAAGACAATACATGGTTTCTCTTTGCAAGTGACTGGCGATCACACAGTGTTACTACTAATAGAATAAAATAAAATAGAAGGCGTCTATTGATTGGACAATAAAAAAATAATTACGGGCTTTCAAAGTAGAATTTTTATGATTGGTTAATTTAGATGAAAACCAAAGTAGAATTCTTCCACGAAATTACGAGAGATATAGATATTTTCCCTGGAAGTCAAAAACGTGTTTTGTATGGGCTGTATCTGACATGATTTAGTAATAAAAGCGGAGTTGATCATTAATAATACAATTAGTTTTATCGTGAAAGCAGATGATTTCTCTACAAATCAACCAAGAACAAAGAAGGGAGATAATTCTAATTTTACTATATATCACATTCGATTGTCATTGTTCACAAAGTGCGTGACCTATTTTAGTTTCAACTAGTAATAACAACAAAAACAACGAAAATATTAAAATAATGTATTTAATCTTAAAGTTTAGTTTTTTTACAATAATATATATTTAAAGTGTGGCAGTTTGTAAGCAGAGGGGGGAAATAGTTGTGTTGACGTTGTGTATTCATTCATTCGTCTGCTAATGCCAGACTACGGCAAGTTCAGTCATGTGAAAGTGACCGTAACTTGCCGTCAGAAGGTAAATATACCGATAATCGATGTTTGAATTTCAATATCGATTATCGTATCGCTAAATAACTTCTACCGATTATCGATTATATCAATATTTTTGCACAGCCTTAGTCGTCTGTCCCGTCCGTCCGTCCACAATTGTTTGTGAAGTCTACAGGTCACAATTTTTATCCGATTTCAATGAAACTTGAAATATAGGTTTATCACCCTAAGATCTCGGTCAATTTCGATATTGGCATGTATCGGACTGTAACTTCATGGATTATGGCCCCTGATTGTACGAAAAATCATGTTTTTAGCTTGTGACCACTGGAGAGGTCACAATTTTTATCCGATTTCATGTTGAAACTTGAAATGTATGCTTATAACCCAAAGATCTCGGTTCCTTTCGATATTCGTGCATATCGGAACGTAACTTCCTGAATTATGGCCCCTGATTGTACGAAAAATCAAGTTTTTAGCTTGTGGGCCCTATAGAGGTCATAATTGTTATCCGATTTAAAAAAACGTATTATTATATCACCGTTACACCCTAAGGACGGCTGAGTTCGAATTCCGTGAAAATCGCCCAAAACTGACAGACAAAATGGCCGCCCTTAATTTTCAAATAGCGTAAAAGTATGGTATATCAAGGTTGTGGACCCTATAGAGGTCACAATTTTTATCTGATTTTGTTGAAACTTGAAATGTAAGTTTATAACCCAAAGATCTTGGTTCCTTTCGATATTCGCGCATATCAAATAGTAATTTTCTGAATTATGGCCCTTGATTGTAGAAAAAAATCACTTTCTTTTTAGCTTGTTCTCTATCCATCTCTCGAAAATGTGGGCGTATCCTGCCTGGCAGCCGCTGGTAACTAATTTAACTTGTGTGACTTGATTGCCACTATTCCTTAATCTTGAAAAAAGTCGATCCAGCCACCATTTGACTCTTTCGAGTTGACAGATTTTATTTACTATAGTTTTGGCTAGAAATAAGCGAAATGGTTGAAATTTGGTGTTTGGCCATCAGAGGTTGCAGTGGATCCAGTTCGAGTTGCCTAAAAATACGCAGACATACCAAAATTTTGCGCTTTTGCCCTCTTCATCTGCGTGACTTAAGCCTCTCAAAATAATCAATAGAAAAAAGTAAAATCGTTTTTGAACAACCCTATTTTAAGCGTCCTTATTTTATTGATACCGTACTGTATTTAGTCTGATGAAGACTACAGAGGTTGACGGCATATCTATGGTTGACGACAGTCATTTCAATCTTTCACTTCAACAGGAAGTAAAGAGCAAACGATCACTACGAAAGCCAATATTTGATTGGCTGAATGTAAACAGTTTATTGCGTTCTGGCCAATCCAAAGTCTTGTATGAAATGTGCTTTGTTGCTTCCAAAGTTCCAGTACGGCAAAATAGGGGGTGTCTCAGAATAGCTACGTGTAGAAGGCTTACTACCAAGAACTTAAAGATTATGAATGAAATAAGAGGAAATATAAAAACCTACGTAGACTACGTACAGTAGAGGTGTGTAAATGCCACGTGAAGCACATAAATTGATAACGTAGTGTACAAACTACTACATACAATAATCTAATTATTCTAACGTTGGGAAATCTTCTGCGTGTAAATTACGCAGTGTTCTTCAATATTGACGTTTATTTTGAAAAGATCACGTTTTTCTGGCCATGTGACACTTGATTTTCAGTCTGAAACATTAAGAATTGCATATATTGATGTAATTTTTAATAAAACTTTTTAGCTGTGATGTGGTACTGCCAGCACAGATCTGTGGCATGCTTCTATGGTATGCCAGACAATTTTGGCATAAGCATAATTTTAGTAGCATCCTGTGCCTGGTATAGGACACTGGCGTCACTGGCTTCACTGGCATAAGAAACAAAGTTTTAGTTTACTGGTTGTAATAAATAAGTCTAATTCAGAGATGCACTCAAGTGCACTTGTTGTTTTTAACTCAAACAGTTGTCAATAAGTCAATGTTCAGCCTTTTACTGATTTTTCGGCATATGAATTTTGCATCTGGAAATTCTAGTGTAGATCACTTATTTGGGAAAAATATGGAATACATTATTGGTCGGTCAAAATATGATATCCTTTTCGATTGGCGCATGCCTTGTCACAAAATCTTTGTGTTTGCTGAAAGGGTTTAGAGAATTGAATTCCAGAACATTCTGTCAGGTATCCCGATACTATACTGTCTATAGCATAGACAATTAGACGTTAGACTGTTAGTAGTGTTAGTACATGTTCTTGTATACCCCTTTAAAAGAATCTAGCTACCCAACCCATTGCACATGTACATGCACATCATTATTCAAGATCTTCATGACACTCATTAAAGGAGTCTTACTGTCATAATTTATTTTCTTTTTTTTTTACTAGGACATATGATTCAGTTGAATTTCATCCTGGACCTAATCTTAATGTAATTATTGGACCGAATGGTACAGGAAAATCTACTATTGTGTGTGCTATTTGCTTAGGGTTAGCTGGAAAAACTGGACTTCTAGGCAGAGCTTCTCAGTTTTCTGAATTTATTAAATATGGCAACTCTGAAGGAAAAATAGAACTAGAATTGTAAGTTATTATAAAGATGTCTAATTAAATATAATTGTTAAACTTTATATTATCGTCTTTCTGTTCTGGTCTATTTTTCCACAAAATTATTATCAGATTTTTTTCATATTTATATTGATTACTTACTACAGTGATCATTCAAAGACACAATTAAGAATTTTTTATTTATTTTTTTTTAACACTCAATGTTTTTGAGATCTTAATATTTAAAGGCTTTTGGCTGATTTATAGTTCATATTTTGACATACATTTACAGAACTATGTTCTCAATGGAATTAGTTAAAACTGAGTGTATATTATAACAATTTGACTTTTGGTTTGCGTAATAAACAGTTTATAGATGGATAACATGGGAAATAATGGGAATTATAGAACTTTTCTTTGGTTGTATAGTTCTTGAAGATATCTTTATGTTTCAGATTTAATTCTAAAGGAGATAATTATGTTATCAAAAGGGAAATCCATAAAAATAATACATCAACATGGAATGTTAATGGACGACAAGCAACACAGAAAGCAGTAAGATTAATTTATTGTTTTTCTCTTCAATATACATGTATTTGGATAATATATAAGTTTTCAAGGCTTATTCCATATGTAGTCATACGTATCATACGAATATCTGCCATTCAAACCAAGGAATGGTTGCTGCAGCATTTTCTTTCACCAAAGATGACATACATACTTCATGAGGCACTTGTCATTTGTAATAAAATACACGGTAAGATAAACAGGGCTCTGCCTGTCAGTAATTTTTCACAGTTGATTAGCAGCACTGCTAATCAAAAAGTCCAATTTTGCCAAATTTGATTAGCAAATTTAAAAATTGATTAGCTGTTTTTCAGTTCAAACATAAAACACCTAAATAACAAGATATTACTTTAATTTTAATTCAGAACAAATGATTAGATTTCATTCTTAAGATTTTTTGTCCCCCGCCTTTCGAAGAAAGCAGGGGACTATTAAAAGGGGTTCGTTCGTCCGTCTGTCCGTCCGTCCGTCTGTCCAATCGTCCGTCGGTCTGTCCGTCACACTTTTTTGGACACAATAACTCTCCTTCTAATTGAGGTAAAATGTTCAAACTTGGTGTAGGTGTTTATTAGGTCAATGCCTTGATGGAGTTCGAAGATGAGCATTTTCTGCTTAGGGTAAGCAGAGATAAGCAATTTGATTGGTTAATGCTTTGGGACACGATAACTTTAGTTCTAATTAAGTGAGAGTTATGAAACTTGGTGTATAGTTTCATTACATCAATACCTTGACTAAGTCCGATAATGAGCACTTTCTGCTCAGGGTAAGTAGAGCGATAAGCAATTTGATTGGCCGAGACTTTGGAACACAGTAACTCTCCTTCTAATAATGGAGGTAGAATGTTCAAACTTGGTGTAGGCGTTCATTAGGTGAATGCCTTGATCTAGTTCGATGATAAACATTGTCTGTTTACGGTAAGCAGAGATAAGCAATCTGATTGGTTGATGGTTTGGGGCATGATAACTTTGGTTATAATTAAAGATACATTATTGGAGATTCAATAACGAGTTGGCAGTTCTCACTATAATAGTTGAAAACTAGATAATGTAAAGGCAATTTGCTGAAAATGTCATTCAAATTGATCCACTATGCACCGAGCAAAGCGATTGAATTTCCGCCTAGCCTTGATCATCATTACTAAAGTCAGTACGATAAACAGCATAGTCTCAATTATCCATTTAATCGTTAAATCGTGACGGAAAGTTATGCAGTAAATCGGCTCACAATCCACTAAAGTTCGCAGGCTAGCTATGCCATCTTGAATTGCTTATGGTCTTGATAGGTTAATTAATGTCTAATTAATAATTTAGATAACATTTCAGGCCTAAAGAAAGACCTGCAATAGACAGATTTAGCTCTTGCATAATGTATGTTTAAGTTAGAGTGATGAAACTCTTTGAGTATAGGTTAATTATATCATTACCTTGACTAAGTTCGATGATGAGAATTTTCTGCTTAGGCTAAGGAGAGCTAAGCAATTTCATTGGTAAATGCTTTAGGACAAGATAACTTTGATTCTATCTGATAGTGATGAAACTTGTGTATAGTTGATAATCAGTTTGATGGCTTGATACTTTTGATAAAAAAAAAATGTGCGATAAATAAATGTGATAAATGTGTCATCTATTTATTTTGGGATTTCTGTGGGGGACATCAGCCTCACTGTTGGCTTGTTTAACACTGCTACAGGTAGCTGTGACAGTTTGGGAATGTGATGTATACTTTTGGTAAGGTCTTTTGCCTGAAGCCAATTCTTGGCAGTGGCTTCCAAGGCCCCACTCATTTTAATTCTTATTTCTTCGTTAGAAAACAATTTCGTCTGCTTTTTATCGTTGGTTACTATTTTTTTTCGATGGTATTTTACGAATAATCTGGATTAAGTCAACACTCGATATAAACAATAATGTTTTACAAAAATTCTTACTTTGATTTTTCATTTTACAATACGTTTACACATATTTATTTTTTATATTTTATTTACAATACGTGGGGGATACACTGGATTTATTTTTTTCAAATTGAATACTGATATATTTACTCGAAATTGACATGAGTGGTACTACTTGATTCCATATTTCCGGTTTAAAAGTCCCTATTCATAGAGTTATTTCCCTGTATTATATAGTATAATGAATTGTATCTGGGTAGTCGAGAAGAAAATGTCACACGGAGAATTCAGTTTTGTTTATAAAATTTTATTTGATATTTTATACATGTTGAAAGTGTTGATAAAGCCCTATAGTCTTCAAAATGTGGATAAATCTTCATGTCAATATCCAAAATGACAGGCATATTAATGATTCACAGTTACTGCGAATCAAAAACATTAGATTTTGATTTTTGATTATCAACGGACAAATATATAGCGCAAATTGCGCTGCAATACTACTTGTCGGCAGCCCTGAAGATAAAATGTCTTTAAATTCCTGCTAACATATTTTATTTTACGTGACTAGCGCTCTTTGACAAACATTCGGTTCCAAAACTGCAACAATGAGATAGCCTCGACTGATTGACACTACTTCACAGTATTTTATTAACCACGACACTCTATAAGTATAAACACAGTCTCAAAAGGACACAAAGATACTAATAAATGTGAATATCTGATGAAGAAAGACAAAATTATAAAAGTATTTATATTATCATGATGCCATGTGCCGATTGGGTCAAAGTTGAAGACAATTAACATACTGGTTATTGGTACTGTTTTCTTCAATGTTAGAGAAAAGAACGTGTGTAATAAATTCTTTGTTGGACTGACATGTTTATAATCTGTTCTATCTTAAAATCCAAAGGTATGCTTTTAAATTAAATATTTATGTCAGAACAAACCATCAACCTGATTGGAACAGGTCATTTCGTAACCTGTCAAAGTAGGGAAAGATCATGAAGAAATGAAATGCCAAGAATGAATGAATTAACGAACGGTTAACTTAGAAGCATATCACTAATAATTTAGACCTGTCATTATGATCAAGTCTTCCGATGCACGGCTATTATGTGTAACAGATATTTTAATCTATAAAAATGTATAAAATGTGAATAAATCATGGACACCGGTTACCGTTGGGGTTTCAATTACCAAGTAACTGACATTAGTTATTTGCTGAAATAGAAACATCAATAAACTCAAAAATTTTAAATTCCATCGCAATAATTAATAATTACCTCATGTAGAATGTATATTTCACAAACACAGGTCATGGGAAACAAACAATTAATTGACCGCAGCCTTTACATTTAACAAATAAATTGAAATATCAATGGTAGATAATCAATTAGATTAAAAACAGGTGGAGCTGGCTACTTTTGGATATCCTGTTTATTTTGTCCACAGGATGCTAAATATTCATATCATCATATTAGAGATTCCAATCTCACAATATTGTATTTTTATAACATTTCTTTATCAGTGCTGGACAACATGCAGTATTCATAGAATCAGAAAACCAGTGAGACTATTGGGGTGTTGGACGTATAAGCCTATTCCAGCCCATTAAAAAGGGCCACACATAATGTTTACAAATGAAATAAATTGATGTTGTATATTTAAAGGTTGAGGAGACAGTATCTAGGTTAAGTATACAAGTTGGTAATCTCTGTCAGTTTTTACCTCAAGAGAAAGTTGCTGATTTTGCTAAAATGACTCAACAAGAAATGTTAGAAAATACAGAGAAAGCAGTGAGTATATAAAGATTACTTATCCTGTTAATACTAAAGGGCTGTCCAAACCAAGGATTATTGATTGGGATTTTCCATCGCCAACAAATAATCATAGGCCTGCAGCATATGATACACTTTGATAATATGTCAGATTTGTATTTCGGATCACACAGTGTGTCGGAATACCGAGCTTTCTCCAAAACCAGAAATACTGTAACTTCGAAAACCGGAAGTATTTTTATATTGTAGCTTCGAATCACCAGAATGCTATTCCCTTTAAAAATGATAAACCTTTCTGTACTTTCAAAATTTTATAACATTAAATAATTAACAATAACAATCGTTTCTTACTGCAGTTTAAATTATCGGCAAACTTCTGTTTAAATTCATCTTTACGCTTTAATATGTCTGACACTGTAGCTAGGCCAATTGAATTCTTAAAGATACATTATGGGAGATTCGATAACGAGTTGGCAGTTCTCACTATAATAGTTAAAAACTAGATAACGTAAAGGCAATTTGCTGAAAATTTCATTCAAATTGATCCACTATGAACCGAAAACTAAACGAATGAAATTTCTGCCTAGCCACGGTCATCATTACTAAAGTCAGTACGATAAACAGCATAGTCTCGATTATCTATTTAATCTTTTAATCAAGAAGGAAAGTTATGCAGTAAATCGGCTCACAATCCACTAAAGATCGCAGGCTAGCGATGCCATCTAGAGTTGATTATGGTCTGGATAGGTTAATTAATGTCTAATTAATAATTTAGATAACATTTCAGGCCTACAGAAAGACCTGCAATAGGCAGATTTAGCTCTTGCATAATGTAAGTTTAACGGCTAATTCCTTCTGCGCAGGTCGTGGAACTTTCTCGAAATCTGCTATAAGTTGCTGCTTTACATCTAATGTCAAATCTGTTCGGGCACGCTTTGCAGGACGTTCAGACATTTTGAATACAATAATGTATAATGATTCTTCAATCGCGGCAATTTTTATATAATGTTGCGGTATTTGACATGAGTAACTAAAATCAAATACCAAGCGCACTCTTACAAGAGATTATAAATTGTAAAATAATCAACAAAGAATTTATAACATTATCAAAGTAATCAACACAGACCAGATCTCACCGATAATTGATTGGTGATTGCTTGTTAATCTTTTCTGGCTTCACACCCGATGAGTTTTAATCTCACCGATAATTGGATGCTTCACACCAACCGTTTGAAGTACAGATTATACGGTGTCGATTCAATGGAAGATATGTGACGGGACGGCTGATTGATGTCGTAATCTGGAACATACAGAATCCAGATTTACCAGCGATTTTTTGGCTGAAGTAATAAGGAAATAAATCGGGACATGAAAATCATGTTGGATGTCACAGCAATCCAGAGTGATCAGACATCGGATGTGACAGAGTCCACTGTACTTTTGTATAGATGATAATCATTGTATGCATGAAATATAAAATAAAAAGCTACCTATATGTAGATACCAGTGATGCAAAATTCTTTTGCATGATGAAATGTTGGTGACTAAAAGTTTGTGAGTCCAGGATGTTGTTGACAAGTAATCCTTAGTGTTCACGGACATTTATTACATTGCTCCCTTATTTTACATTAAGTCAAGTGACTGTGTATCTTATTGGTTTGAACTGGTTTATTATGGCTTGCAGGTAGGAGGAATGGAGTTATATGAAAATCACCAGAAATTAAAGGATGCCAGAAAGCAAGCTAGAACTCTAGAATCTGAGTTTACGACGTTGAAAGATCGACTTGAACAAGATAAACAGAAAAATGCTCGCCTGGAACAAGATGTGAAAAACTTTGACGAAAGACAAACTCATCTTAAGAGAATAAACTTACTAAAACAAAAGAAACCGTGGCTGGTATGTATAAGGCCATGCCCAAAATACTATTTTGTTTCTAATACATTCCTTCATAATAATCTGGTGTGGGTGGGATGTTTTTACTTTTGTGATTTTATTTTATCAATGGATCATGTAAATTCATTTACATCATTACTATGGAATTTACTGTATACACTATTTTAAAGGTTATTTACAAGCAGTTACTAATTGTCATCTCAGTCTATGGTTGAAAGCACAGGTTTTATCTTTCTCATTTCTCTATCATCCACACAAAAAAAGAACTTAAAATATGAGCCTGCAGTAGGGAAGTAGGATGGTTTTAAATAAGAATAGCTCATGTGACCCTGTTAAAGTGATGTGGCATTATCTGAGAAACAGAACAATTTTTTTTTATATGTTCTAAATAGTATTATTATATATTTTTTGATAGATAGATCAATCTAATGAATTACTGTTCTTTCTATTACTCTAAGAGTATTCAAAGGAATAATGAATTAAAATAATTGAGAATGATCGTCGACGATTTACTGATATCGAAGTCGACAAGCATTTTGGGCACTAAGTCTAATTAGCTGAATATATTTTGTCTCTCCTAACCATATTGCATTTCATTCATGTCACACAATGGGCATTTCTTGTATCAACGTAATTTCAATTTAATCGGTTATTGACAATAACGCTATTATAAAATGGCAGACTACTGTTTATACCACAAGCAAAATAATACTAGAGGTGACTTCACAAAGTAGCATTCAAGTATATACTCTATAAATTTCTATATTATGGCAAACAACAATATTAACTAAGTATTATTTCTCGAGAAGATGCCATCAACGAGCAAAACAAACAAGACGTAGAATCAAAGGCAGTGTTTTAGAATAATTGACTATCAAAGTGTTTACTTTATTTGATTGTTCATGTAAACAGTGTTATAATGATGTCGGATGTGATATATTTGATTATTTAGGAATATCAAGAAACAAGAAAAAGATACATAGCAGAAAAAGATAAACTCACTGAGAAAGAAACGGAAGTGAAGAAAGCCAGGGCCACTTTTGCTCCTCTTGAGAAAAAACTTAATTCAACCAAGGCACGGAAAGAATCTTTCGAAGTTGAAATGAAACAAAAGGTAGTATTTGGTTGACATTGAATCTCAAAACTCTAATACAAAGCTACAACAAGAAATGTTAGCTATATGAACTTCCCATAGTGAAGGAGACATAGTATCTGGTGTTCAAGAAAATCAAAATAACCTGTCTGCTGCACGACACATGTCACTGCTAATTGTGAAAGATAGTACCTTTTTTAGTGAAAAGTAAACATTATTTTATCCTTGCCTCAAAGTACTACAACATTTTTATACTATATTTGTTTTATTTTCCAGTCAACCACAATTAAAGAATATGCAGATAAAGTAAGATCATCCAGTGAAGAATTAGAAAGTTGGACGGATAAGGTTTGACTTGTTATATTTTTCTAGATAAAATGACATGCAGCATTATGCGAAACTGAAGAAATATCTTTAAAGTCTGAAATGTCATCACTAGTCTCAAAAAATCTTCAATTTCCAGTTTTGAATTATTGAGTATGGACAATGTTTTGTGGTAAGTCAATGTATTTTTAGTAATATTATTATGTTTATACCTACTTGTAGATTACAGATATACAGAAAGACTTAAAATTTAAACAAGAACAAGAAGAGGCAAGAAAGAAGAAGTAAGAGAATTACTTTTTCACTTGTTTATAATCATCATTGTTGTTTACATTGTTGTAAAGAGGCATTCTCACTTTCTCTGAGAACAGAATTATAACTATTTTGAGTAAAATTCTGGAAATTCACTCTATATAGAATATCCAAGAACAGATATTCTTAGGGTATTGGGGTGTTTTGCCCAAGAATTTGTTAGACTCATTGAAACCCACAAAATTGTCTACTGCACAATAAATCTTTTCAAATCTCAGCCCTTGATTGCCAAATTTGTCTCATATAATTGATGATGGAGATTAGGCGCAATATAAATTCATTACATTTCATCACAATCTAATTTGAACACTTGAGGTAACTTTTAATGTTGCAATCAGTATAGCGATGTAGTGGTATATATATCTTGGTTTCAATAAAATCAGTTCTTTGTTTATGTTTACAGGTTAGTTGGATTAAAGAAACAATTACAGGTGTTGGAGAAAGAATTATCAGAGTTAGATACTTCTGAAGATGTTCAGGTATATGTACAACTATTTTTTTAAATTTGTGAATATTTGGCTTTTCTCAGGAACAGGGTTGAAATCTGATGTGCTTCAATTCTACAGTTCAGAATTTTTTATTCAGTAGGGGATAAAGTGGAACCCTGTCAAAATTCAGTTATTATGGAATCTTGATCATTTTGGTCATAAATTGTGTAGTTACCGCCCCGAAATGTTCCTACACATTCGAGAAGATTTCTATCCTTTTAACATTTTAATTTTTAAACCGTATGAACAAGATACGGAATAAAGTTCTTGATGGAATATTTCAAAAAGTTATTTGAATTTTTTGAAAAGTGCACTGCAAGATTTGATGACATTGATTTTTGAACTGGCATTGCTTCTGGTAGGTGTATTAGTTTTCATCTGTGTTTGTAGCCTGCTATAGAGAAAATTAATCTAGAAATGAGAAATGCTGGAACAGAGTTGAGTAATATAACACAAAGAGGAGAAAGTCTTAAAATGGAGATCAGTAACAAGAAAAGAGAAATAGCAGGTAAATAGTTACTGTTAGATTTAATATTTAATTGAACAATTAAATATGGTTTCGTAGTCACACAAATTTGGGTAACAGCAATATTTGACACCTACTCTTCTTCTAATTTTGTGTTAAATATACTTTTTAGATGCCCACAATTTATTGTGGTATATTCCCATCCATTCATCACATTTCTTGTTGCACAAAATATGCTACAGTAGTCCATATCGATCTTTAAAATTCACATGGATTGTCTTATCACATTTAAACAAATAAACATAAAGTTTTAAATGGTTTCAATATACCCCTTTATAAAATCTTATTCAAGCTATATTGACTGCAATTAGATATTAATCTGTCTTTCTGAAATTTATATTTGAAGAACCCTATTGATATTCAACGATTTCTACATAACTTCCAGAGTTATTCCACTTTGTTACAATATTTTGTTAGCACCTTAGAGGCAGGCCCATAACGAATAGCTGAGAGGAATTAGCTTCTCGTGGGAATATGTGTCAGTGACCATGTTTCATATTTATTAGGTATCTCAGTGAGTTAGACATTGGCTCGCTAATCTGGAGTTCCAGTGGTTGATCCCTGCATTGGCCGAGAAAATTCATCAGGATTTTCTGGCATGGTTCCGGAATTTGATGTAAGAGTAGTAGGCTGTAGTGCCGTTGTCCATGAAAAATTTCCCACTTAGCAAACCGTATGGCGTAGGCTCGTCTTCATTAGCCCAGTCAGATGTAAAACCCTATTTCATTTCATTTCATTTTTGATATTTATTAATTTGTATAATTGTAGATATGCAGACGGCATTAAGAAGAATACAAGATATAAGTAATCACCGGTTAGAATTAGTGCGTAGGAAACATAAAGATACATATGATGCTGTCATTTGGTTACGACAAAATATAGATCAGTTTAAAGGAGCCATATGTGAACCAATGATGCTTTGTGTAAGTCTTATTAAAAATGTCCTTTAATTTTTATTTCAACATTAATGTTGATATCTATAAAGAGTCACTTTTGGTGTTTTAGGCAACACAAATAAAATAACTTGTTTCTCGGGCACCGCCCGCACGCAAAATTGGTTGCGCGTGCAGTCTATTTATTAGTCTTGATGAAAACAAATTTATATGTAACGCCCGCCCGCACATCGACAAGCAAGTCGTAAAAAAAATATCCCGCATGTACCTACATCCGCCATACATGTATATCTATTCAAATGTATTAAAACTGATTCAGATGAACATGCTGTCTTTTTTATCCGAACAATGGCGAAGTTTGGCAGATTTGCCTTTTTTATTGATATCGAAAGAACCTCCATTTTGTATCACGTGATATTAATTACCTCCCCTGATAAACTAGAATTTGATTCGTGTTAAAAGTCATTGGCGACAATATTTCAATCATTCGATCGTAATCGGCTCATTATTGCCGGCTTCAGTCGGTCCTTGTTTGGAAAATCCTATTGATAAAATAATGAACCGTAGAACAGGTTAATTAATTATAGCTAAGAATACGATACGATGACGATAGTCGTCATAATGCATACCTTAGAATCTGGGTCATTATTAGCACATTTAGGGTAGTTTCGATAATCCGGAAAATAATAATTGGATTACCGATTTGATGGTTTTACTGACCAGTTGTTAGTTAGATTTAAATAGTCATTCAATATAAACACCGGATAGAACACCGAATATCCTGAGAAACACACCGAATATCCCAAGAAACAGTATTTCCGGCAATCTCCAATACCGATGACACGGTGTGACATGCATTGGTTGGAATTCGGTAAATAATTATAAATAAACCGGCGATACTAGATTTAGTTTTAAATACTGTTTACCATGATTATTATTTTTGATACACCTGGTGAAAGAGGCTTAGTTTTTAAAAATATTGTTGTCTTTATGGAGGGCTATTACATAGTCGTATGGAATTTTATTTTAAACCAATTTCAATTATGTGAATTAAATATGGAAAATTATTTTCCTTTCAATCAGTGTTCAGTCTCAGTGTTTTAGTAGACTTGATTTTGGGTTTATGTTTTAAGTATGTACAATAAAGTTGAATATAACGGAAAGCAAAAACGTAAACAAGTAATGACTTTCTCATTTAAAAAAAAAAAAAAAGAAAGACCGCCCTCCCGCCCCAACAATTTTCAGCAATAGCCAAATTTTATTTTGCACAATCAATGAGTAAAAAAAAAAAAGAAACCGCCCTCCCTCCCTACAGTTTCAGCTGTCAGTTGCCCGAGAAACAAGACATTTATTTTGTGTGGCCTTATATAAAATTTCATGAAATTTAGTTGTTAAAAATTCCTTGTTTCAGGTCAACGTTAAAAATCCAGGAGATGCTAAATACATAGAAACTCATATATCATTTAATGACATGCGAACATTTGTTTGTGAAGATCCTGAGGATCTTGAAAAATTTATGTCAGTAGTTAGAGATCGTCAGAATTTACGTGTTAATGCTGCAAAAATGCCAGTTCAGAGTGTGTCATCTTTCAAAGCTAGATACGAAATTGATCATTACAGGTACAATATTTATTTGTGTCATTTACCAAGAGTCCATTTGCTATGTGAGAATCTCTGCATATTATTCCCATGTCAAATTTGGACACATTTGCCATTTTTAATGGCTTGCACGAGTAACTGGATGGTTGAACTGAAAACAAATTAAGCACCTTATTATAAATTTGAAAACATTTAGCTTATTTATGAAGCCCGTTCTGAAAGCTAAACACTTTGATCAGTTCTATTCCAGTATAAAATGGTTGAAGAAAAATGAATTTGAACAACTTTGAAACATTATTTACAAAATAATACAGATTATTATTGAATAGGTGGAAAGGTTCAGTTTCAGATAAGTAGCAGTGTAGTTGTTTTTATTAATGGCATATAGCTCAACTAACAGAAAAAGTGCCAAAATCACTGCCATGTCATGATGTATTCAGCATGTCAGCTCCCAGTTTAACCCTATACTTGAAGTTTTGATGACATCAAATTGATTGTAATGTATTATTAGTATTAAACATTATTTTTATTTCAGACGTTATGGCTTTCATCATTATTTAAAGGATATGTTTGATTGTCCGGATCCTGTAATGAGATATTTATGTTGTTTATATAGAGTACATTGTATACCTGTAGGTAATAAGTATACTAAAGATAATGTAGCTGGTGTTATTAAAGATCATAGTGAACTTAGTACGTTTTATACGGTAGATACACAGGTACACAAATATTTATATACACTTTATAACTAGAGTTCTTGTTTCAGTCACTTTTGTCTGTCTTTAATAACTGGTAGTGAAATTGACTAACTAGAGATTTATTTACGCACATTAAGATATAGGCTATCATATATCAGATTTTAACCAAAAAAACCCATTCCACGTAGAAAACACATAAATGTGACTTAAAATTGGGATTATGTTGAAAATTCTCATATTCTTTGAAAAAATATATTATTCTTGTAAACAAATTATTTTAGTATAGTTGGACAATTTATTTTTATATGCCCACGTATATTGTTGTCGCCCCTGTCCGTCAATCTGTCCAGTGTCCGTTCACATTTTTGTTTGTGGACACTCTACAGGTCACAATTTTTATCCAAGATTGACGAAACTTGAAAAATAGTTTTATATCCCTAGGTTCTCGGTTCCGTTCGATATTGGCCTGTATCGGACCATAACTTAATGGATTATGGTCCCTGATTGTACGAAAAATCCTGTTTTTAGCTTTTGTACACTCAGGGGTCAAAATTTTTATCCAATTTTATTACTCGAAGATCTTGGTTCCTTTTGATATTGACGCATTTTGGAACGTAACTTCCTGGATTATGGCCCCCTTATTGTCCAAAAAATTGCATTTTTAGCTTGTAACCTTCTACAGGTCACAATTTTTATTTGATTTTAAAAAATATTATGATTAAAATAATATGTACATATCCCAAAGATCTTGGTTCCTTTCGATATTAGCGCTTATCCGATCCTAACTTGGATTATCTCCCTGATTGTATGAAAAATTGCATTATTAGCTTGTGGACCCTTTAGAGGTCACAATTTATATTTCATTTTAAGAAACGTTCATCAGGGAATATGATGTACGAAAAATCACGTTTTGAGCTTGTGGTCTCTATAGAGATCACAATTTTTATCTGATATATAAAAAAAAAATGTGTGAATATATCACAGTTATACACTAATGATGGTTGAGTCCGAATTTCGTGAAAATGGGACAAAAACTGACGGACATAGATATGGTATATCAAATATGGTAAAAATATTCCATATCAAGGTCCGTCCGTAGGTAAGTCCGTCGTTCACAATTTCTTGTGAACACTGTACAGACTACATTTATCATCTGATTGTTTTGAAATTGATATATGTTGTTTACATTAGTGAGATGAAGAAGCCTATTTAATTTCAATAATTTTAGTTAATTTCTTCTGGAGTTATGGCCCTTGTTTAACTTTGTTAAACCCTGTGAAAGCTCTAACGACAAAAGTTATCATCCAATCTGTTTGGAATTTATATGCATCATTTAAATTAGTGACACGAAGAAGCCTATTGAATTTCAGAAATTTCCGTTAATTACGTCTTGAGTTATGACCCTTGTTTCATTTTGTTGAACCTTGTGAACGCTCCAACGACAAAAGTTATCATCCGATATGTATGAAATTTATATGCTTCATGTAAATTAGTGAAACGAGAAAGCCTATTGAATTTCAGCAATTTCCTTCTATTACGTCTAGATTTATGGCCCTTGTGAACGCTCTAACAACAAAAGTTATCATCAGATCTGTATGGAATTTATATGCATCATTTAAATTAAGTCTAGAGTTATGGCCCTTGTTTCACTTTGTTATTGTCCTTGTTTCACTTTATTGAACTTTGTGAACGCTCCAACAACAATAGTTATTATCCAATCTGTTTGAAATTTATATGCATCATTTAGATTAGTAAAACAGAGAATCACATTGAATTTCAGCAATTTCCGATAATTTCTTCTGAAGTTATGGCCCTTGTTTCACTTTGTTGCTCCTTTTAAATGCTCTAATGACAATAGTTATACGATCTGTATGAAATTGACACAGATCATTAAAATTAGTGACACGAAGACTCCTATTGAATTTCATCAATTTTCAATAATGATGTCTAGAGTTATAGCCCTTGTTTAACTTTGTTGAACCATGTGAACATTCGAAGGACGAAAGTTATCATCTGATCTGTACGAAATTTATATGCATTATTTAAATTAGCGAAATCAAGAATCCTATTAAATTTCAACATTTTCTGACGATTACTTCTAAATGTATGGCCCTTGTTTTACTTGGTTGAAATTGTGAACGTTCAAATGGCAAAAGTTATAATCCAATCTGTATGAAATTTATATGCATTATTTGAATTAGTAAAATGAAAAAGCCGACCAAATTTCAACAATTACTGTAAATTACTTCCAAAGTTAAGGCCCTTATTTCAGTTTGTAGAACCTTATGAACCCACAAACAACGAAAATTATAATCTGATCTGTGTGACAACCCTTGTTGACCTCTCAGACGATTTAGCTGCTGTGAGCGTGTGTTTCGTTGCCTGGCAATCTCAATGATTTGTCAAAGCAGCATATTCGGTGTATGCCTGCTTAAATCAAGCGGTGCAATTGTCAAAGTGTGTGTGCTGGTATGGACAAATCAAGCAGGGCCACCAATAAGTTTATGTGAGGCAACCTATTATTATTATTTCAGTATACTATAAAGAAATCTAAGTATGATGGTTCTACTTCAACAAGAAATACAACAGTCAGGTAGAGCTAGTTTATCTTTTAAATAACAGATCACCTACAGTTTTAGAAAAAGTGTCCTTTTAGTTTTACATTAGTTTGATGTGTGGTCAGCTTACAGTGAGTTCCCATTTCAACATAGACAATTTATAGAACATAATGATGATTTTAATATCTTATGTGTGATATATATTTTAGGGATGGTTCAATACTAAACATTTCCATGGACTTAGAGCGAGAAAATCAGTTAAAAAGACAACTTCAGGTAATTAATATTTGTCCAATAGAGTTTTTAAAAAGAAAATTTGCAAATAATATAATTGAAGCTTTTTGGGCTTGCAGTTATTAATCTATCTTTCTGAAATTTATACTGGTTGTTTCATTGCTTGGCAACTTTTGTTCTTAATTATTAGAATTGTGAAAAAGCTGTAAAAGCAAGTGAAGATAAGTATCATGAATTACAGAAGAAATCACGTGAATGGGATACAACCTTGAACCAGTTGAGGGAACAAAAGGTAAAATATTATTCTCTTTGTATTAAATCATTCAAATTGTTTTCTAAATTCTTATAGAACTTTTCCTTTGTAATAGATTCAGCTAATTAACTACATTAATAGTAAAACATTAATGGTATTTTAGGAAATTATTTTAAACAATTATTTTGTTGCAGAAAAAACTACAAGAAATGAAAGGAATTGAGCGAAGATTGCAAACTCAAATACAACAAAAGAAAGATAGGTAAGTTATATACACTTCAAAAAAAGAAACGCATAGTGACATTTCGTCGTTGTATACCCTCACTCTACCATCGCCTCGCTGCAACAGGAACCGCGACTCGTCACTGATCCAAACTGTTCTCCAGCTTTGCTGTGGTCCTACCTTGTGTGTCTGAACCCATTGAAGTCGGATTTGATGGTGTTGTCGTATTTCAAAATAACAGCTCTAACAGGACGTCTGGCTCATAATACGGTTTCACGTTCGTGTCTATGGACTGCCTGGTTCGAGATCAAACACCGTCCAGGAATTGCTGCTGCAGTAGAGGTCGCTGCGTTGTTAACCATTTCCGTAAATAAAGTAACTGAATGTGACAATCCAGAGCAGTTGGGGTCACTCTTGTTTGGCCTGAGCTTGGGCGGTCACGTGTTGAACTTCGCTGGCGCCAACTATCCCAAAGGTGAGAAATGGTACTCTGGAAATCCTTCAGCAGCCTGACTACATCTTTCTGGTATTCACCTGCTTGTAACAGATCAATAGTGTTGTTGTGTTTGTCTTCATTCAGATGTGGCATCACTTGGCTCGTTGAGTGTTTATATGTGCAACTGATTTTGAAACCGAGAACCCTGGGATTTTAAAGGCCTTAGATTTGGGTTTCATGCGAATAGATTGCGAAGTTGTTAAACTCATTTGTTCTAATATAAAAATGATGAAATATGGGCTGTGCGTTTCTTTTTTTTTTAAGAGTATATATTCATTCTGTGAATTGTTCTGTGATAATATATTATAAAACAATTCCTAAACTGTGGAATAGCATTAATCCTGGTAAAAATCACAGTTTCTAAAGTGTTTAAGTAACAGCTATGGAGCACGTGCATTCATCAGCTGTAGCTAGTATTCTACCATGAGTAGCCATGCATCTAATTATATATTCTGTACTTACATCTATTAAATAATAAAGCCCCAGGTAGGGAATTAGTAGAGGTGTCAGATTGTGTTACATGGTATTAAATGGATATATCTTCTTGAATAGAATGTGAGCATTTATTTAATGATGATAAATGGGAAAACTAAGATAAGGCCTGTCGTATATATGAATATGGGGACATAATTGTCAATATATTTTGAGATTTTTATTGTGAGGGGTGACCCTTAAATATGCAGTGACATATCTTTGTATGTGTATTTATTTGTCAAACATCAGTTACTTGTTTACATGTTTATAAGAGTAAAACATCTGAATGACTTATGGTTTTACAGTATGCAGCGTGTAGAGAATGAAGAAATAGATTTGTCTGCTGAAGCAATTGATGCTAAAAAGAAAATCAAAGATATTACATTAAAGAAATGTCAGATTCTCAAAGTTTTAAAATCAAATACATCTGTAAGTAAATGTTCCATTCCTCAATTATCATGAAATATCATTTGGCAGAATCTGTTAAAAGTTGGTGCGTGACAAAGTGACAGTTCACGAAGCTTGTTTTCTATGCAAGTTATAGAGTTGATTTCACTTTTTTACTTCACAAGGTTAAGATCGCCTGCCTAACCTTGTGGGATTTTTCCATGTACCGGTACTCAAGTTTCCTTCCACTTCTTACACATTAAGCACATTATTGAAATTTAAATATGTCATTGTGTATAGTTAGAAATGACATTGTGTAGAAATTTAAACTATTAGAAATGAGTATATATACTATTCAAAAAAAGTAGGGGATATTTGATTTTGGGGGCATAATACTAAAATATGCAAATGACTACGAAAAAAGTCACTATAGAACCTAACAGAAGAAACATTTCCAGTTACATGTGACGCCCAAACGCACCAATAGCTACCGCATGGAATGCAGGTGATGCTTGGGATCATCATGGGGGTCCAACCCAAGATTTGCACGACTCTGACTTTGAATGTTACAGTCATTGTGGCATTGAATTCCAGGGTGGAAACATCAGTTTAATTGTTTTAGTGACCAGAAAACAAATTTTGATATGCGTCGGCTTACCCAAAATGAAAGGTTACGTGCCCTTGGCATGCTACAGATCGGCACAACACAGGCGGTTGTGGCGCGGACGATGAATGTTTCTCAGTCTGTCATAAGCAGGCTATGGTCCAGATACCGTGATACACAATCTGTACAGGACAGACCACGCTCAGGTCGACCAAGGGCGACAACTCAAGCCCAGGATCGATTTATCCGTACCTTGGCCTTGAGAAATCGTGTCATCACAGCAAATCAGATCAGCGCTCGTCTTCAAACAGACACTGGTGTGAGAGTGAGTGGCCAGACGATTCGGAATCGACTGCATAGGGGTCACCTTCGCGCCCGACGTCCTCGCGTGATCCCTTGTTTGAGAGATCATCACATTCAGGCAAGACGTCGTTGGTGTAGGGATCGTCAACACTGGGATAATCGACGCTGGAGCAATGTGATGTTTTCAGATGAGTCAAGGTTCACTGTTGATTTTTTGGACAGACGTAGGAGGGTGTGGCGTCGTCGAAACGAGCGCTTCCAAGACGTTAACGTCATCAGACATGATCGATTTGGGGGTGGTTCTGTTATGGTGTGGGGAGGCATCACTGTTGCTGGAAGAACGGCTTTACATGTTGTTGCAGGGCGTGTTACAGGCCAGTACTACCGGGACAACATCTTGGCAGTCCATGTTGTGCCGTTCGCACGACGTCATGGCCGCCGTTTCATCTTCCAGGATGACAACGCAAGATGTCACAGGGCCAGGATCGTTACAGGTTACCTCCAACAACAGAACATCACCACATTACCTTGGCCAGCACTGAGTCCCGACCTCTCCCCCATCGAGCATGTCTGGGACATGCTTGGACAGAGGTTACGTCAACGTCAACAACGTCCTGCCAATGTCCAAGAACTTGCTGCTGCGTTGCAACAGGAATAGGACAATCTGGACCAAAATGACCTTAGACGTCTCATTAGGAGTATGCCACGTCGGATCAATGCTTGTTTGGCAAACAGAGGAGGATTTACCCGTTACTGACTTGGTTGTGATGCTGTGGTAACTTTGCTGTTTGACCCCGGGTATCATTTTACCCTTATAATGGTCAGTCTGTGCCTTACTTAGTCTAACGATCATTTGGAATAAATCGATGAATGTGAACTTCATTTCATTTTGTCATTTGTTTCTTCGTCAGTTTCATTAGGTGACTTTAATAACACTTAAAAATCAAATATCCCCTACTTTTTTTGAATAGTATATATAGAAATGAATATTGTATATTTATATAGAAATGTATGGAGTTAAGTAAAGGTAAAGCTAGATTAAGTATACAGTCTGTACAAGCTATACAAGAATATCAAACAACAGAGGCTGAACTAAAAGATCAAACACATTTTATTAAACAAGAAGAAGTAAGTTATTGCATTAAAAATAAAATGAGATGACATATATCACCTATCTACATGATGAGCTAACAATTTCTATGTCTCTTGTTTATGTTGCTCTATATATTATTATACTTAACATGGTACAGTATTGCTTACAAACAAAACCATATGTTTCATTGTACTAAATCTTTGTGTTTAAAACTAAGAATGTGTCTGCTGGATGCAACAGGACTTTTATGTCACATTGGATGTGAGCATGGAGGATTACATACGTTCTTCCTAGACAGACTTAGGTTCACACTATGAGACTTGATTTTGACATGGCCGATTGCTTTTAGATTATAGTACGCTGTGCCCATGTGTTACTTTGTATTCTGTCTCTACATTGTGAAATATTAACAATTAAGAGCTTGGGTAGTGGAATTGTAAATGAAAATTCTTCTTTATATTACAGAAAATTTTAAAGGACCTGAAAGATGATGTTGTACGTATAAAAAATGATGCAAGAAATCAATTAACAACAGCTAAAAAGGCTACCAATACACCCCAGAATGAAGAATTATCGCAAGAAATGAAAAATGTAGGTATTTTGTACAATACATTTATATACCATATTGTTATATTTGGATCGGGGGTTGGATGGCTGAATGGTTAGCGTGCGCGCGCTGTATCATACAGTCTGTCATTGAGTCGACTGGCGTGGTTTCGAATCCCCGGTTGTACGTGGCAAGGAGTAGGGTCGCCTGTCCAACCTCGTGGGTTTTCTCCGGGTCCTCCGGTTTCCTCCCACTGCTAAAGACCCCTACGCGCAAGCGAATTATGTAAATAAAATTAAACCATATGTTAGTCGCGAAATGACCTAGTTTGTGTCGAGTGGACGTTAAACCCCATTTCTCTCTCTCTCTCTCTCTCTCTATATTTGGATCCTTGGATCCAGGGGTGTTACACAGTTACGTGTGGGTGAAAAGGAAAAACAACCATTCTCCGTGTTAGAATTACAATCTCTTTCTTTATTACTCAAAAAGGCAGAAGAACAACAAAAGGGAGACAGTGTCAACTTAACCATAAGGTTTCAGACCACAATGATATAGAATATACCACAATATGACAATATATAAATAGTAACAGTACGTTCTTGCATAAACTCAAATGTAAATTAGCGGAGTTGGATGGCCGAATGGTTAGCATGTGTGCACTGTACCATAAGGTCTGTCATTGAGTCAACTGGTGTGGTTTCGATTCCCCAGTTGTACGTGACAAGGAGTAGGGTTGCCTGTCCAACCTCGTAGGTATTCTCTGGGTCCTCCAGTTTTCTCCCACTGCTAAAGACACCTATGCACAAGCAAATTATTGAAATAAAATTGAACCATGTGTTAGTCCCGAAATGACTATTGAGGATGCAGAAATTGAAATTTAATCTGTCGATAAACCACTTGCTTGACTACTGTCATCACCTCCGAGACATTTTGACATCATCTGCATGGATACCAAGCAGCTCAGTCCTGACACTTTTCATAAAATATCAACAGCATTTTTATATGTAATATATTTCCTAACAGGCTTTTTCAACTCTTCCCTTGACATTAGAAGATATAGAAGCTGCTATACATGAAGAACAGGCTAGAGCTGATTGTAGTTTTCAAATAGATGAAAGAGTAAGTAACATAACAGTTTCTACTAAAGTCAGTGGTCATGTATAAGAATAATATGATGGTTATAAATTTGGGCCTATGATATAAATTCTACTATTAATTAGAAAGCAAAAATTGTCATTTTGATAGAGTATATTAAAGCCCAAGAAATTGTTGGTGCCGGATCATGGTGGTATTTTGTGATGGATGATTTGATTTTTCATGTAAAAAAGAATGGAAAACACCTTTTGATTTTTTATACATCTAAAATGAAATGTGGTTGTATATTGCCATCACCATTGTCTGTCTATTGAGACAGATAAGGTTATTATCTGATTTAAATTTGTTTAAGTGTTAACACCATAAAAAAATTTTTTTTTTATATTTCTGATAATTACTTAATATGTTGCAAATGCACCCATTATATGTGATATCCTATGTGGACCTAGCCAGAGCAGAAAAGCAGGACGTTAAATCCAATTTCATTTCATTTCCTATGTGGACTGTATGGACAACTTTAGTTACAGTGGGCAATTGTTTTGTTGCCTGGCAACCTATCTTTTATATTACCAAAGTATGGTAAAATAAATATTAATGTTGTATATGTTCAGATTGTTATTGAGTATAATAACAGAAAAGAGGAAATAGCTAAACTAGAGAAAGTACTAAATGAAAGATTTAATGCTAAAGAAAGTCATCAAGAAAAAATAACAAGAGCCAAAAAACAATGATTTGATCTGTTTTGTTTCCTATGTGGACTGTATGGATACCTTAGTACTGTGGGCATATGTTTTGTTGTCTGGCAACCTATCTTTTAATTTTAACAAAGTATGTTAAAATAAATGTTAATATTGTATATGTTCAGATTGTTATTGAGTATAATAACAGAAAAGAGGAAATAGCTAAACTAGAGAAAGTACTAGATGAAAGACTTAATGCTAAAGAAAGTCATCAAGAAGAAATAACAAGAGCCAAAGAACAATGGTTGGGTCCACTACAAGAACTTATCAGTAAAATAAACCAGAATTTCAGTTATTTCTTGGAATGTATGAAATGTGCTGGTGAAGTGGAGCTAGCTGTACCTGAAAATCCTGTTAGTAGAACCTTACTTTACTTAGTGTAATCACTTTCAATTATCAATTATTTTTCAGGCTTTAGGTTTGCAAATTTCAGGAGCACTAACAAAAGCTTAGCTTGGTCAGAATCGCTCTCATTAAGAATTGAAGTCCTAACATTGTTTAAAAAGCTGTTTATCTGGTTTTCCGACTTGGTTTCCCCTTGTCAGTGGTGCAGGATGGAGGACCTGACAAGGACAGCTGTCTAGTCGTTCGAAGCGGACGAAAAACCAAGGTCCTGTGTAAAAGTTCTCTTGGCAGTTGTAATTCGATATAAGAGTAGGCCGTAAGGCCGCTGTCTCTGAAAATTTCCCTCATAGTCGTCAAACCCCATTTCATTTCATTTTATTTGTTTTGCTGGTTCTATAGTTGATACTGTGTTTATAGATATTTTGATGCCTTCTCACAATTGCTCATATACATGTACATGTACACAGGGCTGTCGGTAATTTTTCACAGTTGATTAGCAGCACTGCTAATCAAAAAGTCCAATTTTGCCAAATTTGATTAGCAAATTTAAAAATTGATTAGCAGTTTTTCAGTTTCAACACACCAAAATAACAAATATGATTAGATTCCATTCTGACTATTTTTAGATTTTTTAGCACTGCCACAAGTAGGCTACTTGTGACAGTTTGTGAATGTGATGTAGACATTTAGTTAGGTCTTATGTCTGAAGCCAATTCTTGACAGTGACTTCCGAAGCTCCACTCATTTTAATTGTAATTTTTTTGTTACGTTAGAAATCTTCGTTAGAAAACAATTTCGTCTCCTTTTTATCATGTATTACTATTTTTGTTCAATCGGGCGCACCTCGATTAACTAGACACACGCGATATAAACAATAATATTTTACGGGAATTTTTACTTTGATTTATCATTTTACAATACGTTAGCATGTATTTTTTTTTTTATATTTTATTTACAATGCGTGGGGGATACACTGGATTTATTTCTTCCAAAATGAATATGATATAATTACTTGATGTCTCGCAACGTGAGTGGTAGGCTACTACTTGATTCCCTATTTCCGGTTTAATAGTCCCTATTCATAGAGTTATGTCCCTGTGTTACATAGTATTGCGTCTGGGTAGTTCGAGAAGAAAATGTCACACGGAAAATTGAGTTTTGTTTATAAAATTTTATTCAACATTTTATACACGTTGAAAGTGTTGAGTAAGCCTTCTAGTCTTCAAAATGTGGATTATTCTTGTGCCAATATCCAAAATGACAGGCATATTAATGATTCGCAGTATCTGTGAATCAAAAATGTTAGATTTTAATTTTTGGTTAGCAACGGACAAAATATTATCGCAAATTGCGCTGCGATACTGGTTGTCGGCAGCCCTGCATCTACATACTAATGGCTCACTATTTGAAGGCTGGATTTAAAATGAAACTGTTAATGGTTGTTATCTCCACAAAGTGAGTTCTCTTTAATTTTATTTTGGGGTTATTATTTTTTACAGGAAGATTATGAGAAATATGCTGTCAAAATAAAAGTAAAATATCGAGATGCTGATGCTTTAAGAGAATTAACACCACATCATCAGAGTGGAGGAGAGAGAAGTGTAGCAACAGTGTTATATATGTTAGCTTTACAAGAACTAGCTAAATGTCCATTCCGATGTGTTGATGAAATTAATCAGGTAATTATGTCTGTCCCCGAATGAAGTTAAAGGGGGAGGGGGCTATTGAAATGGATGAAGGTCACCATATTGTTGATGAATCCAGGGTGAATTAAGGAACATATATTTAGGGAATAGATCATGTGCATGATCTGTAGATAAAATATATTTGAACCACTTTCATTATGTTGTATTTAGGGAATGGATCCTGTGAATGAAAGGAAAGTTTTTGAACTGGTTGTACAGACCGTTTGTAAAAAGGCCAATTCACAGTATTTTCTTCTTACACCAAAAGTAAGTAAATCGTTTAGTATTTCATTAAAAGGATATTGTTAGATATTATAGTTGTGTTTAACAATACAATTTACTGTGGAGATATAAGCTGGGGTTGTTCGCTGTCAATGTGTCAAATATAGCATCTGTAAGTAATATGGTATTTCATTCTCACTTCCATCGATGCCCAGTTATAATTCCCAAAGCAATTTGCATATGAAGTATCTAGTGTCAAGCTTTTACAAATTAAATCTTTTGCTGGTGACTTTTAAATTAATATATCAGTTTTACAGGGTAATGAGATATGCACAAAATAAAACTAGAGGGCTATACTATATACCAGAAAACTACCGGAAAACACCATGTTATACTGAATACCGGAAAACACACTAAATACTGGAAAACACTGGAAAAACCTTACCCCAACCCACTGCTGGTCCTCTGGAAAACACCGGAAAAACCTAACCCTAACCTATTTAGGGTGATTTCCGGTATTTAGTGTTTTCCGGTATTTAGTGTTTTTTCGGTGTTTTCCGGTATTCAGTATAACATGGTGTTTTCCGGTAGTTTTCCGGTGTATATAGTATTGCCGAAACTAGACAATTCCCCTTTAACACATATATTATGTGCGAAAGTATTAAGAATGACTTCGCGAGAGAATCATGCAAAATTTTAAAAAAACGGCACAAGCGGTGTTCGGCGATTTTGACCAAACTTTGCAGATTTGGTCATTGGGTACCCCTTATACCCCACATGAAATATGAGGGTCACCAACCTTATAGTTACGGAGAACCAGCTATGGCCATTTTAGAGTTAAAAAACGTCATTTTTTTGAAAAAAAAAAATCCCAAAATTCAAATATTTCCCATACATTGTCTATTGATTTTTTTTTTTTTTAATTATTTTTTTTATGAATGATCATGTGTACTACTTCAATATATATGACTATTAAATTTTTCCGAAACCATTTGAGGCTATGAGGAATTTATTTTGAGACGTAGTTTTTGCTATATGCTAAAACATATAAATTTCATGATGCTATATCTCACCCACTGCGGGGCAGAGGACAATTCTATTAATAATGGAAGTTGAGGACTACTAATACTAATATTTGGTTTTGACAAAATGACTGACACGGATTTCTTTCATATTAAATTTGATGGTCGAACTTGAAGAAAATGACTTCATTTTTGACATCATTTTTCCAATAAAATCATTCATTGCCTGGATTATTAGGCCTGATAATGCCCCATGCAACCGCCTTCCAGCAACTCTGTGTAGGGCCGGTACAGATGATTCGGGAGTTCCACAAGGATCAGTCCTTGGACCTGTCCTTTCTGTAATGTATACTAAGAATTTGGGACAACTAATCAATAATCATGGTTTCTAGGACGACATTCTTATGCAGATGATACACAGCTGATCGCAAGTTATTCCCTTTCAAAAACTGTTTCATTCCCTAATTATTCTGACATCAAATTGTGTACACATGACATTAAAGATAGGATGACAAGAAATATGTTGAAATTAAATTTAATTGAATTAAGTAAATCAGAATGTATTTTATGTGGTCAAAATAAACATCTGAAAAATACAAGTTCAAATGACGTGGTTGTACGAGATGCAATATTTTTACCATGAGACACTGTGAAGAGGTTAGGTGTCCTCTTGGGGTCCAATTTGAGCATGGACAGTCATACTAGTGAAATTTGTCGAAACTGTTATCTTTGGTCCGGGAACTTTATTAGCCAGGAAGCAGCTGCTACACTTATATGTTCTTTGGTATTCCCAAGGATTGACCACTGTAACAGCTTGTTAGTAGAAACATCTAGTGCCAATATTAAAAAAAATCAACTTGTAGAAAATACCGCAGCTCGAATTCTTACCAGATCATCAAAACACTGTCATATTACTCCTGTTCTGAAATCAATCTATTGGCTGCCAATCAACTTCAAAAGTCTGTCTTTGACGTATCAGTATGTGAATCATTCACAGTGAATGGCTTAGCTCAAAAAAATTATCTAACTTTATGCACATACAAGTTCCCCCGAATAACCTCCGGCCGAACACACATTCATCAGTTTTGTTGCTCAAGGTGAAATTAATATCATTTGGATACGGATCGTGCTCAGTGAAAGCGCCTAAACTGCGTAACAATCTTCCAGAGATCATTAAATCATCTCAAACACTTTCTTGTTTTACAGCAAGACTTATCAAGATTAATTAAATTAATTTAATTGTATGCGTAGTGGACATGCTTCTTTACATGGAGTACGTGCGCTATATAAATGTACATATTAATATTATTAGGCTTTCAGACTTTCGTCTGAAAGACTATTATTTTTTTTTTTTTTTTTTTTTCCCGCGGGAGCCTATTTCTCCATGATCGAAAACAGATATAGATCTGGAACCAAATTTTCTATTGGGAAACCATGTGGTGGCAACTTGATAAAACAATTTCGAAACTTCTGCGCATATCGGAAGTAACCATATTTTGTACTTTTTTCCGGAATTGAAAATCGGCCGTAGTTTCGTCAATTCTTTACCTATTTTCGGGGGGTGGATGGCTGAATGGTTAGCGTGCGCGCGCTGTATCATAAAGTCTGTCATTGAGTCGACTGGCGTGGTTTCGAATCCCCGGTTTTACGTGGCAAGGAGTAGGGTCGCCTGTCCAACCTCGTGGGTTTTCTCCGGGTCCTCCGGTTTCCTCCCACTGCTAAAGACCCCTACGCGCAAGCGAATTATGTAAATAAAATTAAACCATATGTTAGTCCCGAAATGACCTAGTTTGTGTCGAGTGGACCTTAAACCCCATTTCTCTCTCTCTCTCTTTACCTATTTTCAAACAAATGACATTTTCGGAAACACCGAATCTTTTCCGAGATAATGACTATCTCACATTTTTCAATTTCGAACATTCATCTATGGCTTTTTTCTTTCGAATTTTGAAAATACGTTGTTTACGAGACAATTTTTGTTATTTTTCAAAATTTTCAAATTTGACCTACATTTTTGGATACCTGAAGACAATCCGATTCCAGAAATATAAGTTTCATTTCAAGTTGTCGCCCTTTATTTTTCGATTTTTTTCGAATTTTCTGCCCATTTCCGAACCCTTATATTTTTTTGGAAAGGATAAATCGATATTTCTGAAAGTCCTGGAACATAAAGCTATATAGTCAGACCGCTGCATAAAGCAATTTCAACAACGATCCGGAAACCGGAAGTAGTCGAAATAATGAAAGATATTTCGAAAAAACCGCAAAAAATGGGTGTTTGGGGGAAAAACTCGATTTCTCCACCCAATATCAATGGATTAAACAAATTAAGCTTTCGTTGAGTGGCCCGAGGAATGGACTGTCGTATGATGCCCAATTTATACGGATACTATGACCAAGCAGCAAAATATGACAAGCTGAAAATCAAGTATTTTCTGATTTGGGGCGTTTTTGGACGCCTGTATCTCGAAATCTTAACCGCAACTTTTTTTTTAACTTTCTCTATCGAGAGTCCATTCGATAGTCTTGTGAATTATGCCATCCAATGTCTGGAATACGATAAAAAAGGGACTGAAAATCGAAAAAAATCGTGAAATTTTGCAAAATGCTCTATTACTTTATTATTTAAACAAATTTTTACAAAAAGATTACAGATTCGGATAGCTGATCTAATTACGATTCTAACGATGTATAATATGTATTGAGTTATTGAAATTTAATTGCATTTTTGGCACCTTTAAACATAGGATTTCTCAGGGTCATTTTATCTGATCAGATAATGTAATATATCATTACAGAGCCCTGCCGCTATTTAATTGCCCAAACTGGTTATTAAAACTATTCCGACAATAATCTCCATACCGGAAGTATTCAAAAAATGAAAAAAAAGGTTAAAAAATTGTCGCTCTTGCGAAAAGCTGGATTTCTCGGTCAGATTTTACCGGACCAAAAGAAGTAACGTGTCTTTGGATAGCCCCATTAATGGACTATTATATGGCATCTCAATGCGACGATTTCGATGGTTAGAAAATAAATTGTGGTACGCCGAAAATCTAGTATTTTCCGATTTTGGAGCCTTTTTAGACTTCTTTTACTCGAAAACGACAACTCCAATTTTTCTGAAGCTTTTTTAACGCAGAGTCCTATCGGTAGTCTGTGGCGTGAATCCAAAAGGAAAAGGTTTGAAATAATATAAGGGGTCCAAAAATGGCCTCAATCTTTGAAAAAAGTTGAAAAATCGTTAAATTATTGAAAATGTTCTTTTATTTATCTTTTTTACAAAAAACTACCGAAAAGATGTTTCTGACACTTCTGTGACAGAAAGTTTAGTATCTAAACAAATTGTTAAAACTATCTCGACAATGATCCAAAAACCGGAAGTAGTCGAAAAAATATCCGATATTTTTGAATAAAAAACGTAAAAAGTAAAAGAAGTGATTACTGTGCCAGATTTCACCGAATCAAAACAACTAAAGTATCATTGTATATCCTGATCAATGGACGATTTTTTGACATCTAAATGGTAAAAATTTGCTGGTTTTCGCAATACATTATGGGACGCTGAAAATCTTGTATTTTCCTTTTTGGAGCCTATTCAGACGCTTTTATTTCGCAAACTACTCTTAATTCATTTCATAAACTTCTGTTACTTGGAGTCCTAGGGTGGTCTAGCCTCAATATATACTCATGTCCAAAAGAAAGTATACGCTGTGCATTTCATACTGCATCAACCAAAGTAGTTTTTCCATTCTATGCGGTATTTGGGTACAATTTCAATTTGTTTCACCTTTTATTTTGCAAAAATCGCGATTTCTCAGCCGGGTGTCACTGAATCAAAACAACTAAAGTATCGTTTGGTAGCTCAATTAATGGGCTAATGTATTACACACTTCCTGTCTGATTCTTGAAAGCCGGTTCAGTGCTGCTTGCAGGTCTAGTTATTATTATTATTCGTCAGGTCGAAGTTAGATTTGCACTCAGCTGTTCATTTTCCCATCTTTTGCACAAATAAAATGCGGTTTAGTAGCCAGTTATCCGAAAGAAACTATAATAGCATATTCCTGAAGCAATAGCCAGAGAAATGCCACTCTGGCCATTGCTGGATTGACTTCTGATACTTACGTTTTTGGGGGAGTGTCTATTCTTCCCGTTCAATCAAATCGCTCCTAAGTAAAGTCTTTCTTTTAATCTGGGGTCTTCCCTAAAACTTTGGACAGTGATTTAAGGTATTAAAAACGGTGAAAGTTTTGTTCGTCTCCAAACAGTATTGTTTACATTGTAGCCATGTTGATAGCCTAGTTTGTCACGCAATTAGTTTTTCTGCAATATTCTGCTATGCACCGGTTAATTGGGCGTAATAAATTTCGTGAATCATGACGTAACGTTATGTTAACATATTTGAAACAGTTAGGTATTGGTTGTTAATCGGACTATTGACGAGTCATAATTTGGAACAGAAATTTGCTTTCATTACGGCAGTGTTGAGTGGGATTAGGTCTAATCAAACTAAACACTGCGGGGAGTATGCTAAAATAGTCACCTTACGCTCATATACAATTTGTTTTTTGTCTTTTTGAAATATCGCTTGATTCGTTTGTGAAGTATAGACAGATGTATATGACTAGTACACTATTTAGTTTTTACGATTTGCTGTTCAAAAATTCATCATCCTTCTACTAGATCATGAGGTTATATTGCCGAATTAATAAAATGTTGACAAATAGTCTAGAGAGATTAATTGTATTTACCAAGAGCAGCTCTTTTGGCATTTACAGTAAATTAAGCTTTTCAAACTTCATTGTGATCTCAGTTTTCGTGATTAGATACTTATTGGATAGATAGATAGATAGATAAATTTTAACGGTGTAATTGTGAGCTCAGTTTTCGTGATTAGATACTTATTGGATAGATAGATAGATAGATAGATAGTAATAAGTATTTGTAGTTTTGATAATAGAACATTTTTTAAACTTGAATTTTTTGATGAAAGTATATAATCTGCGTTTATATCTATTTGTTTATTTCTATTTTTATTATGACTTGCTCTTAATGGAACTGGAAACCACGTTAATTTGGTTTCAGGTGCCACTTTTCAGTGTGTAAATAAAGCGGTTTATTTTTCGTCATTTTTGTTGAAAATCGTTATTTTTGTACAAAAATGGAAATTATTTACTACTAATTTTTTTCTTGATCCTAATACTATAGATCATTGCCTTTTCAGTCAGCATTCCAAAAAAATACTTAAACCCGCAGTGGGTGAGATATAGATAGAATAAAATGACATACTTAAATTGAGCTATTTTGGTACCTTGCAGCAATAAGTCCCTATACCAAAAACCGCGCCATGAAAATCCATCAAACTTTCAGAATGTATACTCACTAACCATATCTACTACGCTATAAAGTTTCATTAATCTACTCGCCGTAGTTTAGTTGTACGAAATAATTGAAAAGTGGCCTGAAAATGATGATTTTTTGGCTTTTTTCGGTCTTAAAATTTCAAAAAAATTTCTACGCTCTAAAAATTGTTCGATTGATCTAAAATTGTGGCAGTGGGGTTTGGAGGGGTTACACATCATACATAAAAAAAATGGTGAAAATCGGTCACCCACCATGTGCCGGTCCCTGCATGGTTCTCTCGCAAACGCATTCTTAATATACATTTACTGCTGTAAGAGCAATGGGCAACATTCAAACTTATAGATAATAGGTTCCAGATTTTAGCACTAAAAGTTGAATACAGTAAATCATATTCTTCTTGCCACATGACAGATGATCAAATACAATGAAATCTTTCTTCATACATCAATGCTGAAAAAAATAACATAGTAACAGTTTGGTCGTTTATGTTTCCATTTTTTGGAGGATATCAACTTTCATCTGTATTATTATATATAATTAGGATATGAATTAGATATGTTTAATATTAATATGTCTATTATTATATATTTCAGCTATTACCTGATTTAGAATATGCAAATAATATGACAGTTTTGTGTGTTTATAATGGTCCCAAAATGATGAAACACACAGATTGGAAACTTAAACACTTCCTTCGTAGACGTCAAAATCTAACAGTTGATACATGAAAACTATAAATAATGGACATTACAACTGTGCCAGGTTGTGTTCTTATAAAAACATTGTTCTTATCTGAGGAGCAAAATTTTTTAGTTCACTCCAGACTCTTCATGTACATCTATAAAAATCGAATAGTATTGTGAAAGAACAGTCTGATTAAAACACAGATCCTATTTCATTTCGTTTTTTTTATAGTTCAAAATTTCGTTTAGCCAATGAAACGGTTTGTTACAGCAAGCTTTAGGCGTGTGGTGCACGGAACTGTGGGTAATCCACTAGAAACATCAATGCTGATTGGTTAATCAAATGTCTGACGTCATAGGGTCAAAAGCCGCTTGTATGACTTCTGAGGCAACCTATCGCTATGTAGTGTAGGCCATCGAAAGTATAAAAAAAAAAAACGCAATATAGATCTGTATTTTAATCAGATTGGTGAAAGAAATGATTTGTTGCTTCATTACATTTTTATGTTCACTTTAAGTCATTTTTGAAGTTATCATTGCTTGTGTCTGTAATGCATAATTGGGGATTGATAATAAGGCTATTTAAAGGGGTATTATTCAGACATTTGAGAATTTTAGGTAGGAGATATTTTATGTTCTGAATATAATCCTCTGTTGACAACTATGTATACTATTTTATAAATTGAATCATGAGCTAACTTGGCTTCTGTTCGTGTGCACTAATCTGTATGGGCTGTGGATTTTTAGAGATTATTATTATTATTATTATTATTATTACAGCATATTTATAGTGCACCCTTTCATATAACATGTTCAGGAGCACTTTACAAAGTGACAATGTAAATCATACATAAACAACAAGATTATGGACATGTTAACGATTGTATACAGAGTCAGTTAAAAGCCTGATTAAATAAATGTGTTTTAAGTTGTTTTTTAAAAGAATATAGAGATGTACAACATCTTAAACTAAATGGTAGATTATTCCATAAAACAGGTGCTTGATAACTAAAAGAGCGCTGACCATAAGAGACTAGTTGAACAGTTTTGGGCTTTAAAAGTAGTTTATCTGATGTACGTAATGTTCGACCAGGTGTATAAAGTTCTAAAAGATCTGAGAGGTAAACAGGAGCTAAATTATTTAAACATTTAAAAGTAAGTAATACAATCTTAAAATCAATTCGATATTTAACAGGTAACCAGTGTAAATTATATAAAACAGGAGTTATGTGGTCACATTTCTTAGTTAAAGTAACAAGTCTAGCCGCAGTATTCTGTACTTTTTGTAATTTATCTATAAGCTTTAAAGGTAAACCAACTAAAAGTGAATTAAAGTTATCTAATCGAGAAGTGACCAGAGAATTAACAAGTGACTTAGTGGCCTCTACAGTTACACATTTACGTATTTTATCTATATTTCTGATATTAAAATAGCACAATTTACAAATATTATTTACTTGAGCTCCCATAAGCATAAAACTATCAAAGATTGCGCCAGTATTACGAGCAGAATAAGATGAAAATATATCACAATTACCAATTACAACAGGGAGGTTATCATGTGCAGATTTACTTAATTGATGCCTTGAGCCTAATAACAAATATTCGGTTTTATCATCATTCAATTTTAGAAAGTTCTTTGACATCCATTTTCTAATTTCACTAATACAGTTCTCAAGTTGCAATTTTGATAAATTGAAAGAAGATGGACAATCAGGTGTAAATGAAATATATAATTGAGTATCATCGGCATACAAATGAAAGCTGAGACCATATTTTCTGACAATATCACCTAATGGTGACGAATTGTTTGTGGACACTCTACAGGTCACAATTCTTATCCGATTTTGACGAAACTTGAAATATAGGTTTATCTCCAAAATATCTCGGCTGCTTTCGATATTGGCATGTATCGGATCGAAACTTCATGGATTATGGCCCCTGTTTGTACGAAAAATCACGTTTTTAGCTTGTGGACACTATAGAGGTCACAATTTTTATCCGATTTTGTTGAAACTTGAAATGTAAGTTGATAACCCAAAGATCTCGGTTCCTTTCGATATTCGCACATATCGGACCGTAACTTCCTGAATTATGGCCCCTAATTGTACAAAAAATCACGTTTTTAGCTTGTGGACCCTATAGAGGTCATAATTTTTATCCGATTTAAAAAAACGTTTTATTATATCATCGTTACACCCTAAGGATGGCCGAGTTCGAATTTCGAGAAAATCGGACCAAAATTGACAGACAAAATGGCCGCCGTTTGTTCTCAAATAGCGTTCAAATATGGTATATCAAGGTTGTGGACCCTATAGAGGTTACAATTTTTATACGTCCACATTTTCATGTGGACGTATTATGCCGTCACCCCTGTCCGTCTGGACGTCCGTCCGTCCACAATTGTTTGTGAACACTCTACAGGTCACAATTCTTATCCGATTTTGACGAAGGCTCTAAAGGCTCAAGTTATCATCTGATTAACTTTAAATTTATACACTGAGACAAATGTTTTCCTATAATTGCTCCAGAGGCTCATTTATCATCCAATTGACATAAAATTTATAAGGAGGAAGCCTATTGATTTTCAACAATCTCCAATAGTCTTAACCAGTGTGAAAAACTGGTGGATGCTCAAGATGATAAAGTTATCTTTCCAGAGCCCTTGTATTATAACAATGTTTATGTTCATGAGATGAAGAAGCCTTGAATTGCTTTTGGTATTATTGCCCTTGATCAATTTTTAAAATCTTGTCGACCCTCCTGTGGCTTCAGTTATTTTCCGATCATTTGAAATGGAAACATAGTGTTCGGAAGACGCCTATTGATTTTCGAACAGCCAAATTTATCATCTGGTTACTGGTAGACCAACATGTTTTGTATAATAAATATTGGCTAGAAGCCAACCAAATTTTAATTATTTCTGATAATGGGTTGTTACTCTTGGTTTAGTGTCTTGTACAAAAGAATTAATATGTGACAACCCTTGTCGACTGCTTGGACAACTTAGCTGCTGTGGGCATATATTTAATTGCCCGGCAACCTTTAAGAGAAATGTTTTGTACTGACATGTTACAATACTCCCATTATGAAACATGGTCAGCAATGAGGATTGGTTCTTTATATTTATAGGCCTAACTTTATTTCTACATCTGTAGAATTATTTTATTTTAAATCATCTTTTTTTGTGAATTGAGGGAAAATAAGAATGGATTTAATGAAGGATATCTTGTTACATTATAGCTCTGCACAGTTGTTCATACAACTAACATATCAATATATTATTCATAGATTTCAAAAATCAAAATTATATGACAGTATATTTAGACCATAAAAAGGTAGATCTGTTTATTAATCAGCCCCACCATGGTGCATAGTTGTCTTCATATGGATATTTAGCCCTTTTATGTTCTTGTCAAATTGTCTTGACAACTTTTTTCTGGCCTGGTGATATTGTGTGTGAATTGTTAATGATTGATTGCTGTATGTTGATATGTTGGGGATACTTGTCTTATTTTATAATCTTATGTACTCGTATTTACACATAGTGCTGTCATAGAAAACTTTACCTTCCAATAGAGAGGCAACGTCCTAAGAAATGTTTGCTTTGCCCACCAGACAAGAGATGTTTCCCTTTGCCACAACCCTCAAAATTTACTGGATCCCCGTTCATTCCAAGTCATGTATGCCTTAAATTATTTTTCCCTGAGTCGCCAAAATTCTATTGTCTCCTTTTTCCCCGCCCTCCTGGATCCCTGTTTATTACAAATCCTTTATACAAATCCTAGTCTCCAAAAGTGCCAAAATTATATTGGGTATATGTTTCAACTGGGGCATCAAAGGCTTCAAGATTTTATTTGGAACGACCAGGCATGAAATATGAGTTGTCTTTAAAGCAAAATCGGCTCACAACTTCAAAATGTTATCTGGATCTTGTCTCCCTTAACTGCCCCACCCCCGCCTCCCCAATGGATGTTTCTACTGATAGCTAGGGATAGAACCAAAAATGGCAAATAATTTTTGACCCAGCTGCTCATCTGTGACCTTCCAGCCTATGATTGTTTGTTTTGGCACTTTCCGAGGTTGGCCGACCATGCTAATGCAGTGCATTTGTCAAATAGAACACTTGAGAACGGGGAAAAGTTCTAGACATTTTTCCGGTGTAATAATAAGACTATTTCCGGTAAAAGGAACTATGTCTAGTTATTTCCTCATAGGTACAACTGTGACTGGTGTATTGCACAAGACATTTCTTAAAGTATCATCTTGAAACTTAGCATATTTATTCTTTGTACCCTAAAGAACACCCCTATTGTTTGTGGTGCATGCCCAAACCCCAGGGACAGGGCCACGCCCATTTTCTTTTTGTGTGTCTGTGTGTCGCCTGCAGGCCACAATTCTTAATCGATCCTCTTGAGAAATGTTCATATTTATTTCTTATACCCTAAGGATGAGGAGGCTAGGTGGTTAAGACGCTGGCTCGCTAGCCTGGAGGTTGGGTGTTCGATCCCTGCCGAGAAAGTTCATCCAGATTTTCCGACGTGGTTTCCCCTTGTCAGTGGTGCAGAACGGAGGGCCTGACAAGGACAGCTGTCTAGTCCTTCGGATGATACAAAAAACCAAGGTCCCGTGTATATATTGGAATGCACATAAAAGATCCCCTGGCAGTTGGAATTCGATATAAGAGTAGGCGATAGTGCCGCTGCCCGGGCAAAATTTCCCTCATAGCACACTGTATGGCGTATGCCCGTCTTCATTAGCCCAGTATAGGAGCAGAACAGTAGGACGTTAAACCCCATTTCATTTCATTTCCCTAAGGATGGTCCTTATTATTTTTTGCATGCCCGACCCCCAGTGGCAGAGCCACACCCATTTCTTGTATTTGTCATCTACAGGCCACATTTCTTATCGTATCATCTTGAAACTTTGCATACCTATTCCTTCTATCCTAAGGAACATCCTTTTTGTTTGTGGTGAGTGCCCAACCCCCTTTGTGGCAGAGCCACACCCATTTTCTTTTTGTATTTATCATCTACAGGCTGCAATTCTGAATGGATCATTTTGGAACTTTGCATATTTATTCCTTATACCGTAAAGACAGGAACTATTTATTTTGGTGCATGCCCCGACCCCCTGCGGCGGTGTCACGTCCACTTTTTGCATTCTTGTCATATTACAGCCATTTCATATTTCATTCTCTTCATTTTAAAAAGTACCATATCAATGAAAGCAAGAATGTGGACACGTATTCCAGCGTTAGGGATGCTGTTGTTTCTATACCATTGATTTTGCTATAGTATTAATAGTTTCTGCATGCTGCAGTATACACTAATAAACAGTATCATGCATTTATCTTTAGAAACTTTTATTTGAAATGTTAGCCAATTAAACTTAGCATTCGTGAAGAATGGAAACAAAACGCAGGGGCACAGACCAATTTTTATACGCCCACATTGAAATGTGGTCGTATATTGTCGTCGCCCCCGTCCGTCCGTCGGTCCGGCGTCAACAATTGCTTGTGGACGCTCTAGAGGCTAAAGTTAATATCTGATTGACTTTAAATTTATACACAGTGTTTAAGGTCTTGAGACGAAGAAGCCTATTGATTTTCAGCGATTTCCGATAATTACTGCCAGAGTTATGGCCCTTGATCACTTTGAAAAATCTTGTGGACGCTCTAGAGGCCAAAGTTAATATCCAATTGACCTTAAATTTATACACAGTGTTTGAGGTCATGAGACGAAGAAGCTTATTGATTTTCAACAATTTCCGATAATTACTGCCAGAGTTATGGCCCTTGATCACTTCAAAAAATCTTGTGGATGCTCTTGAGGCTCAAGTTAATATCCGATAAAGGCCAAAGTTAATATCCGATTGACTTTAAATTTATACACAGTGTTTGAGGTCATGAGACGAAGATTCCTATTGATTTTCAACGATTTCCGATAATTACTGCCAAAGTTATGGCCCTTAAGTTATCATCCGATTGACTTCAGATTGATACACAGAGTTTAAGATCTTGAGACGAACAAGTATATTGATTTTCAATGAATTTTTATGACTTGAACAGTTAAATCTATGATATTAAAAGCTTTGCATACAAAACGTTAGCATGGGGCAGAACTTTATAAAAACCAAACAAATTCTAATAGTTTTCTGATAATTACTTCGTGAGTTGTTGCTCTTAATCAGATTTTAGTGTATTATAAATGTTTCATTACCGAAAAAAGTAAAAATATGCGACAACCCTTGTTGTAAAAGTAAAAATATGCGACAACCCTTGTTGACTGCCCGGACGATTTAGTTGCTGTGGGCGTATGTTTCGTTGCCTGGCAACCTATCTTTAATGTTGATGGACTATAGGAAGAAATAGTTGAGTGAGTGGGGTTCCAACAAGTAGGTTGAATATTATGGAACCGTGCCAGAAGCTAATGCATTTAGAGTGCAACAAGGTAGCTAGTAGTAAAAATAGGTTATCAAACAACAGATAATATGCACACATCATCTGTCTGTAAAAAGTTATCCATTGTGACTAATCTGTACAACGCCAATAACTTACAGGCTTATAATAATAGCCCGTGTTCCTAAAGCGTTAACCCAAGACGATAAAGTGAGCAAGTACAATAACTCCAGACGTATTTAATTAGAATTCGATATCGTTCTAGATCAGACGAATCTGGCAAATTTCATAGAGACCGGTTGATAACGTGTGTGAAGGGCTTTCAAAAGATTCCAAATAGTAAGCAAAGGTAAACAGCCTGACAAGTAATTAAGGGAATTATTGAACTATTATTGATCAATATTTATCGATTTCAAGCAGATTGAATTATAACTGTTGTTCGTACAAAGTAAGCAAATGAAAAGCTCAAAAAGTAGCCTAATTGTTGAAATTCGGTTGGCTAAAATTGCCTCATTAATAAAAACAATACAAGTTGAGCAAGGAAATATATCACTAATATCGACCATGCATATCAAAATTCTACAAAGAGGGCAATAACCATACACGTTATTACAGGGGCGGATTCAGGAATTTTTGCAGGAAGGGGTTTGCCCGGTACCTGAAATAATTTTTGAGAAATACATGGTCTCTATCGTCATTTTGGCGTATATACATCATTCACACTGAGATTTTTACTGAGAGAAATCAAACACCTCGTTTGACGTCAATTTTTATTATGAATTGATTCGATGACATTGTGATTAAATTTCATTGATGCAACGCATTAATTGTGAAATCACATATACCAATATCATTCTCTCGCGCATTGAATGCCCACCCCGTCCCACCATCTAACGATAAAGTAGGCTATAAAGCACACGGCGGGAGAGGGTTTTGGCACCCCTGGTTATTATCAGAAATTGATAAGACAATACATGTATACGTTTCACATTAAAGATGGGTTCCCAGAAAAGTATTTATCGGGTGGTTATTTCCAATAAAAGTATGGTAATTTTGTTATATATGGAAAGTAGAGATATCCAATCTTACTAGAAAAATATTGGATTCCCCGAAAAACACGCATGGAGCGTATACAGGACAAAAATGTAAGGGTTCCCCTAATCAACAGCCCGACGATTAGGAATTTCTGCACGCGTGATGTCAAAGGTCACACGCGAACATTGAGCGCTTGATGTACAAGTTGATAAACTTTATGAAGAGTTAGACGTACAACACTTTCTGAGATAAAGAAGACGTGGGTAGTGGATAATCCGAGAATTTAATTAGGATTCGAGATTTGTAATAAATAGTAAGCGATTAAAGACAACATCGTCTTAAGTATGCAATGAATTCTCCTCTGACTTCCAAGAGAGGTAAGTCACATGACGTAAACGTGACCTGATTTGATCGAATTTTTATAGCAGGACATTCATTCGCAATTACAATGTTTGAGAAGGATTTGAAGCAAGATTATGACAAATTAATTAGTTTGAATATGTTTTTAGTCCATATATACCATTAAATCACCCAGTTTGTACGCGGGAACCCATCTTTAAGTGCCACACTGATCAGCAGTGAATATTCGCTAGGCCGCGACAATCACTGATAAAGATGACATCGATGTGACTTTAAGTGCCACACTGATCAGCAGTGAATATTCGCTAGGTCGCGACAATCACTGATAAGGATGACATCGATGTGACGTAATGAGCCACAAATATTAACTTTTTTCCTCCGACAAATTAAATTCTAAAACATTTTTTTATGTATTAGAAAAATAAATAAAAACGTTTGACGTATTTGTAGGTAAAAATTATTTCCTATTTAGTGTAAATGGGTATTAAAATGAGTAAAAGGCTCCATTCCGCCCGAACCAGTAAGGTCCTATGTAAACAATGCACGCGCCATTGAGCCAATGATTGACGCCGCGTGATGAGACGTCACGTGTTGAATGTAGTCATCTTTTACAGAGATATTAGAAGACTTTCGTAATCCTCTGTGAACCAGATTGATTAAATGCATGCTATTCAAATGACAATAAATGCATCAAATATTTTTAGATAGGCAATATCAAGGAGCTTTAAAAAGATTTTATCTCACTACGATCAAACGCAATAAATAACATAAAGTTCACAGAATACAGTCACATTAGAGATAAAATTGGTCATTATCTTGAAACCCTTGGTTTATGTTATTTTCCAGATATAACAGTTAAATCAGAGGACGATTCTGTTTGAGAATGGGACAAACTGCAGATTTTCTTATGTCCTTTTTTCCATGCCACTTTTTGACATTTTGATGAACAGTACCACGCCTTTTTGCATTTACTACACGTAGGGAATGGCTTCTGACTTTCTGCTGTTTTCTTGCACTGGGTGCACTCATGCGATCCCTCCCCTTCAAAATTACAGCGATCACAGTAACACCAGAAATTATAAGCCCTGTATAGCCACGCTCTTCGTTTAGATCTTGGCATATTAGTATTAATATAAGTAATGAATACTTCCTCGCCCTCTTGAACATCTCGTTTAGCTCGAACAGCAACCCCAGGTTTGTTATCTACGATACCATCAAAGACTTCGGCGTTGTTGGCACATGAATGATTGAGGCAAGCGTGAAGAGCAAACAATCCTGCAAATTCGGCCTCGGGTGGGTTGTGCGGAAGTAGCTGCATTATTCCACGTGTGTTAGGCTTATCTTTGATATTTTCGAGAAACCGCTTTAGGGGATTTCTGAGATCTGAAAACGCCTGAACATTGCATGTGGCCTGGTAATACCGACCATCAAATTCACGCTTGGTAATATTGTAACTGAGTCCATCACCCAAATCTTTGAAAATTTCAACCATTAAATCAAACATCTTTGGCACAGCTTCTGCATTGCTTTGTGCCCCATACGCAATAAACCTGAAATATAAATCTAATTCGATTAAATACATATATTCGCGTGTTTTATATTTAGAATGTATACACGCGGCTTTTATTTTGCTCAGTGTTCCCTACAGAAATGGAATGGATTGCGTCCCATAAACCTTGAATCTGGATTATTTAAACTAAATCTCTACAAAGACATACGGGTGTTTATCATCTACGGGTACCACGATGCGATATCAAGAGGTCTGAAAATTACTTCAATTAGTAATTGCAGTAGAGATCCTAAGTATTAAATAAGAATACAAGGCATGCATTATTCATGCTTTTAACCTTCCGTACGAGACAGAGACGGTTAACGTTTATTAACAAGCGGTATTCATGCAAGATACGCGTACGCCCACATTTTGCAAGAGGTGGACATATATTTTAAGTTTCATCAAAATTGTGATCTCTATAGAGGGTGTGCAAGCAAAAAAAAGTGACTTTTCATACAATCAGGGGGTCATAATCCTGGAAGTTACGGTCCGATGTGTGAAAGAGTTGAGATCTTTGGAATATAAACTTATGTTTTAAGTTTCATCAAAATCAGATACCAGTTGTGACTTCTAGAGGGTCAACAACCTTGGTATTACATGTCTTTAAACATTTTGTGTGTATGGGCGGGGGGGGGGGGGCGTATTGACTGGAAGAAGTTTCGGTCCGTTTTTTTACGAAATTCGAACTCACGCGTAATTACGGTGATTTTTCGTACAATCAGGGGGCCATAATCCAAGAAGTTACGATCCGATAAGCGCTAATATCGAAAGGAACCGAGATCTTTTGGGTTATAAACATACTCTGTGACGACAATCTACGTCCACATGAAAATGTGGGCGTATAAAAACAACTAGAGCTTAAAGGTAAGTTATAAAAGTTCGCTTGCTCACAGCGCTCTTTAGCAGTGGCAGGAACCCAATGTTATCTACCCGGGTTCTTGATTCCGTACCATCCAAAATCGTATGGTCATTCAACTACCTGAAATCATACAGTAATTCTATAAAATTAATAGTAAAATTTTAAAATCACCGTCTAAATGGAGCTTTAGCCTTGGTCCAATCTGCTAATGAGGGGTTAATTCTTCCACTTTCCTCGCCAAGCTTTCGCGCATTGCAAGCTATAGAAGCCCAAATCCTGGCAAGCATAAAGGGACTGAATGCCGCATTCCACCAGCCTTTCCATACCCTGGAGTCGCCGGCTCTTAGATTCTCGAATTCGTCGCAGACTTTGTAGAGTTTCTTTACAGAGTGGTTGATTTCTGGACAGATAAGGCAATGATAACGTTCCCATGCTTCTTCTTGGCAGGTGACGCTACAATAGATTTCCTTTTTGCAATGTCTACATGGTACAATCGTCATTTTGGGCCAATATTTCTGAACCATCTTCTTTAATTGGTTGTTAGATTGATAGGCCATTCCCATAATATCTCCTGGTCTTACTAAGGAGGAGGCACAATGGCCACACGCAGGTATATTTTGGCTGTCCAAGGTCTGAGCACAAACCACCGGTTTGTCAACCATAATGACGTCGCCTTTAGTGATGGATTCTTTGGACATAACTGCTCGTCCATACCGAGTAAAAGTTACGGTAGCGTTTGTTTTGTCCGCAAGGGGTGCATATAGACGCTTGACTCTGACTTGTTGAAAAATTAAAGGAGCCTCAGACTTCGTATCCTTTGCTAGCTGTGTGGCCATCCTTAACCACGTTTCCGCTATAACTGGTAATTCAAGGGCATCTAGAATTTTACCTGAAAACAAATTTACTCATAAGATTAGTCGGAGGTACAGACTTACATTATATACCGAAGAAAATAAATGTCATTAAGAGCTAGAATATAAAGGTAATCAGTTGGTGAAAGTCACCAGGAACTTAGGTTAAGGTATACCACCAGTTGTTGACGATGCCTGTTTTGTTTGTGACTGAAGCTATACACTTAAATATCTTATAGGTACAGACAGATAAATAGAATCTTGCTTGTATATTATAATTTGTAGAAAACAGACCTCCTGTTGTCCATAATGATACAGATCTGTGTTCAAAAGGAATAATGTTGCAGCTTCTGAAACCTTCTTTAAATTCACCCAAAAGAAACAGTATGTCTGCTCGTTCTTCCATAATAAACATGTTTCCAGGGCTACAGCTCGCTGACATATTTACATGATTTAAAGCTGACGATAATTGGCCGAGTTCTTTAGCTTCAATAGCAGAAGTCAGTTCATCCGCTGCTTTGTCCAGGTCACAATCACCTGAAAGTGAAAAAATATGTTACAGCTCAATTTCTGAATAAATAAGAGCGGGACGAATTCATTTTATATTTTTATTTTGATATTTCTTACATGCTTCATACCTGTCGTGTTCTTATCCCGACCCGACATTTTGGGTCGTCAAAAACAATTTTATACTAGAAATGACCAGATACTTTGTTGCAGTTTCGTAGCTTTTACAGTTTATAATATGAATTTTTATATGAGCCACCTTTGAACATAATTAAACATGTATCATCACTAGTTTTTGAATCGACATTAAGGCGCTGCATTTCAGATCATAAAGTATGTCATAAGTCAAATGTCATGATTTCGATTCCAGGATTGAACGAGACAAAGAGTATGGTGACCTAAGGGAATTATAGAAATAAAGATATGCCGTATGTTAGTTTCTTTCTATGAATGCTGAGCGCAATAAGTCTATCACATGTATATACAGTTTATTCTGTTTTATCTTGGCCTATAACAAATGGTCTAAAAATAGCTCTTGTTTATTTAAATAACCTTTCTTTATGTATTTATATTTCTTGTAAGTGTTTTATATCTTTACTTATAATCTTTAAGCATATGGGTACAATTTCCTTTATGTTACATACACACTTCGTTATTCCGACGTTCAATAATAGTCCGAATCTTTAATCTAGTGCAGTGGTTCTCAACCTTTTTTGCCAACGGCACACCTTGGAACACATGAAGAAATAGCGGCACACCTGGCTAAATATACTCTTCAAAAAAGTAGGGGATATTGAAATGCAAATACCTATATGCAGGTTGCGATATGATAAATAGTCATGGACATTTGACATGCTTTGAGAGTATGTTCACAGATGAAGAACTTATCGCCCCAACAGAACCACTGCTGCACATGCGGGTTCATTGTCAAACAAATTTGACACTTAAGGAAGAGTTGATGAAAACTGCCGCGTGCTGGTTTATCTATCCATGTTTGCTTTCCTATCGGTTCTTGCATAAGATTTACTGTTTAGCATATCTTTGCTTTAGTGTGTTACGTTTAATTTGATCGGGAGACGTGTTCGTCGACGTCAACGTCAACCGACAACACTGCAAGAATTGGTCATGGCACTGCAAGAGGATTGGGTCAGATTGCCCCAAATCGTGATTGAACGGTTGATTAGGAGCATACCACGACGAATTGCTGAAATGTCTGAGGATTGGTGGAGCAATTACTCATTATTAAGACAAAAATCAAAAACGTCCATTTTCACTTTTGACAGTGTATCTCTTTGCGAGTGAAATGGGGCCGCCAGATAAGCCGCCCATATGAACTGTTGATGTTCATGTGTAAGCAATTGGCCTGTTATTAATTGCCGCTGGTTACCTCTAATAAAAACAGCAGTGCATTTCCGCAGTTTTGTATTGTTTATGAATATCCCCTACTTTTTTTTGAAGAGTATATAATATAATATAAGAAAAATGTCTGAATTTTGCAAAATAAAAACATGGGAAGTCAGACGGCATACAACCGTAGACAGGGACTAGTCATAGACACTTAGAATGACTCAAACTAAATGAAGAAAAACACAGCTATGAATTTTATCGGTGAATACTTAATTGGGATTACGTGTTTTTTCACATTTTCACACTGGTTGAGAATCACTGAAACTCCGGCATTCTAAAAGTTCGTATTTAATCGATTATATAATTTTTTAAACAAAATAGTGGGAAGGTGATGTCTAGTGGGCTAATAATTAAACTGCCATTTATCTTAATAACAAATTCAGACCCTAGAAGTTAAACATTTTTTAAATCTATGACTCGAGAGTGTGTCAGATAACTTGGTTCCGAATAAGGATTCCTTATGTACATTCAAACTGTTTGGCGTGTTGGTGTACCTTAGTGCAATACCGGGATATGGGTTTCCAAATTTGACTGGAAAAGATAAACATTCGGATTGGTTTTCTATCGAACACGGTCTATAATTAAGAGTGTCAAATCTTTCGGCAATATGTGTTGAAAATTCGTACAAAAATAAGAATTAGCCTCGATAACCTGGAGGTCCTGTGTTCGATCGCTGCAATGTCCGAGAAAGTTCATCTGATTTTCAGGCGTGGTTCCCCCTTGTCAGTGTGCAGGACACAGGGCTTGGCAAAAGACAACGATAGTCTTAGAATGGGACGAAAAACCGAGGTCCCGTCTATACATTGGCATGCACGTAAAAGATCCCTTGGCAGTTGAAATTCGATATGAAAGTAGCCGTAGCGCCGCTGTCCGGGCAAAATTTCGCGTAGCACACGCTGTATGGCGTATGCCCGTCTTCATTAGCCCAGTCGGAGCAGAAGAATAGGACGTTAAACCCCATTTCATTTTTCGTATTACATGGAACGTTTCGATGGTGATCGTCTTTTAACGAATAACAGTGGTGTGTGTTTTTCTTTTAGGGCAGGAATATTATCTTACCTGCTTTTACATTTGGGTGTTGATCCAACTTCCATTTAATCATTATTTCTCTTTCTAATTCTTCCAATTCCTCATCTCCGGGATATGGTTCCTGGGTACACAAATCTACAGCATTGTAGGTGTTTTCTGATTTTCTTTCGTCTGCTTCGTACATGGCCATAATGGAGTCTTGCAGTGAGCGCAATTCGTCTGCTACTTCGGCATTAGTAGGTTCCAATTCAAGACCTTTTCTCAATGATGTATAAGCTTCATTAAATTGAGTAAGCTTACTGTAACATCTTCCTTTCCACAAGTGCCCTATTAACGAATCAACATTTGTATCCGAAAAATATTTAGCATCTTTTAAAGCCTTCTCGTATTGTTTTAAGTTATAATAACACTGACACCGTCTAATGTATGCGTCTGTATTTGGTTCTCTGTGGCCATTTTGATTATCTATAATCAGTGAAAATTTTGTTGCCGATTCTTCGAACTGTTTTTCACTGAATGCTTTTTCTGCTAAATTGAAACAACATTCGGTAGCCATACCTTCTGTTTAACTAAATGTAGACTAATACACTTTATGACTTCCTGATGTGTTAATAGTGGTATACGCACTGTATCTGATAAAGTAAGTAGCCAATCTGCACAGAGAGCACCCAGATGCCAAATTTATACCATTCGGTCGGTGTAACATGATATCCGATATTTACAGCTGTTTTTTCAGCTGTTTGTTCAGAGAGCAACTCGGTGGATGTTTTAAGACGTTTGATACAGATAGACTACAAACAAATTGATATTCAGTACAGTGAAAACTATACTGCAAAAGTAAATCATTGTCAGAAGGATCTGAATATATATTATGCCACATAACCATTATTTGATACATAAATCAAATATGTTTTTAAAAGCATTAAATATTTTTTAGCTGCAAATCAAAAACCATGTGGTACACCCACAATTATTATATTATATAGGGGTATTAAAAATCAAACAAGTATATTTTTGTCCATGTTTGACACAAAAGACCTGGCCCGTATGGATATCTTGAAAGAAATGTTGAAAATATGACCAGGTTATACATTAATTCCCAATCTTATAGTAAGGGGTGATTATCCAGTTAGCTTGACAATTCAAACTGTAGTTCTGGCAGTTAACTGTCAGCCAGGCTGTTTATTCTTAAAAAAAAACTCCACATAGCAAGCAAAAAAAGTTGGATACCCTGACAAATCAACCTTGACAGATAACAGACTGGGGGGTTAAGACAATATTATAACCACTTAACATAATTAGGGCTTAAAAAAGAACATTCTTTATTCAAACAATAGAACACATTTGATGTTAAAAAAGTTGTATAATAATGCTATTTTAGTTGTAATTATTTTAAAGAGGAAGCCTTGTTATGTATCTGAAGTTCAAAATATAATAAATATATCCTAACAGCAACATTCAATGTTATTCACTAACTAATTAATTAACAGATCTCTCTAATGACTAACTGCAATCCCCAATGTTATGAATTCCCAGCATGTGGGTGAAAGAGTTGACCATTTTTGGTATAAATAAATCTGTATCTCTCGTTAATTTACTTTGGGTCAAATTACACTCCAAGCCATTAAAAACGCAATGCCTAATTCGTGAAATATTTCTGGTAAACATTTTCTTGGGCTTTCCTATCTTATGGCACATAGGTGAAACTTGTGATGGGTCTCTTTTTGTGGAGTTTTGGGTTTGAACCCAATATCAGTTCTTGGTAATGAACTTTGTTCGTGCAAACTCAACACTTGTCTCTTTTCACAATTTTAAATAGGTACAACCCTATGATGAATCATACTGAATTGGATCCAAATCTGTTAATAATTGCAACCTGTAGATTATTTAGACAAAATATTAACAAAAAGTGGGTATGGCACCTCCCAGGAGAGGGAGAGAGGGGGGAACCATGCACCAAAATCAATAGTTGCTGTCCTTAGGGTATAATTAATAAGTATACCTAGTTCCAAGATAATCCATCCCGAACTGTGGCCTTCAGACGCTAAACTAAAAAATTGGGCATGCTCCAGCCTCTGGGGTCGGGACTTACACCAATATCAATAGTTCATAATCATGGCCAGTATATGATAAACACAAAAATTGGGCGTGGCTCTGCCCCTCGGGCCATAACTCTGGCAGTAATCATCGGAAATTGCTGAAAATGAAAAGACTTCTTCGTCTCATGACCTTAAACACTGTGTATAAATTTAAAGTCAATCAGATATTAACTTTAGCCTACAAGATTTTTCAAAGTGATCAAGGGCCATAATTTTGGCAGTAATTATCGGAAATCGTTGAAATAGGATTCTTTGTCTCATGACCTCAAACACTGTGTATAAATTTAAAGTCAATCGGATATTAACTTTAGCCTCTAGAGCATCCACAAGATTTTTTGAAGTGATCAAGGGCCATAACTCTGGCAGTGCTGAAAATGAATAGACTTCTTCCTCTCATGACCTTAAACACTGTGTATAAATTTAAAGTCAATCGGATATTAACTTTAGCCTACAAGATTTTTCAAAGTGATCAAGGGCCATAACTCTGGCAGTAATTATCGGAATCGCTGAAAATCAATAGACTCCTTCGTCTCATGACCTTAAACACTGTGTATAAATTTAAAGTCAATCAGATATTAACTTTAGCCTCTAGACACAGGACGGACGGACCGACGACAATATACTACCAATGGGGTTGGGAAGACTGAACCCTGTTGATTTTCAATAATCAATTGGTCCTATCTTAACATCGGGTATATCTATAGGTGTATAAATTTAAATATAAATTTTTGGGCCGAGAAAGTTCATCTCGATTTTCTGGCGTGGTTTCCCCTTGTCAGTGATGCAGAACAGAAGGCCTGACAAGGACAGCTGCCTAGTCGTTCGGATGGGACGAAAAACCGAGGACCCGTGTACACTTTGGCGTGCACGTAAAAGAACCTTTGGCAGTTGGAATTCGATATAAGAGTAGGCCGTAGCGCCGCTGCCCGGGCAAAATTTCCCTCACACTGTATGGTGTATGCCCGTCTTCAATTAGCCCAGGTTAGGTGCAGAAGAGTAGGACGTTAAACCCCATTTCATTTCATTTCATTTAAATATAAATTTTGTCATTCAACAAAACAAATGAAAATGTAAAATCCAATCAAAGCGACAATTTTTGATCTTTGAACTAATGGTAAAAACAAATTAGATGATTCAAATTTAACATATCCTCTTTAAATGAAGATGATAAAAGAACAGTTATTTAGCACTCACTATTATCACATGATTTCAATGCCTTATAATAAATCAGACATTTTTTTACTATTCTCTTTTAAACAAAGCCTAAACATATCAATAGGCATTTTTTTGTAAAATAATTAAAAAACATAGCTAGATGCACAACCATTTTTCAATAAAAGAGCACCGTATTGTCAGATTTCAGTAACAACTTCAAGCTCAAGCACTCTGATGATATAACACAAGTGCTACTAAAACTAATATCAAAGCACATACAAATAAATTATTTAATTGTATGTTGAAAATAAGTATAGAGAATACAGTTGTCATTATCATAGCACATGATATTATAAATAATCGAGTTATATTGCTTCCATATTTCATAATAACAGACATTATTAATCCATTCACTGCCTGAAAAAAAAAAAAATTAATAAAGGGTATGTACTACAAATTCTGATTTATTATTTTACCATTTGACAAAAAAATTAGGTATAATACATTCTTATAAGGTTTAAGTGGCCCGAGTCCTTTCAAATACTACTGATGAGTGATGAAATAAAATTAATAAAAACAATTGAAGTAAAGCCTGAGTACACAAACCTGCAATGTTACCTTTTGAGCTACACATTAATAGTATGTGATTTGTGAAATGAGTATTTTCTGTATAATTATTTAAAAGGTTTTGTCAATATTGACATTACGTTACTAGCGAGAGAGAGAGAGAGAGAAATGGGGTTTAACGTCCACTCGACACAAACTAGGTCATTTCAGGACTAACATATGGTTTGAATTTTTATTTCAATAATTTGCTTGCGCGTAGGGGTCTTTGGCAGTGGGAGGAAACCGGATACGTTACTAGCAGACAACAATATATTCAGTACTATTACACACTATCAATATATAAATATGTGTGACATAGATGTGTAAACATATTCTATCCCCTGCTTGAAATCCATCTGTACATCTTTCCAATTGAAGTAATGGTTTTACCGGTAGTTCTTTTAAATAGAAGTCTCTAAAATGAGCATTTTCCCATTATTATGAAATGACACAATGTCCTTATCAGCTATTAAAATCATTTGAGATGAGATAAAGTATTTTAGTAAGATAAAGTAATTTAGTAAGAGAATAGACAACAGAGAGAGATAAAGAATTTTAGTCAGAGTATGGGTAACAAAGAGATAAAGTCATTTAGATATAGTATGGACAACAGAGAGATAAAGTATGGACAACAGAGAGATAAAATAATATAGTAAATGTATGAGAGTAGAGTGAACATACCTGAGATAAAACTATTAACCATGTATAAACTGTAAAACCACTCAATAAACTATTAGATTCATCTGAAAATAAACAGCCCTCATTTAATTACTCACATACACATGCAAAAGTCACTGTAAATTCAACCAGTATTTAAACTTTAAATGTCATTGCAGCTACACCGGCATCTTACTAATTTAATCAACGCATATAAATTTTAACAAGCACTTGCCATGCAAGATATTCACACATATTGTAATAGAATGACAGAGAACAAGCTGTAACACATGATTTTTCATACTATCAGGAGCCATAAAATCCAGGAAGTTTCGATGCGATATTCGCTGGAACAAAAGAGTAGGACGTCAAACCCCATTTCATTTAAGTTTCATCAAAATCGGATAAAAATTGTGACCTCTGGAGAGTCCACAACCTTGGTATTACATGCTTTTACACTATTTGCATAAAGAGGAGTACCTCTGAGTAGCCATTTTGACAGAAAGTTTCAGTAAAACGTTGTTTAAAATCAAATAAAAATTGTGACCTCTGGAGGGTTCATAAGCTAAAACGCGATTTTTGGTACAATCCGGGGCCATCATCCAGAAGTTATGATCTGATATGCGCTAATATCTAAAGGAACCGAGATCTTTGGGATATAAACATATATTACAAGTTTCGTCAAAATCGGATAACCTCTAGAGGGTCCACAATATACGTCCACATGAAAATATGTCATATAAAAAAGATCAGTTTTGGTACTAAATTTGATTTATCTAAAGAATGCATAGTCTCACTAATCTATAAACAATATATATTAATTTTAAATCGATTTGATGATCACTTTTGCTGATTGAGTGTTCGCAAGATTCTTGAGGATAAACAATAACTCCTGAATTGACCTGTCAAACTTTTGATAAACTTCTCATTGATTTAAACTTCAAACTGATTGGATCTAGTCTCTTGTGTGTTCACAAGTAATTGTGGATGGTTAGACAGAAAAAACAACTAGACATATGTCTTAATCAAGATTGTGCTTTGTTTTAAGAAGAGGTCAACCATAAGGAAACTGTAGTTTGATCTGTAACTACATCTAGTTTCAATTAAATATCTCATAACACAAAAATTTCAAGATAGCCAGACTCTAACTCCAGTAAATGAAGATCGACTTGGACATAACTGAATCTTGATCCATAACTATATGTACCTATAATAATACACCTACCAAGTTTCAGTTCAATATCTCAAAGCACTGCAAAACAATGCTCTGACTACTGATGCTGTGGTAAAATAATAAAATACCATATTTACCATTAAAGTAATTAGCTGCATTAATTCTGTTAAATTGCCACATTGAACCATTTAAAATAATACCAACTATATACAGAAATATATTTTGTTGATGAATTGAACACTGTTGAAAATATAAAAAGACATCATATATAACTTATGTAAACCATATTTCGTACTAGCAAAATACAGGCCTGTAACTAAAGGCTGTGGGGGGCTAGATATATTTTGACTTCGAGTAAAAAATCATTAGTATTTTGACGGTATTTACTGATAATGTTTGACTGCTAATAATTGTATGTTTTTGAAATAATTTGATTATCTATTATGATTACAGTTGTTACATGTTTTTGTGAATTTTTTATTTTTATTTTCGATTCCTATCCCCTACAGTCCCAGGAAATAGCATTTGCGCTGGTCTATTTTCCAAATTTTGATGGGGAGGGGCTTTCTTTGTGCGCCCCTGTTGCTTGCATTAGGTCAGCTTTGTGAAGATGTAGAGGACGGACAACGTTGACAACAATATACAACCAAATCCTCAATGAAACTATACATCCAAATCGAAAGTCGATTTTTTTAACAAATGGTGAAGCTAATTTCATGAACACAATGAGTGAGAAGTATTTAGAAGAACGAACATCTAACTTACCTTCAAGTTTTGTTTAAAAATATATTCTGTATAAACTCCAGATAAACCTGATATAAAACAATATGTAAACATCATCAATAATCCTTTTGCTGTAACATGTATTTCATACACTGAATCTTTCAACTTTATATTTCTATTTCCACTGAAACTGAAAAAAAATCAAAATAACTCAGATATGTTTTTACAATGGTATCAATGATATCAATCAAACAGCCAAAAAAATTTAGGGTGTGATTTTGTCTTCTCACTATAATGCGAACATATTCCCATTGGTTGGAGAGAGAGACAGAGAGGGAGAGAGAGGGAGAGGGGTCCACTTGACACAAACTAGGTAATTTTGGGACTAACACATATTTCAATTTTATTTCAATAATTCGCTTGAGCGTAAGGGTCTTTAGCATTGGGAAGATACCGGAGAAAACCCACGAGGTTGGACAGGCGACCCTACTCCTTGTTATGTACAACTAAGTACAACTGGGAAATCCATTGGTTGGACAGACAGATTCAGTAATAATAATATAATTAATATGTAACTTACCTATCTATAACACCGGCTAATGTTAATAATCCTAGAGATAACCATTTTATACGGGACAACTTTCTACAGTAAATATAAACAATATTGAAAAAAAGCAGTTTTTGTGGAGTCAACATGAGTTAGGTTTTTTTCTTCTATTTATCTGCAGTTTAAATATGTATACCATTACTTATTAGAAACTGTAGACAACTAGCCACCTGGATTACATCAAAATATAAACCAGATGTCGCCATGTTAGACACAAGTTTGGGATATTTTCGCTTTCCAATATGAAACATTGATTTTGGAGTAAATTGATTTTATTATTTTTCTAATATATTTGTAATAAATAGATGTATATGGTTTGATAACTACAGGCTTTGTACTAAGCCAATACATAGTAAAAGAGGTATTATTAAGGCCTTATATAAAACAAAAAATATTCTGGTTCTCTCAGATAATCCTGCATCCCTTAACCCAATTTTATCTCCAAAAACATAAAATAAAAAGGCATATCAATTACCGCAGGTGAATGTTTTACCCTGGTTACAGGAAGTAGCTCTATAAAAAAACTGAATGAATCCAGGAATATTGTTACTAACAATCATAAATTAATACTGGTCATACATTGCTACAAACAACATGATGAATTAAATGTAGTGCCTTAAAATGGGATGTTTATAGCAGTAGTAATCCTTTGACAAAATGACAAAATAAAAACACAAAAACTAAAACCTTCCTCCCATATCAGATTTTTGGTAAGGACTGTCTGAGATCTAGAATGGTTTTTTTTGGTATGGCCCAGTGATGGGATTTTGCCCGTATATTCCGGACTTGTCCGAATCTTTTTTCCAAACGCCCAAAATTGTCCGACCGGAAATATGCCCAATCGGACATCAAGACATGGCGAATAATATTCAAAATTCCGAAATTAATATAGTTTACTGAGTGTATAACTACCACTCAACCAGATTATCGTCGATAATACGCTGGATTGATTAGGTAATTGAGTGATCAACGTATTTATCGTGTTATACCGTCTACAAACCTACCTTGATTAACTACTTAATCTGCCTTGATTGACTGACTTATTCCTTTGTCGGACAATTCATCAATCTAATCTTAAACAGAAGCCATTGTTTCCCCTTTGTCGGACTATTCATCAATCCATTATAATTTTAATATTCGTGTTAATCTCGTGGTTTCTGCATTGTCGGACATTTTAATCGCATTGATGTGAGCCGACAATATGTATAAACTAGTCATAGAAGTCACATATTGTAAGAGTATATAACGCCCAGATCAATAGACAGTCATTATAATTCGTCTGTGATATCACTTTGGTGGAAGCGAGCGTTAAATAAAGCTATTTCACACACACACATATTCGAAAAATACTAGACATTGCTAGCACGCGGTTACAGCACTCGGAAAACCTCGGAAGATTCCGTTACTCTACATCTAGCTTCAGCTGTATGACGGTAAGTGATATGTACCTACGAACTTGCCGGTTTTAGAAAGAAGTTATCAAAATTGCGTCGTTCAAGCGTGTTTAGAATTTTCAGAGCAAAGTTGTCCTTGTTTGAAGAAAATCTGATTAAACTTGAACCGATAACTGAACCGGTATTAGAAATCTCGCGAGACGCGGGAAATTATGAAATGAATACGTGACAAAATACACGCTTCTTATGTCGAAGAAAAGATTCTATTTTGATGGCATATTCTCGGATTTATGATCATATTTTGAATGGGGTTTATGTTTTTAAATAAAGAAATAAGTAATCTAGGCAATGTTGACGAATATGTCGATTTGAATAGTGTAAGTACTTAATTGTTTTAGACGATAGCGTGTGCTAGAGTACAATGCGATTATTTAGCGGATGGTGTCATTCGCTCATTGTGGTAGAGCGACGTTTATTGCCCAAAAAATTTTGGGATATCATTTTCTTACCCTCTGTACATAAGTCGTAACGGAGTATAAGACGAATGCCGGACTTCTGCTGAAAAATGAAGCGACTTATGACCCGAAAAATACGGTAATTTTGAAGGAATTTGAAGCAGTACAGATCGGCAGTAGTCAGCACGCTTTCATTCTATCGTATTACGATTTTGTAGGAATGTTACTGACATAAATTTGAATACCATACAAGAATTAAATATGAAAAATAACGAGGTGCACCTATTTTTTTTATTACGGACGAATTTGAATATGTTGTTTACACTTGATTTTTGTATGTGGTCTAAAAACTGCCATCTTAAATAACGATGAGAGTTATGTCCCTTTATTTTCGGTAAAAATGTCCGACAAGAAAAATTTTGAAATCCCATCACTGGTATGGCCTAATGATGAAAGTAGAGTATACAACAGTGATGTGATTTTGCCCGTATATTCCATATTTTCCAAACGTCGTAAATTGTCCGACCAGGAATATGCCGAATCGGACATCAAGACATGGTAAATAATATTCAAAATTTCAAAATTAATATAGTGTACTGAGTGTATAACTACCACTCAACCCGATTATCGTTGATAATAGGCTGGATTGATTAGGTAATTAAGTGATCAATGTATTTATCGTTTTATACAGCCTATACACCTACCTTGATTAACTACTTAATCTGCCTTGATTGACTGACTTAATTCTTTGTCGGACAATTCATCAATTCAATCCTGAACAGAAGTCATTGCTTCTCCTTTGTCAGACTATATATCAATCCAATAAACTTTATCTATGTGATTAACCTGTGATTTCTCCATTGTCTCACGTTTTAATCTCCTTGATATCGGCCGTAGACATTAGTCATATATGTCACATATCCTAATAGTATATAACACCCCAAATCAATATACATTGTGTCCGATAAATTGTCTGGGATATTTCTTCAGTGGAAGCCGAAGTTAAATAAAGCTATTTCACACACACGCAAAATGAAAGTAGAAATCTCGCGAGACACGTGGAATTAAGAGGTGTAAACGTGCCAAATCTAATACGTCTGATGTCGGGAGAAAAGATTCTATTTTGATGGCATATTGTCGGATTTATGATATTTTGAATGAGGTTTATGTTTTTAAATAAAAAAACATGCTAAAAAATGTTGACAGATATTTTGATTGGAATAACGTAAATAGTTATGCAAAATGAAAGTAGAAATCTCGCGAGACACGTGGAATTAAGAGGTGTTAACCTGCCGAATCTAATACGTCTGATGTCGGGAGAAAAGATTCTATTTTGATGGCATATTGCCGGATTTATGATCATATTTTGAATGGGGTTTATGTTTTTAAATAAATACATAAACACGCTAAAAAAATGTTGAAGAATATTTTGATTGGAATAACGTAAGTAGTTACGGTAATTGTTTTAGACGAGAGCGCATGCTTAGAGTCGAATGGGATTTTTTAGCAGTTGGTGTCACTCGCTCGTTGTATTATAGAGCGACGTTTACTACGGTTTACGGTCAAATAAATTTTGGGATGTCATTTTTTTACCTTCCGTATATAAATCGAAACAGAGTATAAGACGAATGCCGGACTTCGCTCAAAAATGTATCGACTTATGACCCGAAAAATACGGTAATTTGGGGGGAATTTGAAACCGGTATACGGATGGGCAGTAGTCGGCAAGCTTTCATTCTATGGTATTACGATGTCATGTAATTTTGTAGGAATATTATTGACATAAATTTGAATACCGTACGGGAATTAAATTTGAAAAATAACGAGGTGGACCTATTTTTTTATTACGTATGAATTTGAATATTTTGTTGACACGTGATTCTTAATTGTGGTTTGAAAACGACTACTTAAATAACGATAAGAGTTATGTCCCTTTATTTTCGGGAAGAAAATGTCCGACAACTAAATTTTTGAAATCCCATCACTGGTATACAATTTAAGTTTAAGTGTAACATCATTTACCTTTTCATAATAATTCTATATAAAACAGCAGTGGAGGCTATCTTTAGATTGCTTAATACCTAAAACAAATATTCATCATTTATTATAAGCTTTTAAAAATTTATAAAACTCTAGATTCTTACACTAATACTTAATAGTAAGACAAAAAGAGTGGGAGAGGTGGTTTGAAGTCCATGCAATACTAGGCAGGTCACTTTGAGACTAACACCTGGTATATTTCAATTTCAATAATTTGGCAGCAAGTACAGGACTTTAGAAGTGGGAGGAAAGCCGGGTCAGGCAAACGAGCCCATTCTTTGCCATGCACTAATCCAATTTGACTGGGCTTTTTGATCTACATTGTCCCCACCCCTTCAACAATCATGATGGCCAATAGTCTGAAATATCTGACCTCTTTTGGGCCTCTTTGCATATCTTACTACTCACATTGCATAGACAATCAAAGTCAATTGTACAGGATTTATTAGATGTCATACTTTGTAGGTAATTGATGTACGAATCATTTACTGATTAACATTGTGCCTTGCTATTTCAAAGGCCATGACTTGTCTGGTAGTGTTAATATTTACTTTTTTTTTATGTTTCTTGTTAACGCTTTAATGTGTGTGGAATTTTTAAATAATTCTAAGGTGAAGTAAATTGAAGCACTGCTTGCACAAATCAATAGTAGCTTGGGCATAAAATAAATAATGGCAAGGACAATGTATGTGCTCAAGAGTATTATCTGAGTTGCCAATCACAGATACAGTTGTAAGTGGTTAATTGACATTCCTTGATAAATTACGACAATTTGCAGTGTTTTTCAGATTCATTCTGGGGCATCATACATTCAGAAGGGTTAACTGAGAACAACTGTTCATATCTAACCTGATAAGTGGTTGGATCCATTTCTTGTTGCATATGTACTGATATGTTATTATTACCAGTATATAATATAGCAGGTACACAAAGTGGTATGAAAAATGATATGGAAGGTATTTTAATACCCTTTTCTATAACTTCTGGTAAATACATCATTACTGATATACCAAGCTGTAATAAAACATATAACTATCAAAAGTCAAATTAAAAATGGGAAACCATAGTTTAACTACAATTCAAGCAAGACAATAAATTCATAAAAGATATATTAGGCTACACAAAATAAATGTCTTGTTTCTCGGGCAACTGACAGATGAAACTGTAGGGGGGGAGGGCGGTTTATTTTTTTTTTTTACCTCATTTCTGGCTAGAGGATAGTTCAAAATAAAATTTGCCTATTGTTGAAAATTGTTGGGGCGGGAGGGCGGCCTTGTATTTTTTTTTTTTTTTTTGATGAGAAAGTCATTACTTGTCTACGGTTTTGCTTTCAGTTATATATTATACATACTTAGAACATAAACCCAAAAATCAAGTCTACTCAAACACTGACTGAAAGGAAAATAATTTTCCATATTAAATTCACGTAATGTAGCTTACTAATGGTAATGGTGACAACCATAATTGAAATTGGTTTAAAATAAAATTCCGTACGACTATTAATAGCCGTCCATAATAACGACAATATTTTAAAGAGTAAGCCTCTGTCAGCATGTGTATCAAAAATAATCATCACGGTAAATGACACTTCGATCTAGTATCGCTGGTTTATAATGATTGACATAATTCCAACCAATGCATGTCACGTGTCATCGGGATTCGGGAAATGACTGTTTCTCAGGTTATTCGGTGTGTTTCTCAGGATATTCGGTGTTCTATCTGGGGTTTATATCGAATGACTATTTAAATTTAATTAACAACTCGTCAGTAAAACCATCAAATGTGTAATCCAATTATTATTTTCCGGATTATCAAAACTACCGTTATATTTGCTAATGACCCAGATTCTGACTAAGGTATGGTGACTATCATCGTATCGTATTCGTAGCCACAAGTTATAATAATTAACCTGTTCTACGATTCATTGTTTTATAAGTAGGATTTGTTCAAACATGGACCGACTGAAGCCGGCAATAATGAGCCGATTAAGATCGAATGATTGAAATACATTGCATTGTTGTCAATGACTTTCGGTGTTTAACACGAATCAAATTCTAGTTCACAAGGGGAGGTAATTAAAATCACGTGATACAAAAATGGAGGTTCTTTCGATATCAATAAAAAAGACCCGTAAATGAGCGTTTACATCTGAATCAGTTTAATACATTTGAATGGATATTCACGTATGAGGCATGTAGATACATGCGGCATATTCTTTTTATGACTTGCTTATCGATGTTCGGGCGGGCGTTACATATTTTTTATTTTTCATCAAGACTAATAAATAGGCCGCACGCGCAACCAATTTTGCGTGCGGGCGGTGCCCGAGAAACAACTTATTTTATTTGTGTTGCCTTAATAACAATCGGACATCCACTATTAAAGAAAGACTGCAAGGCATGGGAACATACGCCCAACAGAGCTTCGTTCTCTATGCTGTGGATCTTTCTGAACACAGAACCACTCGAGAACAGTACTCTAAATACAGTAAAACATCGCTGGAATCTTTAGCTAGAATAATCAACATAGTTCACTGGTTGTCAAGCATGTGCTATAACTGTATATTACTTTATCTAGATTACTTTAAACTGCATCAAGCAGTGAAATCACTTCTTAGAGTAGTTAATAGGGTATCAAGCCCAAAGAATCTCTTCCTAGAGAATTTATCTATTTTTACTTCATTTTTGTAACATTGAATAAAACAGTACAGTATTTCGAAACTCTGTGTGGGACAACTTTAACCATGTTCATTCCAGCAATTCTGTTTTCTTTTTCTGAAGCTGGGAGTAATGGGTTAATTGTATTTTTCAGATGCTGTAATCATGATCAATCTATTGTTATTCAATGGAATTATATGGACAATCCCCTTAAATATCTTCTTCACATAGATGATATCTAGGGAAATCAAAAAATTATACTTTGATATCTACCTTGAAAATTTCAGTAAATAAAACAAGAGATGCAGAAGAAAAGGGAATTTTACCATCCACTTGACAAATGTGAACCAAAGGAGAATACGAACTGTATAGACATATTCTAAAATAGACATAAACATAATATATATTATGTTTCACCTGTAAATCTATTGAAAATAAGTTATTAATTTACATGCATATTACTGTTAGAACTATAGATGGATACAGATAATATTGACAGTGACTAGAAGAACTTTTAAAGACTTTCTATAAACACCTTTGGTTAAAACGCACACTAAATTCAAGATTACACTGATGAATATAGAACTAGTGACTGACTGACAATTGAAAAGGGTAAAAACATGACAAATAGATACATGTAATTTTAACTCACAACAAAATAAATAAATTTGACCGATTTATTAAAAACATTGATATTGTTATGTTTGTAGACATACATTGAAAGTTTTGGTAGTATTGTTTTATAAATATTTTTTTCTATATATCTGAATGGGCTTGGGGAACAGGCCTAGCCTATGTAAAACTGTTCCCCTATCATGTAACCAATGCCATAACGCCTTCCAATATGGTGTCCCACATCCGACAAATACCTTTTGTGTTGGATTGGTGAAATTTATTGTACTAATAATATAGTTATTGTTATTTTTGAGAGTATAATGGCATCACTAAAGAATTATTTAATTAAGGGTGGTGCTTTATAACAGTCAACACTTAGAATGTCTATCTTTATTTTCTAGAATACAGGAACAGGTGGGCTATCTAGATCTCGTTAAAAGCAGTAGTACACCAATTTTCTATGAAGAATTGTGTGAGAAAAGGAAAGAATAAATTTACTTATAATTTCTAATTGTTAACTATATACTACTATCAGCATATGATCATTACTCAACTCAATAACTTACTCCAGTATTAACATAAGTAACCATGTTATTTTCATGATAGTTTTGGTTTCTTTTCCATAAGAACTATTTAGATCTTGTATGTATACTGGTAGATCATTATTGGATTTCTGTAAAATATTTAACAGAATACATTACGTTTAGCAGATGAGGGGAGGGGGGGGTAAATAAGAAAGAAGTTCTATCATGAGAGAGAGAGAGAGAGAGAGAGAGAGTGAGAGAACAGTTTGTGTGGGTGAAAAGTCAGATAATACAGTATGTGGCGGATACAGGTAAGGGTCATAGAGGTCAAGGGCCCCCTTAAACGGTACAAAACATGTAATTTTTAGCTTTTTGTTGGTTGGGGTTATATCCAGGTCTAGATATGTGCCGCAAATCACAACTGACACACAATTCTTTCAATATTTTCTAGTGAGGTAAAATCCACTGACAACACAGCTAGTCCTTAGCATGCGCGAGATGAGCTAGCGAATGTGCATTGTAGCATAACAACAGTACCATTTTTTAGAATTTGACGTGAAAAGTAATATATTATTTATATAACATTATAAAGATTTACCTGTTTCATATCTAAAATTACTTCAGGTTGGGAAACAAACATCAATATACTTGCTGAAAATATAATCAAATAATAATAAATACATACCTTATACCTATATCTGTAGTCATCAGATGTCACTTACAAATAAAAAGAGAGCTCAGTTACATTGACTTATTTATAGTTTCACTCCATTTTATCCAATCCAAACAAGGCAGTAACTTATTTTAAGTAAAACTCAGTTTTGAAATTGTAATATTCTAAAGCCACTCTTCCCTACACACATTAAATTTTACAAATTCAGTACGGTAAATAATTCTACAAATAGTGTGTGTTCATTGCTCATATTTGATAAGCGTTTTTTTGTCTGATTGATCAGAAGAATAATGCATAAAAGATACATGTAACTTTGTCACTTACGCATTCACAATTGAAAATGTTGAAATTCAATAGGATTCTTTGTCTGATTTGTGTAAACAACATACCAGTATATAACCTTAGATCAGATGATTAGTGTTTTTTTTATTGGGATGGGATCACAACACATTGATGATATTAAATAGGATTCTTCATCTTATGAACAAATATAAACTCTTCATATAAGATTATGCGTGATGGTGAGAAGCTATAAGCTTATCAAAATACATACCTTAGTTTTTGCAGGTTTTCATTTCACATTTTATGTATTTTATTTTTATTTGACCATATTCTGTTTTTCCATGTTTTAGTACATATGTATATCAGGAGATATCCATCATCTGTGAATTATACATTAAATATAAACAAGCAACCTTATTTTATATCCTGGATACATACAACCTTTGTGAGATCCGCCATGTAATATAAAATAAGCAATATCATTTATATTATGGCTAAAACAAATCTGAATGGATCTTATTTTTCAAAGTACTGTGATATATATATAAATGATCACACATACACAGTAGTGACAGTGCCCATTCTGTTATACCACTGCAAGGAGTCATCATATCTTCTGACCAATTCTATCCAGATGGGATGATTTATCCAATGCTACCAAATACTGCCAAATTTATAAATTTATACTACTAGTTACATGTACCCCATTATTGCGAAAAACTGACAAACTACTTGAATTATATCAATAAAAATTAGTTAATTCATGGAAAACATGCACCAAATGTACATGTACATCAAATGTGGTGGCTGATGTCTCACCATTCCAGTTATCTCCCTTGTTCACACAAATATTAACCCATGATAGACCCTACATGTACTACCAAAACCCAATTGATTGCTTTAAAATAATGATAACATTAGGCCTACAATTATTTGAATAACAATGTTAGTTTGTGCATGGACCTTATAATATAAGGTCTATGGTTTGTGGAAAATATTTTTTGTATTGCAGTGTGTTGCCATTCCACATCATCCCATTTCAGATTACCATACAAATTATTCTGTCAAGTTTAGGATAATAGTACTAATGTAGTATTGGGGTAGAATTGAGAGGTAGGCCTATATGCATGGTAATATTGGATTAGTGTTTAAAAGATGCTTTATCTACTTTTATACTAGCAGTAGTTATACTATAAATAGGCTTTCAAGTTTACCCTACAATTTTGGTTAATTGACTCATTGATATTGAAATAAATTATGCATTCTGTCAGTACGGTATTTAATCATAATGAGGTACCGGTAGTAAGCTCATGTTGTCGGGTTTGGTAGTTTTGGGTTATATATATACGCTTATAGCAACAAGAACGTCGCTAAAAACGTTGAGATATATCTGATTTTAACTATGACTAGCTGTAGCCCTTTAGTTTCACCTTGCAAACTCATTTTGTTTATTAATATAATCATGGACCTGTAATTAAGGTACATGTATATAACTGCATGAAAATATTAGGCCTAACACTAGGCCTAACAGATAATCAATAACAAACAAGCACTTACTGTTATATACTAAGCAGTGTTTTTCAATGCGTTTGACAGTTTATTCATAGTTACATGGAGGGTCGATGAGATACCTATTGATTGTATCCCAACACATTTGAATGTTCAATTTGAATTTTGAATTCTTGTAGTTCTAGAGGCTATACTCTAGGCCCTAGACACTAGGCTAGTCACACTCACAGTACTAGCTAGCTACAAGAACGTAGCTAAAAACGTTGAGATATACTGATGTGTTTGTTTTTAGCTACGATTGGATGCCTTTAGTTCCAAGTGGCAAACTCAATTTCTTTATTAATGCATGTAACATCTTTAAAATAGATAAGTTTATGATAATATGATTAATTAAACTTACAGAGGCCAATGTAGTGGCACAACTGTCACCTAACTCCAAATATTCGCGTTTAAATTAATGAAGCGTTGTTTTTGTCTGACATTTTACCGCCATCAAAATCCATTCATAGTTACTGTGCTTTCGATTGTCCTTTTGATTGGCTGTTATAAAAGCCTTATATTTAGCCCCGCCTTCATGATGACAGCGTATCGTTTAAAAAGATGGCGGTCTTATTAACGCCTCGATTTTAAAAACGACGATTTGTACCCGTTTCAGGTAGGATTATATGCTTAATTGTAGTTGGGTGTTGTAGAAATATTATAAATAACAATAATCAATCGTTGTTTTGATTAAAACTATTGTCAATTTTGTTTAAAAATGCCGGGTGTGAATCGCTCCCGGAGCTGCAACGTTATAGGTAATGGGCTCATGTCTTATCTCGAAACACGGAGGGTTGAGAGATTAAGGTTTGTTATCTAAGTACTAGCTAGCCTAGTAACATACATAAACTTTCAAGTGAAGTCACTGAAGCCTGCCTAGTCCTAGATTTCTTTAATAAAAAAAGGGGAAGTCCAGTGCTTACTTTTAGTACGGTCCGTTAACAAGAACCAATCTTGGAGTTTTTAGGATATACTTATTTTCTCATTTATGAAATCACCTTTATCATATTATATTCCGCACCACTGCAATTGTCAGGTCTGAGTCTAAACAATACCCAAAACAATCGGCCATCTTGAACTTTTTGTCCGGAATTGATCTCTACTAAAACGAACTACAATTGAAATCACTTTTATTTTATTTCAAAACAATAATCTTTGTTACAATATATAAATAATTCGTAATATTTATTTTTTTATTTTTTTGTATCTCAGGTGTATAGGCTAGTCTTTAATCGGAAGAATAAAGGTCGATAAAACAATACTATCCTATTTCTTTCCGCTTAAAATACTTAGTTTGATTTTTTTATTTCAGCTTTGAATTAGATTTCCAACATGGTGGGTATTTTAAGTTTTCTCCAAATAATTCAATATTATTTGGTGTTGTGTTGCATTAAAAAAATATATGTATCCCAGTTTTAGTAGATGAAAAGTGGATAGTTATTGCGTTCACAATTTTCATAATCGACTTCTAATTTCATGATATGTGAGTGTGAGCAATTTAATTTTTGTATGAAGATCTGTCTTTTTTATTGCAATTTGCAGAGTCATACTTAGATTCGTACATCAAACCACAGGAATCTGACATTCTAATCGTATATATATGCATACAGCATGCCGAACTAGATAATATAATAAAGAAAAGAACAGGAATGCAATGCCTGTTGAAGCCTCGATTTTACCTGCTCTCACTTCGGCTCGGTTTTTTTTTTTCTCAACAATTCGTAACGTCAAGCAATCAAACCCCTGTTGTGTCTGTCGATTCACTCACAGTCCACAGATAATAATCTTTTTTCTTCAATCTAGCCGTTTGATTTGCATAAATACTCCCCACAAAATGATATCATAGCCACTTGTTTCCAATATTTACATTATTTTCGTTCGTTGACGTTTGTCATTGAATCCATGCACTGACGTAACACAAAAAGACCTAACCAAAGTCTGAAGTCCCTATACTTCCGTCCTCAAAATCATGAATATTCACCTAAACCTGGCAGTAAATGTATATTTCAACCCTCTTCTTCGATTCTACACCCAAAAGTCAACAAAAATCGCCTTGCAAAAGGGGGAAAATGGAAAGGGAGAGAAAAACTAAAAATATCTTTGGCCCTTGTTGCTGCAATGGTCTAGTCACTGCGGATTGATTTTGTGTGACGTCAGCGCATGGATTCAATGACAGGCATTGCATTCCTGTTCTTTTTTTATTATATATTGTCTATTTTGGTATGGTCTATGCATATATACGGATAGAAGGTCAGATTCCTGTGATCTAACACTAGTAGAGACTTCTGGAGAAGTGAGGCTATTGCACTTTCGCAACTCTTAATCTTCTTGTTGTCGTAGAGACTTGAAATAACTAGTTAGATTTATATCTTTCTCTTTGACATGGCAGTAACACTGCATGCAAGAATAGAATGTCAAGTAGTTATATTGTCCTTTCGGTCATATTTTGCTCTAGTTTTTACAAGGTTTTTAAAAACATTTGATGACTTGCTAGGCTTGCAATCTTCTAAATTAGGATTTCTGTCTAGATTATAATGTTTCATATAAAAAATATTCTTACAAATACAGTACACATAATCCAAGGCCTGTCAATCAGCAGGCTGGTTTAGTAAGTATTTTAGTTTTAGAAATTAGAATGCGTGAAAACTTGGTAGCGTGATATTTTGGTCCCGCACAAACAACAGTTTAGATTCAGTCTGATGACTTTTCGGACATAGTTTGACGACTTTTTGGAATTACGTGGTTGTTTGGACTTCATAATAACATAAGTTAATGATAATAACTATGAATGATGAATAAATAAAACATTGTTGAAAATTTGTGTATATACTTCAAGTTCATAAAAGTATGCAATACCAAGGTTGTGGCGGTCAGAATTATCTGATTTTAATGAAACTTAAAGATGGGTTCCCGCATACAAACTGGGTGATTTAATGGTATATGGACTAAAATTAAAAACATATTCAAACAAATTAATTTGTCATAACTTTGCTGTAGTTTTTACAAGGTTTTTAAAAACATTTGATGACTTGCTAGGCTTGCAATCTTCTAAATTAGGATTTCTGTCTAGATTATAATGTTTCATATAAAAAATATTCTTACAAATACAGTACACATAATCCAAGGCCTGTCATTCAGCAGGCTGGTTTAGTAAGTATTTTAGTTTTAGAAATTAGAATGCGTGAAAACTTGGTAGCGTGATACTTTGGTCCCGCACAAACAACAGTTTAGATTCAGTCTGATGACTTTTCGTACATAGTTTGACGACTTTTTGGAATTACGTGGTTGTTTGGACTTCATAATAACATAAGTTAATGATAATAACGATGAATGATGAATAAATAAAACATTGTTGAAAATTTGTGTATATACTTCATAAAAGTATGTAATACCAAGGTTGTGGCGGTCAGAATTATCTGATTTTAATGAAACTTAAAGATGGGTTCCCGCATACAAACTGGGTGATTTAATGGTATATGGACTAAAATTAAAAACATATTCAAACAAATTAATTTGTCATAACTTTGCTTCAAATCCTTCTCAAACATTGTAATTGCGAAGGAATGTCCTGCTATAAAATTGGATCAAACCAGGTCATGTTTACGTCACGTGACTTACCTCTCTTGGAAGTCAGAGGAGAATTCATTGCATACATAAGACGATGTTGTCTTTTATCGCTTACTATTTATTACAAATATCGAATCCTAATTAAATTCTTGGATTATCCACTATCCGCGTCTTTTTCCTCCATTTTTATCTCAGCAAGTGTTGTACGTCTAACTCTTCATAAAGATTATCAATTTGTACATCAAGTGCTCAATGTTCGCGTGTGACCTTTGACATCACACGTGCAGAAATTCCTAATCATCGGGCTGTTGATTAGGGGAACCCTTACATTTTTGTCCTGTATACGCTCCATGAGTGTTTTTCGGGGAATCCAGTATTTTTCTAGTAGGATTGGATATCTCCATATATAGTCCATGTGACAGACCTGGGATTTTGGAACATCATTACCAATTCGATGAATAAATTCAACCATGATTTTCAGTTAGCCTGGTGGCTGAAGTGTTGAAATTTGGTTGATGGACTTCCGGGTTACTTTGCTAAATTGCATTTTGGCGGCCATCTTTAAAGATGGCCGCCGTTATTTCATTGAAATTGAGCGCATCGGGGAAACCTTCATAACTCCTGAAAAGATCGACCTATGGATATGGAATGTGGCTCACAATGTTCACAAGAAAATGCTTCCTCTGGTGCTATATGATACTTGTTGTTGAATGAATCATATATTTTCCAAATCAACAGATTATTCTGGAAAAAGCAACCTTTTGGCATTTTTATTTTCCCAGGTTTTCATGATTTAATTTATAAGTTTACTACCAAATCCTGTTCAGAGTAATTTTAGCCAAATTATGTGTGTGGTCTTCTTAAGTTATTCGATTAGCATAAATAAATACGCCCAGTGGTCCTCCCTATACAGCTGCGGTGGCCGCAAACTCAACAAAAGTCATAAGTAGACTGTCAAATTTAAAATGTTGAACGTCGGCCAGGCAGGGCACAAACTTAGTGAACTTTTAGCTAGTGTGTCACAATCGAAACGATATTTGGGGACGGGTTGTTTCTGTGTCAAAATTTGTCCCTAAAGACAATTTTGAGATTATGTCACTTCTGTGACGTCATTTTCGGTTGGGGTTCTGTCCGATGTCCAAAATGACCGCAAGGGAGCTAAAGATGATCCGAACAATTATAGACCAATCTCAATTCTCCCCACAATTTCAAAGATATTCGAAAGGCACTTGAGCACTCAAATTCAAACTTATTTGGAAACCTTCAATGTTCTTTATGCTTACCAAACTGGAATTAGATCAAATCATTCATGTGCTACTGCACCGATCCGAATGACAGATAATTGGCTTGATGCTATCGATAATGGTGCGATGAGTGGTATAGTGTATCTTGATTTTAGCAAAGCATTTGATCTCATTGATCATAAGCTTATTATTGAAAAACTACATCTTTATCGATTTGATAATAATTCACAAATTTTGATTGAATCATATCTTGACTCACGGAAGCAAAAAGTATGTTTAGGATCAATTACCTCCTCAATTACTACAGTCAAATGCGGGGTTCCACAAGGGTCGATCGTGGGTCCTCTCCTATTCCTTATTTTTATAAATGATTTCCCACTCAATATTGAATCAAGTCAGATAGATTTGTTTGCTGATGACAGTACCCTGCATTGTTCACACAAAGATATTTAATCCATCGCCAATAATCTCCAAAATTATCTCTATTTGGTTGCTAAATGGTGTGAAAACAATGGGATGGTAATCAATCCTTCGAAAACAAAATCAATGCTGATTTCATCAAAACACAAAAGAAATCAGAAAAACCTAACTTTATCACTCCATGGTGAGAAAATTGAGACGGTTACTACCGCAAAATTACTTGGAATTCAAATTGACCAAGACCTTAATTGGGAAGCACAGATAGCAGATATGTCTAAAAAACTTGCATCAAAAATATTTCTCCTAAATAAGATAAAAGATCATTTACCTTACGAGACAGGAATTTTGTTTTATAACAGTTACATACTACCAATATTTGATTATTGCTCTATTATTTGGGGAAATGCTACCAAAAGTAGATTAGACATTCTTTTAAAATTACAAAAGAGGGCAGCAAGAACTATTCTTGATGCACCGATTGAAACTCCGTCCACCTCTTTATTTACTAAACTCGGTTGGCTTACCCTTACACAGAGGATTCTTTACAATAAAATTGTCTTAGCATTCAAAATTATTACATTTAATATTCCACTTTATCTAAATTTCTATTTTATTGAAAAATCTCTTGTTTCCAAAACGGATATCTTGCTCCGTTCACAGACCAGTAAATCTCTTTTTCTTCAAAATTGCAAAACGGAATCCATGAAACGTACTTTTCATTATTCTGCATGTCTTTTATGGAACAATCTGCCTTTTGATATAAAGATGTGTAAAAATGTTGAAAATTTTAAGATTAAACTGAAAAGTCATTTATTTTGCACACTGAAGGAACCATAATATTCAACTGATGACATACTTATTATTTTTAACTTGCAACTGCATTCTATTTTATTTTGTGTGTAATTATAGTGTTCTTCCTATTTTCTACTTGTATAATGTATATGTTTTGAAGTTTGGGAGTGACTTATCAAACTTCCCACTTTAAAATGCTATTGCATTTCTAATGATTTTAAATTTATCCTGATATTACATGTATATATGTCTTTGTAGCTTAGGAGGGACCTATGGAAGATTAGTTTTTTTGCAAACTAAATACGTTGCCTCATTAAATAAAGTTATTATTATTATTATTATTATAGTATCATGCAAGGTAGGGCTTGTGATATATCATGTATAGGGTTTTCGTAGCCACTGAATTTAAAATTGAATTATTTATTGGAATTTTCGATGAAACGGAAAGGTTTGTTCCGCACAGGTATTAGCTTAGAAGGGACAAATACAATTTGTAGAACCAGATATTTGATGTTAGTGAACCCATTTTTTCTAGGACACCGGTTTCACACAAAATCTTATTTTTTATCCAGATGAACCTTCAGTATAATAATCTATATGCATACAAAGTTTATGAAAATACACATTCAAGCAGCATTTAATATGGTCTACCACCTGTAGGACACTCCCTTCAATTTAAAAATAAATTGTTTATTGGAATTTTCGATTAAACGTAAACTTTCTGTAAAATGTAAAATACTCGACTAATATACCAGTTGTAACATGTTTAACATCATATCTTTCCACGCGAATTAACAATAAATTGTTCATTCGATAAAACGGAAACATTTTTTATACTTGTAAAATAAATACCTATTGTGTATATGATACGTTGAAGTCTACCATGTAATACGGAAATTTGCAACACGTTTATAAGCACCATATCTTTCTACATGAACTAACAATAAATTGTCCATTGGATAAAAAGGAGACATTTTTTTTATATATATAACTGTAAAATAATATATGAATTATCGTTTTAACATCATATCTTTTGCCTCCCTTTTCAGGGATGGACACTCAAAAGGAGTATGGTAGTTTCGGGGGTCCCTAAACTAGTCAATGTTCTCGCGTAGTTATGAATTTATGTCGTTTTTGATGAATTATTAAGATATATGCATAAGCTAAAAACACCAGGATATACTCTAGAAAGTACCATTTAAATTACAGTCAGTTTTTTCAAAAGAAATTTCGAGTCTGGTTGTAGAGAACCCTGTCGTTCACCTCACGGAGAAAGATAAGCCTGTCCTATCCTAGGTATCATATGTGTAATTTTATGTCAACTTCACAATTGTTAGTATAAATATAACATTTACTTGACAATTATCACAATTTTCATCTGGCCTTAAAACATTTTAATTGGATTTGTGTTCCTGGTGTTATAAGCTTTCCAAATATGTATAGTTTGTTTAATAGGGAGGACCTTGTAGCGGAACTGTGTTTCTAAGCAAGCTAAAAATTTTGGTTGCAGGCCTACTAGACTATGCGACAAAAGTTGCCGGGCATAGAGGCGTTAATGTAAAAACGGACCACATTATTATTTCTGAACGAATAAGAGATCTTAAATTCTTAACAACTGGATATATCATAAATAATTCTCAATACGGCTTAAAATGGTGCAAAGGCATAGTAGATGAAATTAAAATGACTCACTATTTTGGTGAAATGTCTTGTGATCTGTGAGATCCAAAATAATCAATTCCATATTATGCCCCATTGTATTGTTTATGGGGGGGGGGGTCGCATAGGATGTGTCATTTTTAGCAGTATCATTAACATCATTTTCAGCATTATTTTTGAGTTTTTATTCATGTTCAGTGACTCTGAAAACCTTATAAAAGAGACATTATAAGCTATATAAAACAGTCATTCATGTTATGGAAATTCTGACCGCCATTTTGAATTTTCCCCATCTTGGATTTTTAAAACTCTTTGTTTAGATTAAACAAACATTGTGCAAGAGCTAAATCTGCCTATTGCAGGTCTTTCTTTAGGCCTGAAATGTTTTTTAAATTATTATTTAGACATTAATTAACTGACCCAGGCCATAATCAACTCTCGATGGCATCGGATTTCTCCGATATTAAATAAATTAGAACGTATCAGTCATAATTTGATTTAATCTAAAAATGGAGGAGCGAGACTTAGCTTCGAGCAACCAGTACAGTTGTTGAAATTATTGCACGTGTCTTGTCAAACCTTCAAAGGCTAATATCTTCGCTTGCAATAGAGTAATTTGAATGAAATTGTCAAATTATTCATTTTACATTATCTATTTTCGAACTATTGTAGCAAGAATGGCTAGCTCTTTATCTAAATCTTACGTAATGAATCTTTAATTGTAAGCTCATTGGATAGTACATGTCATATCAAACAATGAAATGACTATTATCTGACATATTGGCCATTTTAGGAAATTTTGTCGCCATTTTGAATTTCCGCCATCTTGGATCTGGGACACTCATATTTGAGATTATTTTTTATGATCAATGTTTCTGATATCTATTCAATCACTTAAGTTGACCAAACAGATAATTTGGCTTTTATGGGTCTGAACACGATTTGTTAGTAAACATACGAACAGACATGAAAAAAAAAATCGAAAATGTTGCTTTTTTCAGATTAATCTTTTATTTTAAAACTGATAGTATTGATTAAACAACATATATCATATACCAGCAGATGCAGAATTATATTATGAACATTTTGAGATATATTACATATCCATATAGGTGAAACTGTTGAGGAGTTATGAAGGCTTTCCCAACTCGCACTATTTCAAATAAGAAAAAAAATGGCGGCCATGTTTTTAAAGATGGCCACCAAACTGACATTTGGCAAAGTGACCCGGAAGTCCATCAACCAATTTTGGACACTTCAGACCTAAGGCTAACTGAAAATCATAGTTAAACCAATTCATCAAATTGGTAATGAATATCTGCCTGTCACATGGACTAATATACCAAAATTACCATACTTTTATTTGAAATAATCACCCGATAAATACTTTTCTGGGAACTCATCTTTAAAATATATGTTTATATCTCTTGTCATATTTCATGGAACCTAAACTGACACCTGTGGTAAATTTGTTATATTTCAGGCAAGAAGATATGATTCAAGAACAACAATTTTTTCCCCTGAAGGTCTGTATTTATTCAACTAGATAAGTAATTAAGTATACTGTGCCTGCTTGCATAATATTTTACACAGATTCTTTTTGTCCATGGCCTTTCAAAGAAAGCAGGGGACTATTAAAATGGGTTCATCTGTCTGTCTGTCCGTCCATCACACTTTTTGGGACACAATAACTCTCTTTCTAATTGAGCTAGAATATTCAAAACTTGGTGTAGGTGTTTATTAGGCCAATACCTTGATGGAGTTCAAAGATGAGCATTTTCTGCCTAGGGTAAGCAGAGATAAGCAATTTGATTGGTTGATGCTTAGGGACATAATTACTTTAGTTTTAATTAAGTGAGATTGGGGACACTTGGTGTATAGTTTTATCACATAATACCTTGAGTAAGTTCCATAAATAAGCATTTTCTGCTTATGGGTAAGCAGAGCAATAAGCAATTTGATTGGTCGAGACTTTGGAATACAACTCTCCTTCTAATTGAGGTAGAATGTTCATACTTGGTGTAGGCATTCATTAGGTGAATGCCTTGATGGAGTTAGATGATAAACATTGTCTGCTTACGGTAAGCAGAGATAAGCAATCTGATTGGTTGATGCTTTGGGGCACGATAACTTTGGTTTTAATTAAGTATAAGTGATGAAACTCTGAGTATAGATTTACTATATCATTACCTTGACTAAGTTTGTTGATAAGAATTTTCTGCTAAGGCTAAGGATCGATAAACAATTTGATTGGTCAAGACTTTGGAACATAACAACTCTGCTTTTGATTGAGGTAGAATGTTTAAACTTGATGTAGATGTTCTTTAGGTGAATATCTTGACTGAGTTCAATGATTAACATTTCGAGCTAAAACTAAGCAGAGCTAAGCAATTTCATTGGTGGATGCTTTAGGACAAGGTAAAACTTTGATTCTATCTGATGAAACTTAGTGTATAGGTGATAATTTGTTTGATTGCTTGATACTTTTGAAAAAAATAAATGTGCGATTAATGAATATATGTCATCTATTTATTTTGGGATTTCGGTGGGGGACATCAGCCTCACTTTTGGCTTGTTTTATTTCTTTCCGTGTCATTTTAATTCACAGACAGGCTTCTCAGGCACCTTGCACAAGTAGCAAAGTTAAAGATGCATTATGTAAGATGTAGATAAAGAGCTGTATTCAAAAATGGATAATGCAAGATGAATGTATTGAAAATTTCATTCAAATTGCTGTATTCTGAACGAAGTTATCATTGTTTGGAATTTTGACAATACGTGGCATAGATTGTTTATTACTTGTTGTTCCAAGACTTAGCCTCACCCCTCTATATTTAAAATAAATCATTTAATGGCCACAGCTTTCTATTCTACTTACAATCAGAACCATCCAATGGCCCAGAAAGTTGTTTATGGGCTTGTCAAGTTAATAAATGTTTTAAAAATAGTTTATATTTTATATAACATTTGCAGCCAAAATAAAGTCTGCAATAGGCAGATTTAGCTCTTGCGTAATGCATCAAACCACAGTAAAATCGCCCCAAGCTTTAACAGTCAAAATGTAATGGAAAGATAACTGTACAAAACATGTTGGAAATTTACAATAACAAAATTTAAAGTTTTGAAAAATTCTGTTGAATACATTGTGAGGTATTGTGTTCACAATATTTTATAAATTGGAATGTAAATAAGAGAATAATTCTGTTATTTGTGCTAGAAAAATTCAGAATTTGGATGGTTCTGCATAGGCCAAATGAACTACATGTAACTCTGTATTTATAAAACATTTCATTGAGAGCTTTGTCCTGAATCCTGTTCTCAAGTTTTGAAAATAAAAATATGGTCAAAAACGTAACTCGGAAAACACATTTGAATTTTACTATCCCACATGGTTCTTTCTTATGCCTTAATAAATAATCCCAAAAAGTTTTTAAAACAATTCTATCAAGAAACCTTGAGCACCTGTATCAAGATTTCATGGATTTTGAACCTACAATATGAAATCGATAAACTTCTGAATTTGAATAGGGGTCTTCCTTTTGACACACAATCCTTATAGAAACCTTACCTGTAGTTTTCACAATAAAAATCCTAACCAAATTTTAATGCACAAACACATTAATGTAATGTCAAATTGTTACTATTCATTGATTATACAGGGCGTCTTTACCAAGTGGAATATGCAATGGAAGCCATTGGTCATGCTGGTACCTGCCTTGGTATTTTAGCCAAAGATGGGGTTCTCTTAGCAGCAGAGAGAAGAAACACCAATAAACTTCTTGATGAAGTCTCATTTTCAGAAAAAATATACAAATTATATGAGTAAGTATTAATTTTAAAAACTATTTTCTTACAATTTGTATTCAAATCAACATTGTTTTAGACTATGTACTGAGTGATAGATGCTAACCCCCCAAATTCTTTGCATAAAGAAATTATTGATACCCAAAAGGCATCTGTTGTTCATACTTCATACATATTGATATATTTATTTAGTTCCTGTAAATTTGAGTTGAATTGCTGTTAATTAATGACTTAATAATAAAAAGCACATGAACTGGACTTCTGTAAGTGATCACATGCAAACCATATATTGTCCAATTTGGATACAATCTGATTAAAATACAGATCTATATCTTGTTTCGTTTTTTTTATACTTTCGATGGCCTACACTACATGAAGATCTGTCGGTTGTAGCGATAGGTCGCATCAGAGGTCATACGAGCGGCTTTTGATCTTAGGACGTCAGACATTTGATTAACTAATCAGCATTGATGTTACATGTACATGTACTAGTGGATTACCCACAGTTTCATGCAAAACATGTCTAAAACTTGCCGTAACAGACTCGTTTCATTGGCTAATCCTTCATATCATTCAGAACTCGTCAATGATAACAACACTTCCAGATCCTCCTAGTGTAGTAAAGACAAGTAAAACGAAATTTTGAACTATAAAAACGAAACGAAATAGGATCTGTGTTTTAATCAGTTTGATTTGGATAATTAGTAGTAGAAACTCATTGATTTTTCGAAAAACAGCAATTATCATGAAAACTATTATCGTGGTCTAGAGTTTGTGTTTCGATCCCTGGTGTGAGCATAGATGGCTTGGAGATAGGAGCACTTTCTCAACCTAGTGGGTTTACACGTGCACGTGCACAAAGCACAATAAAAAAATAAGACAACTTGTCTGTGATATCACCATCAGTGGAAGCAGACATTAAAAACTAATAGGAGAAGAACTTATTAATGCACATGCAAAAAGCATATCCTTGGCTATCAATTCAGAGTCAATTATACGTACAGCTACAATCGATTCACACATAAATCATTAACAGTTTTTAACAAATGTAGCCAATTGGGAAAATCCTATACATGGGTTTGAAAATTTGGCTACTTTCACACTTCACAGTCTAATTTAAATTATACAAACATTTTTAAGTACAGGTTACCTTGATCTAAGGACAATTGTTTATGACAGTAATTGCCTATTGCAAAGCTTTGAATTTGATTATCAAGACTTTTGATCTGCTGTATAACCAAAGTTGAAGATATTATTATGCTTTCATCACAGGCCTAAAACATGCTTTCCTTTAACATGTCTTCTTTTAATGACCAATCAAATAATCGGAATTGAATTGCTCTTTTCAATGACACTTTTATTACTTTTAAGTAAGATAGTACTGTCTTGAAGAAAAGACTATACATGTGCCTACTCAATGTGTATTTGAGATTCATAAATATTTGTAATAATAGTCTTTCAAATTTTACTTGGCTTAACCCAGGGTTAGAAATTTGTTGGTTTTTTTATGAGAATCTAAGAGGATCCTCTGAATCTTAATTAATAATACTGTCTAAAAAACAAAATTGTGTTTATTGTGTTAATCTAAAAAACCATAATGTAACAATGTCAACATCCGAAAAATTAAATTGATAACTGCACAAAGTATTATAATAAAGGAATATAGTTTACATGTATGTCCGCACCAATGAAAGTGAAAAAAAAAAGAGCAAGTGACAGACCTTGACAGTGACAGAATATAATTGGAATGACCCAATATAACCCCATTATATTGATGGGAAACCAGCGGAATCAAATCGCTCGAAAAGATAAAATGGAACCCAAAATTATTTCGTTTCATGTTTGGCCTGCTACAGCAGTTTTTTTAAAATATTATTTTAAGAGGGTTTAAAATAAATGCTCTACTTCTACATGACGCTGTTTTGTGATCGGGGAATTTTTCACACAATTCATTACATAACATAAACACAAAAGCAAAAGACAATAGCCGGCCAGAAACTCGACAAAATTATAAGTGAGGTAAACAGTAAAACAAATATTTTATTTTCTTATACATGTAGTATTCTATAAAGTACCGGTAGGTCATACAAATTTGATTCTAAACACCCTGACTGACATTCAATAGTCGGATTCAATAATTCTCAGAGATTATTTTTTTCTATAAAAATTTTACGCAAATCCTTGTAGATTTGCAGCGTAAGCTCTTGCGAGAATCCTTTTGCCAATTAGATTTTCAGAGATTCGCGTGAATTTATAGCCCTGTAACCTGCAGTTAGAAATACTGAAAGCTCTTATTACCCTTTGGACGAAAATTTTATTAACAAAATTTTTAAAGTGTTAAGTAAGTATCATCATATTCTTACAATATCTATTTTTTGCATTTTGTAGTGATATGGCTTGTAGTGTAGCAGGAATTACAGCTGATGCTAATGTGTTGACCAATGATCTAAGACTTATAGCTCAACGGTAAACTTACATATATACAAAATATTTGAGGAGTGACTTCTATGTTTGTTTCCAACTATGATCTTTATACTCTGCATTTGTAATTCAGTTTAATGTGATTGGTGGACAGATTCTAAAATTTACACCTTTACATAGTAATGTATTTGTGTGATCTTTGGGATGGCTGACAGAGTGACAGTCCTCACATCTACTCACTCTTAAAGCAGTTATGATACATCATGTATCATGATATTTTGCTCCTCGATACCAGATACAAAAGTATTCTTTCACAGTCTGCAGGGTTTATTCTAGGTGTTCTTTTGATACAGTAAACAGGTGATCAAATTCAAAAATAAACATGCTTAGATTTGTGATTAAATTGATTAGGTTTAAGTATTCACCATATTGCAGGAAATGGATTGTCACAAATAGTTTTAACCTCAGACCCCACTCCCAGAAAAATATCCATGCGATTGATTACACTTTTAACAATTATAGTAGAGATACAACCCCTCACAATAGTAGCTATAAATTATATGAAGTGACTTTTTCATCAAAGATAATCAGAGCAAATTTAATGTTTTCATCTCCAAGAAAGTGTCACAGCTTACATGCCATTTCTGAAGCTTCCTTACACATGTAAATAATATAAAAAGAAAACACAGTCATAATATGATTGCAGTCCAATATATCCAGTATTACTTTGCTGCTTGTAGGCAGTGGTGGTCCCAGAGTTATGCCAAAGTTTCCTCCTCCTACCTTATTGTAGGAAACCAGGCATTTACCAATCAATCGTTCTTGACCAAATCCTTAAATAAAGTTACAAACTTACAGGTATGTCTGTGATATTTATACAACATTTCAAACTGGCAAATACATGTAGCTATTTTTTTTTTCAATATCTTTTATTTTTATTTTATATAAGGTATACTTTACAATATCAAGAACCAATACCATGTGAACAACTTGTCAGTTCTCTTTGTGATATCAAACAAGTCTACACACAATTTGGAGGTACTGTTGATACATCATTTATGAGTACCATATGTTTTGATTGTTGATGAGTAATTACTTCTGTTGCATCTCATTTTATTTGTACTCCCACATATATTGTTTTCATTTTAAAATTTAAGAGATGGATAAGGACACCGTAGAACCATTGTCTTTCAATCTGACTGTCCACATAGCTAAGTTTGATTGCTTGATACTTTATAAAAAGATAATGTGCAAATAATTAATAAGTGTCATCTATTCATTTTTGGATGAGGGTGAGAGTGTTCAAGTGGTTATGAGACAACATACTACGGTCAATGTTTTCAAAACATTCATACAGTTGTTGGTGGGTGTGTCTTTCATTGGCTGGAGAGCTATCTTAAGTGGGGTGGACAACTTTACAACCAATGGAGCTATTGGGTACGGCTCAAAGAAGACCCTAAAATAAATAGTTTGTGACAGACATTTGCTTATAATTCAGGCAGTCCTGCATTTATTTATATCCTCTGAAAAACTTTAACCCACTAAGTGACTAACTTAATTAATATTTCCCAGATTAAAAGAAGCTTATTGCACTGAATTCTATGGATGTGGCTTATTTCTAGGTAAAAGGCCATTTGGTGTGTCATTATTATATATGGGATGGGATCGACATTATGGTTTTCAATTATATCAAAGTGATCCAAGTGGTAACTATGGTGGATGGAAAGCAACATGTATTGGTAACAATAGCGCTGTAAGTATAACTACTCACAGGCATGATCAAGTTCCTTGCTTTTAACTCAATCCTGTTAAATTAGACAATTATTTCATTGGAAGTGGTTATGACTATGAGGTGTTTCATTGTATCAGTGGATAAATGCAAAGAAACACTTCATTCCATTTGGCTACAATATGAGTTCTTATCTTTTAAATTATACAGTACAATCCCATTTTACATGCAAAATATTCTGTGCATGATTTGCCATTCTTCAGCCAGGATGTAGAAGTGAACTAAATCAATCAAAATTTATTTCATTGCTTTATATTTCACCTTAGATGTATGTAGAAACCTTTTAACACAGTGGAAACCTCATTTATCTATGTAGTATGTATTCCAGTCCGTAGGGAGACAATAAGTTGCCCTTTGGGTTGTTGCCCTTTAACTTTAAACAATATCTTCCTGAAACCAATATTGAAAGTACCGTATTATTACTCATCATATTATGGTCTGGGAGCCAAGTGAGATTTAATCAAAATATTGATTTTGGAAAGGCAAGTCTAAAGTTTTGTAACATGTGCATATATCTTGGAGCGCTCCCTCTAACCCTTCCAAATTTAACTGACGTTAAAATTCAATGTCCAGCCACAATTTCCTTGCAGACTTTTCATACTTAACATTAAGAATGCATGACTTAAGAGCATAAAATGTTGTTCTAATACTACCTAAGAGCTTAATTAATTAGCCCTAATTAGTGACCATAGTTAAAATTTAGAGTCCATAACTGAAACAAAGCCTAAAAGCTAGCTAACCAAGTCAGGAAACCAAAAATATTACTTAAGAGCAATAAAAGTTGAACAAACCTTGCATAAGACTGGTTCAAAGGTGTCAAAGGTCTGTCACTAATTAGTTCAAAGGTGACAAAGGTCAATTTTTGGGTCACATAAAAATGACATTTGCGCGGATTTGATCAAATTGTCTTGTCCAGGATTATTTTTCTTTCTAACACCATTTCTATGAGTTTCACTCCACACAATGACTGCTTAAGAGCATAAAATGCTGTACTAATGCTGCTTAAGAGCTAATTAATTAGCACTAATTTGTAACTGTAGCTAAAAGGTCAAAGGTCACCGTAATTAAAATTGAAGAGTCCATAGCTGAAACAAAGCATTAAAGCTACATGTAGCTCAACAAGTCAGGAAGCCAAAAATATCACTTAAAAGCAACAAAAGTTAAACAAATTTGGCTTAAGAATTTGGGCATCATTATGACCAATCAACCAATCAAATTGCTTATCTCTGCTTGCCCTAAAGAGACTACGAAGACCTATGCATTCAGCTAATGCTACACAAGTGTTAATTAATTAGCACCAATTAGTGACTAATTAAACTTTATATTCCATAACTAAAAAAATGAAAATTAAATGAAATGAAATAAAATGGGGTTTAACGTCCTATTATTCTGCTCCTAAACTGGGCTAATGAAGACGGGCATATGCCATACAGTGTGCTATGAACTGAAACAAGGCCTAAAAGCTAACCAAGTCAGGAAACCAAAAATATCACTTAAGAGCGATGAAAGTTGAACAAACTTTCCTTAAGACTGGTTCAAAGGCGGCAAAGGTCAAATTTTGGGCAACATGTCTAATCAACCAATGAATTGCTTATCTCTGCTGATCCTAAACATAAAATGCTCATCATCGAACTCCATCAAGGCATTCATCTAATAAACACCCACACCAAGTCTATTGTGTCCCAAAAGGCTTGACGAACAGACAGACGGACAGGCATATTTTAATAGTCCCCTGCTTTCTTCTAAAGTCGGGTGACAATAATGTTGATGTCAGCAATAATTATGCAAGGAATTGTAAAAATGAAGGAGACTAAACTTCCTTTTAGGCATTATTGGATTTAAAGGAGTAATTCCAGATACAGTTCAGTGAGTGAACTTGTTAAAGGGTGTGGGTATTGCTTTATACAGTTATGCATTGTACATCTCTTTAATAACTTTACGTATGTTAAGCTGCACGTGAGACATTGCACTGTGGGGGAATACCAGGGAAGACAGTGTTCGTCGTCTGTCGCCTTTTGTTGGCCTTTGTCGTATATATGTGTGTCATGAACTGTTGATAACTGTTAATCTGTTTGTCAGATGTTTGACATTATTATAATATGCCTTCTCATTTGATGACAATTGGTGGCAGAGGAAAAAATGGTGCAGTTGATAGTGATGTGATTACCGTACATCCCTGTGTAAACTGTTCCATATCATTCATGTATTTTTGTGACCTGTTTGTCGACTGGTGTGGTTTCGAATCCCCGGTTGTACGTGACAAGGAGTAGGGTCGCCTGTCCAACCTCGTGGGTTTTCTCCGGGTCCTCCGGTTTCCTCCCACTGCTAAAGACCCCTATGCGCAAGCGAATTGTTGAAATAAAATTAAACCATACGTTAGTCGCAAAATGACCTAGTTTGTGTCGAGTGGACGTTAAACCCCATTTCTCTCTCTCTCTCTTGTGACCTGTTTGTGATCTCTATTATCATGGTGTGTGGTAGTACTATGAAGATGCCAATGTTTGACCCAAAGGTGATGTCTTTTTATCAGTATATCAGAATTTTGATTGGACTGCTGATCAGAAAATGAGAAATTTTGTTATGATTTACCTGCATCGAATAAGCGGTCTTATTCTGTTATGAAGAATAAATTGATTAAAGAAATTGACAGAACTGATGAACGATGTCAGTCCGTAGCTTCATATTTTTATAAGTTGGTACAACGTTCTACAGAATCCATTGATGATTTCGCTCATTGCTTAAAGAGAAAATGTGATGAAGCCTATTCAAGTTTCTCTAAAGCTAACAGATCAGAGTTATGTGCTTAACGCTTTTCTGAAGGGCTACACAGTTCGCATGTCAAGGAACAATTAAACATAGTGATTTGTCAAAAGCCAAAAATTCCTCATTTTGAATATTTAGTTGATATAGCTCGACGTCTGACAGATAGTAATAGTCTTCGTTCTGCAGATAAACAAGAGTCAGTTTTTCGTATTGTCCGGTGTCATTATTGTAAGAAATTAGGACATACCGTTAATCGTTGTCATAAACGTAAAGAAGAAAATTCAAAACTAAAGCTAATAAATAAGATTGGGTTAAGACAGTCAAGTGTTATAACTGTTCACAACGAGGACATTTATCGAAAACATGCCCTCAAGGCCATTACAAATCGAACCATAATAAAATTTGTGGTGTAAGTGGTTTTGAATCAAAGAAGTTGAAATCGGTAAACTTTCCACTCAAGCGATTGTTGACTTTGGTGCATCTGTGTCATGTATCTGTGCCATTACTTAATTCATCATTTCCGCATGGTTTTGACTTAGAAAAGTGTACATCCAAGTTAACTATCTTAGGTTTTGTGAATACCTTTATACGTCTAGATTGTCATACCATACCATGTTGTTCACATGTATTAGATACACCATGTGATAATTTTCTAATTGGTTGGGACATAATGAGTTAATTTGATAAATTTACAATAACACCCTCTAACAATGATTTTAAATTTGGTAGTTTATTGGTGCAAGATTCTGACTCAATTTCAAATGTTCGTATTGTGAATACTACTATTAATCCTCCACGATCACAGATGATATTAAGAGTTCGTCTCAATGCTGATAGTTTGTCAACAAGTAATACTGTGTTTCTTGAGCGGTCTGATATTTTTGAGGAAAAAACTGGCTTATTAGTTGGTCGTAGTGTGTCTATGAAGGAAAATCCAAGTGTTTTGATTATGAATCCTGAGTATATTAGTAAAACTGTTTATAGTTCACAACAAGTTGGTATTGCTACAGATTTTAAAGACATTGGTAATGTTATTGACACTGATAAATCTGTTCAAAATCTTAACACTAATGATAATATTTGAAACATTGGTTCTATATAGGTGATGAAACCAAAACTAAACTGTTAAAACTGCTATACAGTTATAAATCAGATGTGTTTTCTGGTTTAGGCTGTGCTAAAAACTTTGAATATAATCTTTGCTTGAAAAGTAATGCTGATTTATCCAAAGTCAAGTTTCATAGACTTTGCTTTCATCACAATTTTATCAAATCCACTCAAACCTTATTATGTGACCCAAAATTTGACCTTGGACACAGGAGCCAGTCTTAAGCAAGGTCTGTTCAACTTTTGTCACTTTTAAGTGATATTTTTGATTTCATGACTTGGTTAGCTAGCTTTTAGGTTTTTTTTCAGTTATGGACTCTAAATTTTAATTTTAATTAGCTCTTATGTAACATTAGTACAGCATTTAAGCAGTCATTGTGTGGAGTGAAACTCATAGATAGAAATGGTGTTAGAAAGAAAAATAATCCCCCACAAGACAATTTAATTAAATCCACTCAAACCTCATCATGTGACCCAAAATTTGACCTTTGAGCAAGGTTTGTTCAACTTTTGTCGCTTTTAAGTAATATTTTTGATTTCTTGACTTAGCTAGCTACATGTAGTTATGGACTCTTAAATTTTAATTATGGTCACTAATTAGTGCTAATTAATTAAGCTCTTAAGTAGTATTAGAACAACATTTTATGCTCTAAGTCATGCATTCTGTTTCTTAGTGTTAAGTATGAGACGATTTTCAAGAAAATTGTGGATGGACATTAAATTTTAACTCTTAATAAATTTGGGAGGGTCAGGGGAGCACTCCCAGGTATATGCACAGGTTACAAAACTTAAGACTTGTCAGATCTAGGGGTTAAATATGTGTTGTAGACCTCAAACCTTTTGGACTCAATATTTTGATTAAATCTCACTGCACTGGGTTCCCGGGTTAATGTTACTATGTCCAATCTGTGAATAATATCAAAACTGACACAGTTATATGGGACAACAATCATTGGTTTGTGAATAATATATTTTATAGAATGCTGTATCTATGTTAAAACAAGAATACAAAGAAGGAGAAACTTCTCTACAAGAAGCATTGGCACTTGCTGTCAAAGTATTAAGCAAAACATTAGATATGACAAAATTGACCCCTGACAAAGGTTAGTATATTTCAAATGGGTTAAATATGAGTCGATATCTCGAGACAATAGATGTAAAACCTGTCATTTCTTCTCGTTATTCATAAATTTGCTTACTAAATGCTACTTGGATTTCATTGAATTATCTGTATAGCAGATTTTTATTGGTAGATGCATTACTAGATGTGCAGTATAAAATAATGTTTTTAGACCATAGTGCGGTGAAGTAAACAAACTATAAATAAAAGAAATGTTTATATCATTTGAGTGTAGGCATATTGGGTTGTCAACTTGTCTGTATAGTCATGAAACATTGACTTGTTAATGAAATAGAGGCTACAATTTTATAGCTGGATGATGAACCTTATTGATCTCAAATTTGGTGAGAAGCTTTTTGAATGAAGCTCCTATTATCAGCATTATGGGACTTTCTGTTCCAGAGATATATTTATTATGTGTCCTTGAAAGCATAAAGAATTCTTATCATACTTGGTCAACATCCATAATTACTGTGTTGGCGTATTTCCAAGCTTGGCATGGCTATCTTAATTAACGTTAGACTGCTTGGATTTGTGCAAAATATACTATTCAAAAAAAGTAGGGGATATTTGATTTTGGGGGCATAATACTAAAATATGCAAATGACTACGAAAAAAGTCACTATAGAACCTAACAGAAGAAACATTTCCAGTTACCTGTGACGCCCAAACGCACCAATAGCTACCGCATGGAATGCAGGTGATGCTTGGGATCATCATGGGGGTCCAACCCAAGATTTGCACGACTCTGACTTTGAATGTTACAGTCATTGTGGCATTGAATTCCAGGGTGGAAACATCAGTTTAATTGTTTTAGTGACCAGAAAACAAATTTTGATATGCGTCGGCTTACCCAAAATGAAAGGTTACGTGCCCTTGGCATGCTACAGATCGGCACAACACAGGCGGTTGTGGCGCGGACGATGAATGTTTCTCAGTCTGTCATAAGCAGGCTATGGTCCAGATACCGTGATACACAATCTGTACAGGACAGACCACACTCAGGTCGACCAAGGGCGACAACTCAAGCCCAGGATCGATTTATCCGTACCTTGGCCTTGAGAAATCGTGTCATCACAGCAAATCAGATCAAACAGACACTGGTGTGAGAATGAGTGGCCAGACGATTCGGAATCGACTGCATAGGGGTCACCTTCGCGCCCGACGTCCTCGCGTGATCCCTTGTTTGAGAGATCATCACATTCAGGCAAGACGTCGTTGGTGTAGGGATCGTCAACACTGGGATAATCGACGCTGGAGCAATGTGATGTTTTCAGATGAGTCAAGGTTCACTGTTGATTTTTTGGACAGACGTAGGAGGGTGTGGCGTCGTCGAAACGAGCGCTTCCAAGACGTTAACGTCATCAGACATGATCGATTTGGGGGTGGTTCTGTTATGGTGTGGGGAGGCATCACTGTTGCTGGAAGAACGGCTTTACATGTTGTTGCAGGGCGTGTTACAGGCCAGTACTACCGGGACAACATCTTGGCAGTCCGTGTTGTGCCGTTCGCACAACGTCATGACCGCCGTTTCATCTTCCAGGATGACAACGCAAAATGTCACAGGGCCAGATTCGTTACAGGTTACCTCCAACAACAGAACATCACCACATTACCTTGGCCAGCACTGAGTCCCGACCTCTCCCCCATCGAGCATGTCTGGGACATGCTTGGACAGAGGTTACGTCAACGTCAACAACGTCCTGCCAATGTCCAAGAACTTGCTGCTGCGTTGCAACAGGAATGGGACAATCTGGACCAAAATGACCTTAGACGTCTCATTAGGAGTATGCCACGTCGGATCAATGCTTGTTTGGCAAACAGAGGAGGATTTACCCGTTACTGACTTGGTTGTGATGCTGTGGTAACTTTGCTGTTTGACCCCGGGTATCATTTTACCCTTATAATGGTCAGTCTGTGCCTTACTTAGTCTAACGATCATTTGGAATAAATCGATGAATGTGAACTTCATTTCATTTTGTCATTTGTTTCTTCGTCAGTTTCATTAGGTGACTTTAATAACACTTAAAAATCAAATATCCCCTACTTTTTTTGAATAGTATATATAAAATGTCCAAATTTGATGAAATGAAGCAGTCTTGTGAATCATTACTTCAATTGATTTGAATATTTAACAAACATTAAGATGCATGTAAAGCAAGACTATTTATGAGCCATGTCTTATAATCTATTATAACTGATTATCCAATTTGATGGTTTTAAATTTCAGTTGAAATTGCAACATTGACTAGAGAGAACGGTAAAACTAAGATAGGAGTTTTAGGTGTGAATGAAGTTGAAAAGTTGATCAAAGTATATCAGGAGGAGGAAGCTAAAATTGAAGCAGAGAAAAAGAAAGAGGCTGAAAAGAAGAAAAGTTCATCATGAAGTCACTAGTTAATTTATCCTTTCGTATAAGTGCTCTCCATTTTTTGGTCCATAAACATCTTTATTGTCACATGTGAAAATAGAACTACAAAATAAAAATGTTAAATTTTGACATTAGCCTGTTTGTAAGTGGACACAGAAAATGTCCTACCCTAAACCACTTAATTGATTTCAACCAGATTTTGTTAGGTATGTGCTTCGCTGTGCTTATTCACTTAGTTCAAATTAAGTTTATATATTTTCGACTATTCCTAAATCTTAAACAAAATATGACCAGTGGCTACCAGGCAGGATACGCCCATATTTTGCAAGAGATGGATAGAGAACAAGCTAAACAAAAAGAGATTTTTCGTACAATCATGGGCCATAATTCAGGAAGTTACGATCTGATATGCACGAATTTTAAAAAGAACCAAGACCTTTGGGTTATAAACATGTATTTCAAGCAAGTTTCATCAAAATCGGATCAAAATTATGACCTCTAGAGGGTCCAAAACCTTGATAAAGTTAATATCCAAAAATGAAATGAAATGGGGTTTAACATCCTACTGTTCTGCTCCTAACCTGGGCTAATGTGCTATGAGGGAAATTTTGCCCGGGGCAGCGGCACTATCGCCTACTCTTATATCGAATTCCAACTGCCAAGGGATCTTTTACGTGCATTCCAATGTATACACGGGACCTCAGTTTTTCATCTCATTCGAAGGACTAGACAGCTGTCCTTGTCAGGCCCTCCGTCCTGCATCACTGACAAGTGGGAACCATGCCCGAAAATCTGGATGAACTTTCTCGGCCTATGCAGGGATCAAACACCCGACCTCCAGGCTAGCGAGCCAGCGCCTTACCCACTTAGCCACGTGATCCCCCCAAAAAATATCCGATTGACTTTAAATTTATACAGTGCTTAAGGTCATGAGACAAAGAGTTATGGCCCTTGATCACTTTGAAAAATCTTGTGGACGGATCTAGAGGATCTAGAGGCTAAAGTTAATATCCGATTGACTTCAGATTGATACACAGAGTTTAAGGTCTTGAGACCAACAAGTATATTGATTTTCGATGAATTTTGATAACTTGAACAGCTAAATCCATGATGTTAAAAGTTTGGTATACTAAACGTTAGCATGGGGCAGAACTTTATAAAAACCAAACAAATTCTAATGGTTTTCTGATAATTACTTAATAAGTTGTTACTCTTAATCAGATTTTAATGTATTATAAATGTTTCATTACCGAAAAAAGTAAAAATATGCGACAACTCTTGTTGACTGCCCGAACGATATAGCTGCTGTGGGTGTATGTTTCGTTGCCTGGCAACCTATCTTTACACTATTTGCGACTTGCGTACAAGGGGCAGCCATTTTGTCCATCAGTTTTGGTCCGATTTTCACAAAATTCGAACTCCAGCGTCGTTACAGTGTAACAGTACTATATTTTTTTAAATCAGATAATAATTGTGACCTCTAAATGGACCACAAGCTAAAAACGTGAATTTTCGTATAATCAGGGGCCATAATTCAGGAAGTTACGATCTGATATACGCAAATATCGAAAGGAACCAAGATCTTTGGGTTATAAACGTGGTTTTTCATACAATCAGGGGCCATAATCCATGAAGTTATGATCCGATATATGGACTAAGACTAGTAATTATTTCCCCTTATTTCATGATGGACGAATGTAGTGGAGTTATAGACAATTTTTCCCTTAATTTTTTTCTCCCCTCTTCCTGCATTTTTGGGTTGACTTTTTGGTCTAGAATAGGAGAAAAGGGATCAAATTTGCAATTTTATAGCAGTTTTGGGTAATACTGATGATATTACAGCGGAGGGATAGGGGGTGTAAAATGTCTTTCTGCCGAGCAATCATTGTATCGGAAGTGAGATTTTCACCCCAGTCAACTTCAAATCCCCGTAGCAAAAAATCTAAACGGTCAACCCCCTACAAGTTTATGATGAGGAGATTGCCAAATGTGGTCCCCATTGTGCCTATAAAGATTGGAACCAACGGAATGTTGAGCAAAAAGCTACAGCCTGTGATGTTACAGCCATTTAACATTGAAGTCAATGGGCAAATAATTACTAGTCTGAGTCCATATGCCAATATTAAAAGGAACCAAGATCTTTGGGAGATAGACCTATATTAAGTTTCGTCAAAATCAAATAAAAATTGTGACCTGTAGTGTGTCCACAAACAAATTGTGGACGGATGGACAGGGGCGACGACAATATACGTCCACATGAAAATGTGGGCATATAAAAAATAGGAATGGGTCTTGGTTTTGCATATTAGAAATGTTAAGATTCAAGATGGGCACAATAACATATTTGGACTGAGGAAGTGGGCCTATCAAAAATAAAATAGTAATAGGTAGCATCTGGGGATAATTTGGCACTTTTGTCCGGATGGCCACATCCATTTCATATCTGGTCCTTCTAAGTTGTCTAACTAAACAGTATGTATTGGGAGTGTTGGATCCAGTTAGCCTGTTGTTAGTTGTTCATTTATCATAAGTAAATTCCTGGATTACCCTCTGCCAGTTTCTTTTCTGCAGTTTAATCACAGAGCCTCCTCAATGTTCTCACAACCATTAGAATATCAACACATAAGAAACGCTCCTTAAGACACTCAATGAGACCGGCTGGTTTTTAACGATACCCTCACATTATTGCGTGTCCTGTGGGTGTTTTCTTGGAATCCAGTATTTTTCTAATAGGATTGGGTGTCACTACTTTCCATATATACCAAAATTGCCATACTTTTATTAGAAGTAACTACCCGATAAATACTCTTGTGGGAATGTATCTTTAATAGAAATAATGACAATATTAAGAGTCAATATATTTTTCATTAAAAAAAGTGTTGAATAGATCAAATATTGAGATATATATTTCATTAAAAATAAAGTATTTAATCTGTATTCATATAATTCATGTATATGATAGGAGTGAGCATGTCAGATTATAAGAATGAAAATGACCATATATAAACAATTAAACAAAAATAAATAATGAAAACTACTAAAATAATTATTATTTATAAATAAAGTATAACAATAAATGATGTAACACATTGAATAACTAGGTCAAACTAATTTGAATTTTCACAAATTTTTATGTTCACAAAGGGCTATAATCCACAAAATTTAAACTTTATCCATAACACTTCTATTTTTACAATCAAATATCTCTTATGTTTAACCTAAAATAATTCAGGAAAACAGAATTTTCATAGCTTTTTGGTGAATAAATGGCCATAATCAGATGATGTAAACTTCAGAAAATTGAAAGTGTATCTCTCCAACGAGAATGTATCATAGTAATCTAAGACATTCCAATACAAATTGTCAAACATAAATATTAATTAAACATCTATTAAAGTGGACAGGCATATGTTAATCCTTTACTGCTTTTTAATTTCTCAGTAAGATCATGTTCAACACCCTGTAATGTAAAGCTTTCTATACAGCCTCGTAAACTCTCCATACTAACAGGATCTGGGAACACCAAATTACGATCTGCAAGAAAAAAAATATTTTTATACTTACTCATTTTTGTTCAAGTAAAGTTGTTTAGTCTCAGTAGTTACAGATATAGATAAGGATAAAAAAAATTGATAGAAGTATGATATACAAATCATTTTTCAAAAAGTTATATTTATTTCCAAAGCAATAAGAATTTTCTTAAAGAAGCTCACATGCAGTCAACATTTGCTCTATTAAATGTTGAACTCACCACAGTGAAAGTTCACGCTCAAATGACAGGGTAGACACAGAGCATATGCATACTCCGGAGTAGGTTCTATTAGCCTTTTGTTAACGATTGTGAATAACAGTAAAATTTAGCAGTTTGGTTGTTACAGCAGCTTTAGAAAATTATGTTGTAACAACCAAAAAAGCTAAACTTTACTGTTATTCACAATCGTTAATAATAGATATTTTATGGCTTTAATAGTTGATAGATGTGTAGAAAATTTCACATCCGATGGCTCTTTTTAGGCTAATAGAACCTACTCCAGATTATGCACATGCTCCGTGTCTACCATGTAATCACTTGGAGACTTGTCATTTGACCATGCACGTTCACTGTGGCGAGTTCAACTTTTAATAGAGCAAATTATGACAGTGTGGGTCACCCTCCCATTACAGTATCTGTGCTAAAAAGAACATAGATACCCATCCACTCTATAATAATCTGAGAGAATCTAAATAGTATTTAAAGGGCTAGCAAAATCAGGTGTTCTGAAACCATACCTAGATAACACTGCACTGTGACAATAGCATAAAATTTCTTACCTTCAAGGCCTCCTATATACACAGGCATATTGAGTATAACTGGAGGTGTTAGACCCAATGGATAACTGTTTAGTTGATTAATGTTAGAATCTATTTGTATTCCAACACCCAGCATGCCAACTGTAACTGTTATATCGTGCCTATTATAATCACAAATGTTGATCACATCTGAACTTGTAGAAATGAAACTCTGATTAGATGATGTAGAACTTGCTATAAGGACACGGATCTATAAAATAAATTATAATTGTAAGGTTATAAAAGAGAAGTAACATATAAAGATGACTGAATTACAACTTTCTTGTTCCGCTTTCCAACCAATAAAACTTATGATCTAACTAAATTGGTGTTCTGTCAATGGTGGTCAAACATAAATTATTCTGAAAATTTTAAACCTCCACCATAGCAGATTGTGGTTGAACAGGAATTGGGCAATTAAATGAAATGGTGAATGATCATTTAAGAATGTGATGTCACAGATCTGAGAGCAAGAAAACAGGTTCCACGTCAAATCAACTATGTGATTTCAGGACCATCGTATGGTATTAATAATTTCTTTTTGTGCAAGCAACCGTACTCCTTATCTAATAGAATGCATGGTCAAATTCACTACTTTGCAAAGAACTTGTGAATTGTGTTCGACATTGCATTTAAAAAAACAAGAGAGGTTATACACCTATCAGTAAATTGTAATAAAAATATGAATGCATACAAATATTAAAATCTTTTAATCATAGCAATCTTTAATAACTTAGGACATGATTTACAAAATTTACATCATTTTATGTTTTTAAATCATGATGTTTTTCTACTGTATG